CTTCCTGATTACCCTTTAATCATATCTGGGCACAGCAAAGACAAAATTCCCATGTAACAGTATATGCAGGGATGAATCTTGCACAGTGAGCAGGTGGTTTTTTGAATTATAATTTCAAAATGTCTGCCTTGCCTCCACCTGAAGAGGTCTTAATTTGCATTACCACCTGTTCACCAAACATTAACCCACTTATTACTCAAATACTTTCAGCAAAGAAATACGTTTCCAAAAAATATTGATTCAAAGTTTGTTCTATTGACTTGGTTGTATACAGCTACAGTCAGTTACAATCAGCCTATTTGCAGGAGAAATAAACATTACCACTAAACTGAACTTTCAATTTACAGTGAAGCCATGGTCAAACATTCAATCACCCTTTTGTTATAATTCATATTAAATTCATCTACTTTCTACTGCTTGTCCTGTTGGGGAGTCACAGGGGGGCTGGAGCCTATCCCAGCATCTTGGGGCAAAGGCAGGGACACCCTGGACAAGTTGCTTGTTCATCACCGGGCTAATATATAGAGACAGACATCCACCCACACCTACGGGCAATTTGAAAGTGACCAATTAACCTAACCCCACTTCTGCATGGTTTTGGGATGTGGGAGGAAACCAGAGTAAAACCATGTAGACACAGGGAGAACGTGCAAACTCCACACAGAAACGCTCTGACCCGGATTTAAACCCAGGACCTTCTTACTGTGAGGCGACAGTGCTAACCACCACACTACTGTGCCGCCCTCATACACAATCAAACTTTTCAATTTAGAGCGCAGACATGGTGAATGAGACAAGACATATCTGTGCTCATTCTGCTCTCTTTATTCCTCTTTATTCTTTGCAGTTGACACACCTCTTAACATAAGCGAGGCAAAAATCACAATTTATATGAACAATGTTGCCATTATTACAACCTCTCATTGTTGAAGTTACAGATCTAGCAGCATTAAGGACCATCTCCAAACAACTACAAAGACATTTCTAAAGCTTCTTCAAACATCAATACTCCTCCTCTTTGGAGACAACAACTAAATTTGCTGCCAGGTTTTTAGTTACACTGTGAATCAGAGAACTGGAAATCAGCCAAGAACTCAAAATAGATCAGCACATTAAAGTTATTATCCCTGTCTTGACTATAGGAGTCATGATGGACCTGCAGCATAACATGTAAGCATTTTTCTGAGCTAAAGTTTCCCCCGAACCACTCCTGCAGTTTCCTTTCCTTTCCTCCCTAATGAAATTTGCCTTTTTTTTCAAGGCAGCATGACAAGAAGCCAAACTCTGGCATTAAAGCAGAACAGCTTCATGATGTCTCAAACCTCTGACTTCTGGGTAAAAGTGTTACATAAACTATCAGGAGTCAATACCAAATCTATGTTGTCAGACACAGCAGAAGCCAACAACTGTAGCTCCCTCCATATACACATGACAACTTTCTCCCTCTTCCAGTGTTCCTGCAGGAAAATGAGCTCATAAACTAATAAAATATACACTGCAGCACTGTTCACATATTTCACAAGATCTTTGTCCCCTACACAGATCCAAATACATGAGTGCAGTACAGAAGTTTGACTGTTTAAAATCCATGGACTAACTGGCCTCAGCTGCACAAACATCTGCAACCACTGCGCTAGTTACGTAAGTTCAGAAAGGACAACCAAAGCCCACTAAGTCAGAAACTGCCAAGTAAGGATTTTTAAGTACACGGTGCAAAATACGGACTATAGCTTTAATAAGAGTTTATTCCCCAAAACACACAGGAATCACAGGAGTTTGCCAACCAAAACACACAGCCCATCTTTTCCCTCTTAAAGGTAAACTACAACACTGATGGCAGGAATGGGGTAATGATGAAGATGAGCTCCTGCACACAGACAGTGGAGCCCACAACCATCAAACATGACAAGGATTATAAAAATCCTCTGTACTGCTTCAGTGGTAATTAACAGGAGATTTGTTGTGTGTCCACCTCACTCTAGTGGGCCACCCTGAAAGGGTGCAATGCCTCAGCACATCTGCTTTAGATCATCCTGTGTGCAAAAGTCTTGAATACTGTTTATGGCAACAGGTAGCAATACCTGCCAGAGAGTCTCATTTGCAGGAATGAAATTGTGGGTGGCAGCTGTCCTCTTTGCTTTATTGTTGGAAAGACCAGTCATTGTTTGAATCTGCTTTGCTTGAACTTCCTTACCTCTTAGTCTGCTTAAAAGTGAAACCTAAAAAGATATTTGCCATGAGTAAAAAGGGTCATAGTGAAACTGGTCCTGAATGGCAACTAACTGCCATTGATTACTATCATGTAAGATTTTGAAAAACCAGCTTCATGGTTTGACTTTGATTTAGCATCACTAACATTTGTCATCTCTTTATTCTGCCAAAACCTGAAAGCAGTTGGATGAAACGTTGGATACACTTTGCTTTGATTTCTGGAAATTTAAACTCTGTGGATCAGCCAGAAATTAAAACTTAAAACCAAAATTATTTCTTACCACAGAGATGTTTGAATTTCTTTCTGGTGAAAAGAAAACATACAGTATCCTATAATATCGGGCTATCATTGTGGTTTTTTTAAAGGTTTTTTTTTGTTTGTTTGTTTGTTTTTTCAAAGGTGTTCTGCACAACACAGACACACAGCAAGGGGCTGTAGATATGCACCAGAGGTTTCCAAAACTGCCAAGGCTGGCATGTCAGTATTTCTGCATATGTCAGCATCAAACCATCTGAGCATGTGTTTTCTGCTGTCGAACTGATTGTGACCCCATTGAGTCCCCAACTGACACCGAACATGTCAGTTTCTCTCAATAAGGACAAGTATACAGAAAACTGTACACTTTTTGTCTGAAATGTTTTTTGTTCAGTTCTCATATTGCAGCAGTTCAACATGTAGTCCTCTGAGCCCTGCTCGTTGATATTCAACATGTTAAACAACTTCTGCGTCACTTAATATTGTGCGGCTTTGCAATACTGCTTGTTATCGCCCTTATGCTCCTTTAAAAACTATATGACATCACCTTTTTGAATTGATAATTGATTGTTAATAATACCAAATATCAATCACAGAGAATTCTTGAATTTTCATCCCTAGCACAAACTGTTTCTGCTTGCATGTGCTTCAGTGAACTGAAGACTCACACTTTTATTATAACTGTTACATGACATTAAATAGTATTTTGTGGCCTTAAAAGGAGGGAAAAGAGGGAGTTAAAAAAGAGATATATAGCACTGCTTTAGGTGTGGTGTTCTGGGCGTGTAAGGGGGGCTGGAGGAGGTTTACAGGGTACAGTTAGTGCAGAGATAGACGGGAGTTGGAGAGGAATTAGTGTTGAGTTTGAAGGGAGCTACAGAAGAGTTTTAGGAGAGTAGGAGGGCTGAGTCTTACATGGAGTGAGCGGGAAGTTAGCCAGAAGATAGACTGAAATTTGAGCGTCAATAGAGGGGTGTTCATGGGGAGTGAAAGGGAAGTTATGGTGGAGTTAGTCATGAGTTAAAGAAGAGATACAGGGGATTTGGAAAGACTTCATAAAAAGATAGATGGGAGCTCAAGGGAAGGAAAAAGGAGAGTTGGATAGAGGGATGGCAGTTGAATGTGTCAGATATGAACGTAATACACCCACCAATCAAATAGCATGTTCAGAAGTTTTTATTTCTGCCATTGATTGGTCATCATTTAAACTAAAATCATGATTATAGTCATTTTTCTAACATGAACCTCACCGATGTTCTTCTGTGTGTGATTGATTTTAACTCCAAAATGTAAAAAACTGGATCTATATAGTTTACTTCATGGTTCACATGGGTTGACTGACAATTGTAATATTCACTGTTGACAACGCCAAGGCTGTAAATGTGGAATATTGCTCTAGAGCCTACAGTATTTATGCACATTCAAGATGTTGCTGCTTGACTTGGGCTTTAGACTGTGCTCTGTATTGAAAGGATTAATGGTTTTGGATCTTTTTCTCCCACTCTTTCTCTCTTCTCACTCTCTTGACTGAGTCATCTTAGGAAAGTGATGTATTAATGCACTTATACAGCTGCAGCACACAGAGATCTGGCATACGCTAAAAAGGAAAATCATATTTTAGCCAGAAAAATCCCTGAAGAAGTGAACAACATCTCTGTCCAAGTTCCCTTTGCAACATTTTTCCAATTCTCATATTACTTGTTGTTGAAAAGAAGTGCTATTTCAGTATAAATCTGTGTCCTGATAGGGGTTCATTAGATCCCAGCTGAACTCTCTGCAGAGTGGCACAGTAACATTCCAGTGAGGGTCCTAGATAAACAGCCTGAGACAAACAACACCCAGTGAGAGCCGTCTCTCTTCTCTAACCCCTGGTGTCCCCTGATCTCACATGATTGTTGAGGCTGGCTGCAGAAGGGAGCATGAGAAACCTCTCTTTGAGGGTTTGTTATCTTTAAAATGTCCGTGCTGCTTCTCCTCTGAAGTGGTGAACAGCCACAGTGTAAACTTGGTGCATGTTCCATTGATTTAAATGAGATCTTTTTCTCTCACTCTCTTAATTGTACCATTAACTAATGTTTGTGGTTGAGTTGGTGCTAGAAGCCAGAAAGAGCTGGGCTGGGTTAATGAGGCGGTGTGCTGTTTGTGTGATGTTCTGCTTCATAACACAGAGGGGAGAGTAAACGTCAGCTCCATCTGCAGCCAGCTGCTTCACTTCTCCTCACCTCTTCCTGCACAGGCACATGGGGAATTACCTCACCCGGGCATAAAGCACTGTGTTGATACAGCATCTGGGTTTGGCCTGTAAATAGTTGTGTCACCTGGTTTAACATCCCTCATCTTTTGGGATGGAACAGGACATTTTTAAAACACTGAATTGAAAGCTGTTTGAGCATAAATTCGATATCAGTGATATCAATTTATGTTCTAACAGCTTTCCATAGAACTGGACCTCTTGGTAACTAATTCAATCCAAGACGTCTTCTTAAACAAACTTTAAATGCTCTCATTAGTGCAGGAATGACTAACTGAGATGTTATCATGTCTTCAGTTGGACTTTTTTATTAGAAACCAATTACATTAAACTTTGCAGCTGCTATCTTCATCCTGCACACTCAAGAGTATTACATTTCTAATGAAAACTAATTACCTTACATTCATTTGCTTTACTGCAGACAGTTGAAGCCTCCCTTAACAAATCCAGTAGAGCCTGACTCCAATAAGCTGTAGTAACACTCAGATGTCTGAGGCGGAAGGAAGCGCCATGCTGATAAAAATGCTCATTTATATCAACCAACCACATATCTTGTTGCACATGCAGGACCTTGGTTATATAAACAAGAGATAAAGGAGTTTAAATAATGAGAACATCTTTATTTTCATGAGCTTGGACACATTATATAAAAAGTAAAAAAAACAAAAAAAAACAGTCATATAAAAATAAAGTGGCTCTGATGATTGTCCGATCTGTACAGGGTGTTTTGTGAAACTGTCAGATGTAGCCAATGATATCTTTGCAGATTATTGGCTGTCGACTGCCTGACTTCATCAGAGCAGCAAAGTGATAAAAGTCAGAGTCCAGTTCATTAATGCCTGAGTGAGACAGATGGAAAAACGGCACTTTGGGCTGCGCTGCAACAACTGGACAGGACAGACGTTTGGAGGCGTTCGCAGCTCTGTCCGCACAAGTAGAGTCTGTGGATCTCATTTTTACTCTGTCCTCTACAGTCTTTGAAAACCCTGCCAGTTTTCTCCTCATATTCACAAAGAATCCTCTGCCCACTCTGTGTCTTGGATTTGGCTTCAGCTCAGTAGGTTCTGGACAATCTGGCAAGTCCATCCAGTTCTGAATGAGGTCTGCAAAGCTGTTATCACCCAGAACCAGAGGCTGGCGGTTCCGTCCCCTGGTCAGTAAAGAGTTTGTCCAGTCCTCTGGGTCGCTCAGCTCAAATGATGTCCATGTCTCCAGACAGGCATCAGAGGTGGATTTGGGTCGAACACGCCCGCTGGGTGCTCTGTTTGTGCGGAGACAAGCAGAAGACGACACCCGCACGTTCCTCGTCCTCCTCAGCACCACTCCTTCATCCTGCCATGATGCCTCTGAGTAACCTGAATCCAAGTCCAAACTTTTCCTGCTACTTGGAGAACCCAAACCCAGTCTGAGGCTCAAACCCAGCCGGCTGCTGGATTCTTCATCTTCATCTTCATCTTCCTCCTCCAGAGGACTGGACAGGCAGCAAGCAGAGTCATAGGTACTGGCTGTGCTGGCGTCGGACATCCGTAGCCGTGTTCGCTGCTCTCTCTGTAATGCTCGCTGCTGACACACTCGAGTCAAAGCAGAGTGCCGCACCAAAGCTGGGAGCTGGGTGCTGATGGGAGCGAGGGGGTGTCTGGCTGTAGGGCTGCAGGTTCTCCGCAGTCGTTTCAGGTCCTGCAGTGACCTCATCATGTACTGCATCTGCTCCCGTAAGCACTCGCTCGAGTCACGTAGGCAGAGCTGAGGAAACAAAGAAAAAAAGAGTGGTCAATAAATCAGTCCCAGAAATAAAAAAGTAAGCCTCCAATAGTTTAACAAAGAAAGCTGAGAAAAAGCCAGTTCTTTAGTGAGGGCACGTTCAGGCTTGCTAGACTCTCTTAAATGAACAGCTTTACTCTCATTGTCTCCTGAAGGACAGCAAACCTGCACCTCAAAGAACAAGCACTGTCAATAGACACACACACACAAACAAGTGTGTCCGTTAATTTTCCGACCACACCAAAACAAAAGTCAACGCCCTTTTATCTCTGACTCAGGAGTGATTCAACACAACAGCCAGACAGCTGTCTGTTTATCTTCACGTTTTTACAGAAATCACAGCACTAATGTCCAACCTCAGCTATTCATCTCTGGTCTGAAACAACTCCAGGAGCAAAGTGAAAACATCTGCAGTACATCAGGGAGAAAGTGGACGAGTATGGGTCTCGATAAAGCTACATGGGCCTGCCTCTTTAAGAGTGCTGCATGCCTGAATATGAAATCCACCAGTGACACACTCAGGAATATAATACTCTTGTTTCCTCACTTTGCTGATTGGTCCGAATCAGCCAGTGAGCTGTAGTGGCTCACTCTCAAACTCAAACAGGGCATGGGAGATCATGTGACAGAGAATGTAGAGCTTAAAACAAGATATAAAGCATAAGGAGAGAGATTAAACTCACTTTCCCTCTGCAAACAAGCTGGAATAGTTGTCAAGCAGGTTTGTAACATCTTAAATCAGCTAGTTTTGTTAACATCATCAGATTTTAGTTCATGTAAAGCTCATATCCAAGGAGACATTGTCTTAAAAAATATGAATATAAGCAGAGAGGTAAGATGTTCGAGCAACACAAGCAGCAGACACACACAGGATACAGGTCCATTCTTGACCACAGAGGTCACATCCAACATAAAGCACACTTCTTTCTTGGACTCATGTCAGTACAGTAACCTTTGAACCTGTGAGACCCTTCTCTTCCTACTCTAGACTGTCCATTCAAGCCTTTGACCCTGGAGGAAGACCTCCTGCCCTGCATAGTTTTCATCATAAATCTGTTAGATGTTGCAAGAACTTGAGAAAGGAGCTGAGACATTTAGTCATGCGACAATGCAGGAAAACGTCCACTGACACTCAATGTGTCACAAATGATTTTAGTGTGTTATTGCACAATTCCAGGATAGCTACTACTTCAAAATCGCAGTCAGTTAAACAGTTATATACTTTGATATGGTGTATTTCATTATTTACAGTTTTTTAAGTAGGCTGTATTGTATTGTTTTTATACTGTGTGCTTTTACACTTATTGTTTTTTTATTTATTGCTTTTGTTGCACACTGGGAAGAGCATCCTCAACTAATTTCGTTATAACTTGGTGTATAATGACAATAAACTCTGAATCTGAATCTGCTCCATCTTTGGAGTACAAAACACTATTATTTACTTTAACGATGGAGACATCTGATCTTCACTGTCCTACCAGACTTCTGAAACAACGCTACATAAGCAGATGTTTAGTCGATTTGCTAAAGAGTAGACTGTTAGGATTCAGTCTGCTGTACTTAGACATTTATGTGGAATCACGCGAGATTAGTAAACGACGCCTGCAATAAAACAGTAAAGGAGTCAAATAAATCAGACTCACCATGTCTGCTTCTCTCATCTGTTAAGTTCACACTCTGCAAGAAAATTGAAGAAAAAAAACGATATTTAACATCAGACCACACATCATGAACACGCTAAAAAAAATCTCAGCAGTGCAAAAGAGTAGTTAAAACAAGCGTATACTCACTTAAAATGTGTCAGCCTCTTTCGTCCACTTGATATATCTGCTCTTTTTAAAGGAAAAGTCTTGCAGGGCTCCTGGCTTAAATGTCACCAGTGAAAAGTCGGACTCCTCCTCAGCGTTCTGTCTGTCGCAGTCAGGGACAGATGTGTCTCCTTCAGTAAAGCCTTCAGCTCAGCTCACCTCCTTTTTACAGCTGCGCGCGCTGCAGCCACTCACAGAGACCCGAGTCTGATTCAGCCAATCAGAGCTCCGAGCTCATCTGAGTGCCCACCTCCGCGAGAACTTAAAAAAGGGATGGCTTTACCCAGAGCCGGCCCAAGCCTCAATGGGGCCCTCAGCGAAATTTGATTTTGAGGCCCCTTTATTTCTGCCAATAATACTGATAGCTGATCATTCACATACCACAACTATTCCATTCAATAATCAAACGAGTCAATATTTTGTTTATTTGTTTTTCTATATAATCAAAAAATAAAAGATTAGTGTTTGTTTGCGTATTTTCAGTTCAAAACAGAATTTATAATAGAGATGAAAACTAAAAAAAAAAAAAATCTACTTTTTGTTTTCGGGTTATTGATGTCCCCATTTCCCACGGTGCCTTTCTACTGTTCACACATGCACATTGGGCAACAAAGTAGCCAACAACGTGAACCAAAAACTTCATGCCAAGGCGGTAGAGAAAGGCGAACCTGTTGTCATGGAGATGGACGCATCCTTCGTACTATTCAAAGCTGACAGGAGGGTCACGCTGAAGGAGGAAGATATGACTGTAGAAAAATTTACAACCAGAGCTCTGTTTCAACGTAAGATTTTGGCGCTCGAACCGCACTGTCACATCTTTCGTCATGGTATCTGTCGCTGAGGATCATGGGAAGGCCAATGTAGCCTCCATGCACGTATGCTCAAAACAGGCGCACTCAAAATCAATAATTTTCAATAAGATTTATCATTTTCTTTTCGTTTCCCTCTCTATTATTTATTCTGTTTTGAGCTGAAAATACGAAAACAAACAAGATTTTTTTATTTTATGGTTATACAGAAAAACAAATAAACAAAATATTGACTCGTTTTTCCGTTTTCTAGATTGAATGGAATAGTTGAATGGACAGATAATACATGGACCCTTCACAAATCTCTTTGATTAACATTCCATGACATGCAAACATACCTTTATCTTGGCGTTTTTTCTCTTCTTACTCTTTCTTCTTCTTTCTTTTTTCTGCTCCTGAAGGATACGTCCTTTTTTGCGACATTGTTTTGCCCCACAAATACCTGCGCTTTGGGTCAGTGCACATTGCGCAGCAGGGGGCACATAACGGTAGCGAAGTTTTGACATATCGGCAGCACTACAATGTTTCTACTTTATTTTCTTTTATTTTTACAATAACATATATTTGATCATACAGAAAGCATCACTCATTTATCCAAAAAATAAAAAAATATTAAAACATTTTTTGATTGCTCTTGGGGCCCCCCTATTGGCCGCGGGGCCCTGAGCAGGCGCTTCGTTCGCTTATGCCCTGGGCTGGCTCTGGCTTTACCCAAGACCTTCATGGTAGAGATAGTCTTGTATTTTTGATAACAGAGCAAACATATATTACAGAGTGGATAACTTTGGCCTGTTCAGAATAATCTTAACTTTTTTTTTTTTTTTTACAGTCGAGTGATATTAGAGGAGAAAAAAATATAACAGAGCAAAACTCACAAATAATACCAGGTATGATTAGTTATAACCACAATAATAAAAGATAACTCACATTTGTTCTAAGTTTCCATGAATTACTTAATTAAATTCAATTAAATTCAGTAATGCTCTTGGAAAAATATATCACTTGTATAGAACAACTGCACGTTTTTGCACGGAACAGATTTATTGAACTGCTTGTTTAAATGACGTTTGCACTCATTTGTACTCTTGCAATTGTACTTGTACTTAAACTGTTTCACAGCAGATATGTTTAAAGTGTAGCAAACTAAAACCAGTTTATCTGTAGTTTATCCCTAGCCTAATGCTTATTAACCTGCTTCCTACTTGCAAAATTAATCAATTTGTCCTGCAAATACATTTTCACATGTTTTTTTCCAATCATGCATTGATGTTTTGGGGGTATATATATAACAAAAAAGAAAAGAAAATTCAAACCTTTACACTACCAATCTTGCCACACATCAGTCAAAGCTTGTCCTGCTGGTAACTAACTGTGAACAACTGCATCAGTGTAAACAAAACAGCTCAATGTAAATGTGATCATCTCCAGCCCAATTGGGCATTGAGCCTACAGCTCTGACGGTCATTTGGCTCTCCAGCTTCTATTCACTCTATTCAGTACAATGATGTTTATGCTAATGAGGTGCTTTAAGAGGAATGCATCTGCTCAGGACCGTGTGTTTGCATGCATGTGTGTATGTGCGTGTGTGTGTGTGTGTGTGTGTGTGTTGGGAGGGGGGTCCAGATTAGATGGCTGGCTGTTCAAGTGCAGATTTATGTCCGCAGTAGGCCAAGCATTAGCATACAGGTAGTTGCAACATGTCTGAACTTGCAGCCTTTACCCCCCTGTGTAAGACAAAATCCAAACTTGGGGATACATTTTTTTAAGTAGCACATTATGACTCTGTCTTACAGGGATGAAAATCATACCTAAAGTACAGATAAACAGTATTTGAGTATTTGAATTTTCCACACAGGTCAGCCCTTATTTGTTCCCTTGCTTTTCTGAACCCCTAATGGATATAATTAAAGTACAAGACAGTAATGGTACACAAATCATGGCCTTTACTGCTGCAGATGAATGGTTTACACTTTATAATACTGTATTGGTTAAAGGTAGGCACTCAACCAAGGCTGAGATAGAACAAATAAAATGTATGCAGCATCTCTACCAAGGGCTTCTGTATGTTATAAAGGAAAACATAATTTAAGGTGAGCATTTGCACATTAATGTCAAATGAGCCTCGTATAGTTGGCCAAATCCCATGTGAATGCTAATCAATGAGAATTTACAATCCTATCAACATGATTGCAGATATTTTGCTTTTGATCGGTTCATTGCTTCAACATGCTTCAGCTTGAATTTTGTCAGGAGGTCTAATTGTAATATATGATTCGTACAGTGTTAGATTACTGTCCAACTTAAAGTAAAACATCTTAATTCTTACTCCACACTGTGTTTAGACTCTTTATAAGCTTTAGGAAATATGGTTTCACTTTGAATTCTTCACTCTAAAAGCTTCACTAAATTTAGCACAGCACACTTTTTGTTGTTTGTCAGCCAGATGTTTTCTGCCTCCGGTGAAGGAGGAGGACTGATAGAGCTGCAGTGCCTCCCAGAGGAAGAACTGATGGAGATTTTTATAAAGTACAACTTCTTTCTTTCTTTCTTTCTTTCTTTCTTTCTTTCTTTCTTTCTTTCTTTCTTTTGTTAAATTTTATTGTGGGACAAGCCAAACTGTCCATATACAAAATCAAAAAAATACCATGAATGGTGTTCTGGGGGAAGAGTTGCTGCAAATGTTTGTGTCCTTAGTCAGAGCCAGGGTCTCTGTGGACTTCAGTTTGATTCTTTCATGAGGAATCTGGATGAGTTTGTTTTTCAGTGGTGTTGTACTTCAGCTGTTTGTTCTGTTGTTGATGAGGAGCTGTGTTTTGATCCTAATTTTATGAATGCCTGAAAATGTTTAAATACTGAAAGTCATAAATTGACAGACATAATATTGTACACTGAAAATATTTATTTGTAAATAAAGGTGTGTTAAAAAAATCTTTCTTTCTGTCTTTCTCTCTGCACAGGATGGTCACAGTGATAGTATTTCTACTTTTGGCTTGATCTTCAGTTTATAAAGCTTTTGCATTTACACAAACTAATCTGTTCATTAATTTTCTCTCTTTTTTCTTTATGCTCTTTCATCTCTCAACCTTAGGTCTTTATGTGGTTGGGTTCCTGTGTTTCTTAGCTCTTGGTTTCTTAATGTGTCTCCTAATGCAATTTGGATGAATTTTTCATGGGGTTCTTTTTGTTTTTTGCTGTAAGGGTTTTGTCTTTTTAGTCGATTCTCATGCTTTTCTTTATTTATGCATATTATTAAAGCACTTTGTAAAACCCTGTTTTTATGGGAGCAATACAAGCTATAGTTTTTGATCAGCTTCCCTTGAGCCTCGTCTCCAAACAAGCAGTGTTGTGTTTTGAATAAACAGCTTTAAGCTTTTTTTTTCTTTTTTTCAGTGTGAAATAAAGATGATCTTTCATCTTTATTTCACACCTTCTTAAATAAATACCGTAGGCCTACAAGTAATGTATTACACTTAGTTGTCCTCTAAGAGAGCATGTGCTCTTTACTCTGCCATGCCATGCCTGTCGGTATCTAAGCCTTGTTTGAGCATGCATGTTCACTGGGAGAGATGTCTGAAGTAAAAAGCTTCATCAGTCTCTAAATAATTCTTGCAGTTGTGCTTAAACAAGAGCGGTCGTCCAATAACCGGAAGGTTGGCGGTTCGATTCCCCCTAATCCAAGTCTGTCCGTTGTGTCCTTGGGCAAGACACTTAACCCACCTTGCTCCCAGTGTGTGTCCTCCACTGGTGTATGACTGTGAGTGTTGTGTGGTGGTGGTTGGAGAGGCCGTAGGCGCAGAATGGCAGCCACGTCTCCACCACCACCAAAGTGTGACTGTGTGAGCGAATGAATGATGTATCCAATGTAAAGCGCTTTGAGGGTCTCTGATAAAGCGCTCTATGAAATCTGATGCATTATTATTTTTATTATTATAAACACCTGTCATTGGTTTCTCCTTTGTTTCGGCATGAGTGTCTCTATTCAGAATTAGGCTGCTATAATACAAGCTGCACTGATTCGCCTTCACACATGTGTCATTACAACTCTGACTGTAATGTAACTCCAACTTCACAGATAACAGGGTACAGCTCCTGTCACAGAATCTTTTTACACACTTCAGTCTTGTTATTGCCTGCAAGTGCAATATAATATACTACCACTAGATGGTGCAGTTACCCAGCCTAATGCAGTCACTCAGCGGGTTGTAGTCAAGTTGAACCTTGGCTAAAAAGATGCATTGAAACGGGAGAAAAATGTCACTTAAATAATTAGGGTTGGAGACATTTCTAACTTTAATCTGGCTTGTTTGACCAGCTGCCAAGGTGGCAAATGTCAAGTAATATGATAACTAACTGATCAGTTTTATTATGGATTTCACTGGCTTTTCTGATTCCACTTGGTTTAAGAATTTACCACTGTTGCTTTTCGACACTCAGATTACAAAACCGTAAACTCCACAAAGACACAATCAGTACATACTGCTTGCTTCAGTCTTGTACAATAGTGTTACGTTTTGTTTTTTTGGCTCTTTTGTTTGTTTGTTATAGTTTTACATAGTTACTAAGGGAAAGTTGGGAAACTTGCCGCTGGTTAATCATTAGCCATTTAGTTTTTTTTTATCGAGAGAATAAATATCAGATGCTTTCTGAAAAGACGGACAATGATGAGTATAAAGATAGTGGAGTTTCAACACTGCTTCTACTAACTATTCAGTTAGTAATTCTTCATGGTAACTTTTATGTGATCTATTAATTCAGGTTGGGCATCATACTGGGTAGTTACTTGGGCGTGAATCACAACTTCATAATTACCTCCTCATTATTTATTTTGTCTCATTTATATTACTTAATATTCCTCTATAGTGAACAACTGGGCAGGGCAAACAAGTGATTATTTCCTCATTTATTTATCTAATGTGAAAGTACTTTTATCCATCAAAGCTTGATTCATCAGCTGATCTATTCAACATTAACTATCAACATCACCTTTTTGTTCACTTTTAACTCCGACATGCATTTGATATCTGGTTATGAAACCTTTTAAATTTCCTGAAATGTAGTTTTCTGTTATTTTTGCATTACCTGAGGAAAGTATTCAAACCCTGCTTTAACAGTGTCAGACCAATAGCACACGACTACAGCAAGAGCCTGCAGCTTACATCTATAACATCTGCAGATACGTCTATGGATTTTCATGGATATGATGTCTTTGGATTATTTTTCTGGAATTGGATTGGAGACCCTTTCTGCTGCACCACAAAGGACTCTATTTTTTAAGCAGTAACTATTATCAAAGTGAAGGCTTTTGTTAAGTTTGATTAATAGTTTAACATTTCATGAGCTGTACCCACGCCTGTTATCTACGCACTAATCAATAGTTTACTAACAGTAAATTCTCCTTGAGTTCCCTCATTTATTAATGAGGAGTTACTCATGAAATACCTTTTTACCGTTGGTAAACAAGAACTACTAGGTTCCTCATTTGCTCACCCCTTATTCCCAAACAAGAACTGTCTCAATTTTATATTATTTGTAGAGTATTTTATGTAGAAATCGTAAAAGCAGAGTTTCTGCAGCTAGAAATTACTACAAAACCCAAGTTGGGAAATTGTAATAAACGTAAATAAAAACAGAATACAATGATTTGCAAATCCTTTTCAACCTGTATTCAGTTGAATACACTACAAAGACAAGATATTAAATGTTCAAACTCATAAAATTTACTAATTTTTTTGCAAATAATAATAAACTCAGAATTTGATGGCTGCAACACGTAACAAAGAAGTTGGGAAAGGTGGCAAAAAATACTGAGAAATTTGAGAAATGCTCATCAAACACCTATTTGGAACATCCCAAAGGTGGGCAGGCTAATTGGGAACAGGTGGGTGCCATGATTGGGTATTGGGGTTGGGTATAAAAGCAGCTTCCCCAAAAATTCACAGTCATTCACAAGGATGGGGTGAGGTTCACCACTTTGTTAACAACAGCATGAGCAAATGGTCGAACAGTTTAAGAACGTTTCTCAAAAAACAAGAAACAAGAAATTTCGGGATTTCAACATCTACGGTCCATAAAATCATCAAAAGGTTCAGAGAATCTGGAGAAATCACTGCACGTAAGCGGCACGACCGGAAACCAACATTGAATGCCCGTGACCTTCGATCCCTCAGGTGGCACTGTATCAAAAACCAACATCAGTGTGTAAAGGATTTCACCACATGGGCTCAGGAACACTTCAGAAAACCACTGTCAGTAAATACAGTTTGTCACTACATCTGTAAGTGCAAGTTAAAACTCTACTATGTAAAGCAAAAGCCATTTATTAACAACATCCAGAAACACTGATGGCTTCTCTGGGCCCGAGCTCATCTAAGATGGACTGATGCAAAGTGGAAATTGTTTTTGGAAATATTGGACGTCGTGTCCTCCGGGTCATAGAGGAAAAGAACCATCCAGACTGTTATCGACGCAAAGTTCAAAAGCCAGCATCTGTGATGGTATGGGGGTGCATTAGTGCCCAAGGCATGGGTAACTTACACATCTGTGAAAGCAACATTAATGCTGAAAGGTACATACAGGTTTTGGAGCAACATATGCTGCCATCCAAGCAACGTCTTTTTCATGGACGCCCCTGCTTATTTCAGCAAGACAATGCCAAGCCACATTCCGCACGTGTACCAACAGCTTAGCTTCGCAGTAAAAGAGTGCGGGTACTCGACTGGCCTGCCTGCAGTCCAGACCTGACTCCCATTGAAAATGCGTGGCACATTATGAAGTGTAAAATACGACAACGGAGACCCCGAACTCTTGAACAACTGAAGCTGAACATCAAGCAAGAATGGGAAAGAATTCCACCTTCAAAGCTTCAACGATTAGTCTCCTCAGTTCCCAAACGTTTATTGAGTGTTGTTAAAAGGAAAGGTGATGTAACACAGTGGTAAATATGCCCCTGTCCCAATTACTTTGTCACGTGTCGCAGCCATGAAATTCTGGGTTAATTGTTATTTGCAAAAATAATTAAATAAATAAATAAAGTTTATGAGTTTGAACATTAAATATCTTGTCTTTGTAGTGTATTCAATTGAATATAGGTTAAAAAGGATTTGCAAATCATTGTATTCTGTTTTTATTTACGTTTGTCACAATTTTCAAACTTCAATGGAATTGGGTGTTGTACATAAAACTCATCAGTCATGTTGCAGATGGTCTTGACTAATTTTGAATACCATACAAAGACTGATATGAGTTTTAGTCACTTTTATAGGTGTGGAAACACTCCCCACGGGAGCTTTAAGTAATGTGAGCTAGCTTAGTTCTTTCCTCATTATATTTCTAGATGGTAGTTACTCAAGACAACCAGTAGTTAACCCGTAGTTAGTTTCTGATTTGTAACTTTTTTTCCTTAACTAGGAGTTAATTATTAACTACACATTGACATTTGCCAGCAGCTTCTCTATAAAGTACCTGTTTGTTTAGGATATGCTCAAGATCTGTCCATTTAATTATAGTTAACTATTGGTTAGCTCTTCATTTTTCCCATTAGTCCCTCCATAGTTTTTGACAAACTTCTTTTTGATAAATAGTTAACTCACATTTACTTTCTCATTCATCCACAATTTGTCCCTTAATAAATGTGCAATATGTGCTTTTTTACAGATGGTGAACTAGTTTGTTCCTTAAAACTTTATTAATTCGTAGTTTCAGATTTACTACCAGCTAATAGTTCACCCTAATAAAGACTTGTGAGCTATCAGCTTGTTTACTTATGGTTAACTTATTAGACCCTCATTTGTGCCCTAATGAGGAGTTCATTAAGATCCCCTTATTAACTGAGAGCAGTTACTTTCTCATTGATTCCTCATTACCTTCCTAATGAGGCATTGCTTATTAGGAAACTAATTAACTCATGGTCAACAAGCTCATGCAATTATGTTAACCAGTTTCTCATTTGTTCACTTGACATTTCCAGTAACTTTTTAGGATTTTGTGTACCTTTTTTTCAAGTGTTATATTTGTATTTAACACCAAACAAGGCAGATATTTATGATGTTCCCATGATAGTGGTTGAAGATGTAATTTTTTCTGGTCCTTAAAAACCAGCTCACTCAAGCCTCCATGAATGAACTGTCCAGCTTCATGCGCCGATGTGTTTGTTGTTTTTCTAATGGTCTTAACTTTTGTGTTACTGAAACATCAAAGTTACAGAGGGGAAGAAAAACCACGGACAAGAGTCAGGTGATCTCTACTTTTATTTAAATTAAATCATAAAGGACTTTTAAAGCATTTTATTATTTACCAAAAACACTAACCTTTTTCTGAATTAGATTTTCGTCTCTCATTAATCATATCTATATATTCATAGGTGCTAGGCAGAAAAAAAAGGAAGAAATATATAGGCGGACAGTAGGTCAAACATGTACTGAAAAAAAAGCATATCTAGGAATTGGTTGTAAACAAAAGTCAAGGCACAACATACTGCAACAGACATGGAAATGGTACTACAAAAAGTGACAGGATGTTAGGTAACACATACTTTAAATATCAGTTAGAATTTGCCTCAATTTCCCCTCTGCAAGTGAAGCATTTTTTTTTCTCTCTTTTTAATATTTATTATTTTTTATTTTTGTTTTGAAGGAATGTTAGATCACTTGTGTGGATTACAAAGCTAACAGTTGCCATATTGAGACATGCAGAACAATATACGGTTTGGCTATGAATGATGAACTTATGTAAACATTATTTAAAAAAGCACTTTCCTTTTTAACCATCTTTTTTTTTGAGTTCATGCCTGTGCTCCAGCTCTTAAAAAAACAAGCTTCATGTGATTAAAAGTTTAATTATTTGCACATCAGAATTTCTATAAGTAAAATGAATGCATTTATAAAAAAAAGTTTTCCTTTGTCTCCACTAGTTATTGAAAGAAAAGAGAAAAAAAAGAACAAAAACACAATAATAAATGTTGATTTTGTGGTCATAGCCCAAAGAGTTATCAATACGAGTGACTGGATCAGCAATCGTTGAAATTCCACAAGGCTCGTCGGGTTTTTAGTCTCTTAGGTGTCTTTATAAAAAGCAGATCAAAGCAGATACGGTGGTGGGCCAGTGCAGTCATTCATGATGTGTGAAAATCCTCCTCTCTTTGTGGTCACCAGAACGGTTCAAGTAATCTAAAAGAGCACAGACACAGACTTTAAACCAACTCTCTTTGTGACACGTCAGAGAGTTGAATCACTTCCTGAGTCGAAACTCACCTTGACTCTCTTTCAAATGCATTTCTCTAGAAGAGGCCGCAATCCTTCAGGTTATTTTTGATGATTACATCAGTGACGGCGTCGAACACAAACTGCACGTTCTTGGTGTCGGTGGCACAGGTGAAGTGGGGGTAGATCTCCTTGGTCTCTTTCTTCTTGTTCAGATCTTCAAATTTGGTCCGGATGTAAGCCTGAGCCTCCTGATATGTGTCGGGACCTGAGTATGAAGGGAAGTGAGGATGACTGTGCTGAAAAGGACAGACGTAATAACTACATAGCAATCAATATTGACTCATCTTCATATTTCCTCACATGTGAAGTCATTTTTTGCACTTTCTCTATATTTGATACATTTGCATCAGACAGATTCATTCTGAGTGGAGAACCTTCCTGGCAATGCTAAACCAAATTCAGTTTTTAATATGGACAATTGGCCTCACTATTACAGACACAAGTCAAATCGAAAACCCAACCAAACAAAGTCATATTAAGACCTGAGCCGATGTTTGCACCAGGTTGTAAACGTGAACTCTTGCTGTAAAAACGGTCACCTTGACAATACTGACTTTTAGAGAAAGCCTTGAATGTGCACTAAGAACTGAAACTGTTTGCACTGAAGACACTGATCTCACTTTAAGACACCAGAGGTTGCTGTTTGGGTTTAACAAAGTTGAAAAGAAGAGGGTTGGGAAGGTGTACTGAGTGCTGTAGTAGCAGTAGGTTCTTGTATCACAGCAATATACACAAACACTAGAAAAAAGATGTATCTGAACTGCTTTACGAAGAAATATAACCTCAAATAAACCTAAACTTACAAATAAATCTTTCAGTCCTCAAATCAAGAGGTGCAAAAATGACAAAGACATCCTAAACTATAGCTCTGTGAAAGTGTTGCCATTTCCAGATATTTGCTCTGAGATGTTGGGACTGTACCAGTGTACTCAGGGAAGCAGATGGTCAGAGAGCTGTGGGCGATCTTCTCCTCAAACAAGTCCTTTTTGTTGAGGAAGAGGATGATGGACGTCTCTGTGAACCACTTGTTGTTGCAGATGGAGTCGAACAGCTTCATGCTCTCGTGCATCCGATTCTGAGCAGGAAAAGGGCATAAACACACGGAGATAAAGAGATTATTACAGAGCATAACTAGGGCACATAAAGGAAATGAGTTTAACCTCCCGCCTCATTTAAAATCATGCCGGGGAAGGTAAGCTTCAACACACCATCTCCTCATCCTCGGCCAGCACCAGGTCATAAGCGCTCATGGCCACACAGAAGATGATGGCTGTGACTCCCTCGAAGCAGTGGATCCACTTCTTCCTCTCTGAACGCTGGCCTCCGACATCAAACATCCTACAGGGACACACACACACACAATGCAAAGGTGTCACTTTTATGAGAGAGCAGTAGGAGTGAGCGCCGCAGAAACAACATTTTGTCGCACTGATAGACAAGCAAAGCAAAATTCAAGGTCTCCCTCTAGAAACATGTCTCCTCTTTACTCTGAAAACACGCCTGACACATCCTCTCCTCAGGGCAGGGTGTTTTGCAGCACAGGCCTTGTCATTTTCCTGGCATTTGTTGGCATTTTAGTGCGCTGTAGTTGCTGTGGTAACACTGTGGCCTTAAAATAGGGTGAGGTTTTGTTTACTTGAGTAACAATCCTGCTCGGTCTGTTATGACTATGTGAATGAAAGTGTTCACTGCTGTACTGTTCCTTTGCTCTCTTTTAAAAGACAACAGCGTGTCTTTGTTTAGAGAAGGATTATCATAATCTCAACTCTATTTTTATTTACAGTTTAATCTTCTTGTGTGAGAGTGCGAGCATGAGGAGTTATCAGTAAACTTCAGCCTGCCCTGTGACACATGACTGAAAGCTGCTGGTTTACTACATGACTTCTTCATACAGACGTATTGTAGGTAGATGTTTAAGATGTCAGCTGGTCTGAACTGCAGCTAGAGGTAGAGTCTACTCTTTGTAACATCTCAGTAGCCATGTTTATATGGGCACAAATAACCTGAATAAATGCCCAATCGGAATAAAAATGTGTCATGTAAACATGTCGATCGTAAGTTTCCCATCCGTAAGATTCAGTTCAATCGGACAGAAAATGTATTCCGATCGAGAGGGGTGGTTTATGCCAATCGTTATTCCGAATACCTAACCCTAACCATGCCTGCTCTTCCGATAACATAACAAGGCGTACATATAGCGTAATAATGTCACACCTGCACGCACAGTGCAACTTTTGACAGAACAGTAAAACAAGTAAGCAAGGGCACCATCTAGTGACACCATTTAACAGGGGGGAACAGCCTGAATCGGATTGAGTGAGTCACTAACCCGTTTGTTGGTTTGTTGACAGCAAAGGCGTAAATACAACTCTTCTTCTGCAGTTGTTTTAGCAAAATTAGACAACTCTGTGCATGTCCAAATGCATTGAATCTGAATAAAGCTTGGTGCATGTATATGCACATCATGATTGGATTATTTGATTTTGCACCCATATAAACAGTGGATTCAGATTATCCGATCCCTCAAATTTTTCAACTTTGCCCATGTTAACGTGGCAACTGTGACACTTAAAAAAAAAAGAAAAAAAAACTCTTTTCATCCGTCTAAACACTTTGAACTTTGTAGATTTTGGTTAATTAAAGCAGATCTTTATGTCTGTGGATACATCTAGCTTTGGGCTGAGTAAGCAGAGCTCGGTATAACAGTGACACGCTTTCACAATGTTTACTTTATTCCCCAGCACTGCTTTCGGGGGCTACATAAATCACTGTAGAGCAGCACAGAGGGGCTGCTCGAGGTAAACATGCGCTCGCTGGATTTGGTTTATGTCTCTACAAAAGGAATAAAACAAATCAAGACTTCAGATATGAAACCTGAATGTAACACAAGGACACAAAGCAGGCACTTTTTCATTCTCACGACTGTGACAAAGCAGTGCTGAAGTCTGTTTTTTATCTCTTAAATTTACAAAGAAATCTTTTTGTAGTTTGAGAAAATACAAGAAGTGACAAATGACTCAGTCCCATATTAAGAATTATGTGTTTGGAGTTATTCCCGAACCCACACACAAACTCATATCTTACAGAGGGAAATTGTTTAAGTTTGAACAAAGGGAAAAAAATAAGACAATTTCTGGGAAGCAAGGCTGAAAACAGTGACTAACTAAAGGGTAATAATAAGTTTGATTTCTTTTACCACATTGTTTCACTCTGAGAATGACTGAGAGCCATTTAAGCTAAAAAAAGATCAAATAAACAAACATGCAAACTGTTTGTGTGGGATAACAAGATTTTTTTTGTTGTCTTAGTGAATCCCCTCTTAGTGAAAATAAGTTTCCATTTGAACAGCATCTTTCTTTTCTCTAAATCTGTTCCTGAATTGACACTTTAACTCTTTAACTTCTGTAGAAGGAGCCCACAAAGCTAAAAAACAAATGTTTTTTTATTCTGTGAACTCTACCAACCTTTTAAAAAAGGGGAAACTCAGCGCTGTCAAACTCACATGACACCTTTGGGACTGAACATTAACATGTGACTCATGAGCAAACAAAACCTTTCTTCAGATAACAAAATCCTCCAATGACGGCCTTTTTTTCCAGAGACAACACCTACCTTTTTTTTTGCTTTGATGCCACAAAGGGGTCAGGAACAAAACAAAAGAAAACATCAGTGTTTTTATTTTTAAAATGTTTTTGGAAGTTTACTAGCAGAGGTGGTTGTTATTGTAGTGAAGGTGGTCCATCCCTGCTATTAAACACATCATTTAAGCGGCTAAAGAGACACTCCAGAGGGGCTCTTACAGGTAGAAAGAAACAGTGAGGTGGACAATACAATAATGTATCGTGTGATTGTGAAAAAAAACATGGAGGTGGGATGGGGGTCTCACTTGAAGTGCAGATCTTTGAAGGTGAAGTGAGTTTCCACAATGCCGGTGGTCTTCACTCGGGTCCGCAGCACATCTTGCTGTGTGGGGATGTAATCTGGCTTGGCTATCCTCCCTAGGTCATTCAGGTAGCTGATGAGAAGCAGAGACATAAAACGTCACATGACCAAAGTAAAAGCTCTGGTCTTCGAGTGCTGTGCAAGTGTGAAGTGAAAGAGCTCAGCTGGTTCTCTGCGTGGACGAAGATGGACCTCGGGCTGGCCTTGAATCCAAGACACAGAATGTTCAAATCAGTTGATACAGAGTCTGCTCTTCTAAAACATATTAGAAAACTACATCTCGTGACTGTACTTTCTTTTTTGTTTACTTCTGAATTAGACAAAGACTTTCTAGGGCGTACCATATGATGTGTTCCACGTGACAGCGTACTACAATTAGGAAGGACCAAAAATGTTAAGTTGTTCTTTCATTACTTTATATTTCATTTGAGCTGGATCCATAGAGTATAAACTAGAGGTTAGGATTTATTTCCTTTAGTAAGCTGTTAACTGTCTGCATGACATGTCTGGAAAATTTTGAAAACTTTTTAAATCTTTTAATTGAGTGATGATAAGGTGGCTGTTAGGGTGACAACCAGCAGGTATTAAAAGTGCTTTATGAAGGCGGATTATTAGTGGTAAATACCAACAGTAGCACTGTTTGTCCATCAGCTTAATGGTTCTCCCAGTACTGACAGATCAAATACTGGTACCAAAACTCATTTATTGGCCCAGTTTAAGACATCAGTGACGTAAAAGATGACAGTCTTTTCCAATCTTTAAGAACAAATCTTAAAAGACATGGGCCTTTTTCTTTAAATCTGCTGATAGAATAGCCTATTTTGAGAGATTGTCCCTTTTTGTGTCCACATTTTGTATTATCTACAACAGAGTATTGGGGCCACATTAAGAAAAAAAATTAAGACTTCAATATTAAAGTTGTAAACTTACAAGAATAAAGTCATTACTAATGAATATAAAGTCATTACTATCAAGAATAAAGTCGTTATAAAGTAATTACGAGAATAAAGTCGTAATAAAATCATCACTTACGAGAATAAAGTCCTTATATTCTAACCTGTTGTTTAGGATGACAGTTGCTGAAATGAGAGCCATGGAGCATTTCGTGAAAATGTACTTCAATATAAGTTTCTCAAACAAGGAAATAATAACTCTTTCGGCACATCAGCACCACATTATCATAAGTATCATAATGATTTTTATTACGACTTTATTCTCGTCAGTAATGACTTTATTCTCGTACATTAAGGACATTAATTTTGAAGTCTCAATTTATTTTTCTCTATGTAACCCTAATACTCCGTCATAAAGGAGTGTATCCTTGTATGTGCAAATAAAACACTCTCACTTTTCAACACATTCATAACAGCTTGAAATTCCTGAACACACACACACACACACACACACACACACACAACGTTCCTGGCTTAAAGCCAGCTGATCTTTCATCACAATATTCAGCAGCATAAAAGAGGCTGCATTTTATAACAAAGTGTTAGTAATCCCAGACAAACCACAGCCTGAGTGTAGATATTCAAGCCTCTGCATCACTGCTGGTAGCCACGTGTCTGACAGTTTAATCATAATCCTGCTCCCCAGTGAGGTTTGAGCCTGCTTTTGTAGTCTGCACATCAGATAGTGTGACACCGCTGGTTTGGCCGGTAGGTTTTATAAGCCTTGAAGATTAATTGAATTTGTGGGGCTTACATTCTATTATGAAAAAGTGCTTCACTGTAGTGCAACAAAGGATCATCAGCGGCAAAATAATTATTTTACAAGCTTTGATTTGAGATTTTAGGCCTTTTCATATTGTTGATTGTTCTCATAAGTGTTGATGAACATCTGGCGTTGAGTTTGGACCTGTAATAAGCCAGCAAATACTCTTGCACACAGAACAATTACAGCGCAATAATGGAAGCCTGATCCATTATATTCAGAGTGTAACGAACATGTCCTTTTCTATCAAACCTGAGCGAGAGAAGAGGAAGGTCTATGTTAATGTGTGCCAGGCCGCCCATCTCTCTTTTTCTCTCTCTTTTTCTCTCTCTTTCAGTTCCTATCTTTCCTTCCTCTCTTTCTGGCTCTCAGCAGGTGCTCAGACATGGATTATGGTCCACTGCCAGACTCATTTAGTGCTCTCATAGCAACTGACCATCTCAACACTCCACAACAGCAATAATAAAACATGGTCACACTATAGTTATTTTCAGCACTGGCACCATAATTCTAGGCCCCTTTGGTTTTTAACAGGAGGTCTGAGGCAGAGGTGGAGGTGGAGAATAATGAACCCAGAGGCCAACACAAACAGAGGAAAACTGTGACTCCCTTTAGTAGTTAAATAGTACCTTCACTGCAAAGCAATCATTGGCGAAACCCTGAATCCTCCCCCTGACAGTTCACAGCCCATTCTGCAGGTGTTAGAGCATTAGCACAGGACGCGTGTATAAAACTGAAATCAGTAAGTTTGATTCCAGCTGCAGCGTGAGGCAGCTGAATGTGCGGGGCTCTTTTTTCTATGAGTGCATATTTTGGCAGTATACACCCCCTCAAGAACTGAAGTGATAACCACCTCTCACCTCGCACAATTACCTCATGCTCTCCTTGTTATTACATTGTAACATTATGACTATGAGGCCGACAAAGGGAGCGCTCAGACGTGAGGGTAACAGAGGTAATGAAGACCTCCACAAAGAGGCTGAGGTCGCTGTGTTGTTGCTGATTAGCAAAGCGACTGGTCTTGAAAGGGAAAGAAACTGGTTAAACATAACAGGTACATCTTTGCTGCGTGGCTGCTCATTATTTTAACTGGAGAGTATGGTGTTAGCATAAAAGGCAGAGACACAATATTTACTGTGCAATATTATTTGTACTGCACCACTAATTTGATTCTAATTCTGTCGTATCCTAGCTCCTTTTTTCCAACGTTGTTTACTCAGTGAAAGTCTGTTCATGAAGCTTTCTGTACTGTAATAATCTGAGTGTTATTTTTTGTTCCTAAGGCACTCACTAAGCAGCAGAGTCATTGAGCTGGTACTCTCGGGCCCGTGTGAAGCAGCTCTGGACTCCACCATCACCCCACAGTCGCTGGATGACGTTGGACAGATCGTCTGGCAGGATGCCTTGCTCCTCTGCTGCTGCAGACAAGGCAAACAGTTGGCGGGCATCGTCCTGAAGAGAAAAGAGACACAATCATACGTGCTGTAAGATGGAACAATTACCTTACATTCATTAACTCTTATTGTTTTTCCTCACACCACAAACATCGTTTTGACCCAGCAGGACTGCATTTAGTTCACATGGCTTGGATGTTTTTCCACTAAATCAGGAATCTTAATCTGCAGCATTTCAAAGTTGCAGAAGTTGCATGAGAAAATGTTTGTTTAATAATAGAAAGAAAAACATGTCTCTTTTCAGGGCACATGATTTGATATTAATGCAGCTCAACATACAGAAACAGCCTGTGCCTTTATGCATAACACAGTATCTATTGATTTATTCTCAAACAAGCTCCTTTTTTGCTAGCACACTTGAGGAAGTAAGACAGATAGAGACAGTAAAATTTATCACATCTGTCATAAATCGACTCTTGAATAAAATGGTAAGGATGTCTCCATTCAGCTAAACAGATACTTAATGTGGATAGAATTTGGTCCTGTCAGGATGAGAGCTCATGGTGCGCAGCTCTGAGCAGCAGAGAGTTCAGGTGCTGACAGTTAGTTATCTCAAACAGAAAGATGGAGCAAACAGAACAAAGACGGTCTGTGATCTGAAGTAGTTCACTCCAAGTCCTGATGTTATTGTAACTGGACTGAATAGCTGGCGACTGATTATCATAAACAAACAGAAACATGAAAGTGGCCGATAATTGAGCGCTGACCTTTATTTACTGCTAAAGGCCATGATGCCAATCATAATACGGGGCCCAGCAGCAGATTGATTACCAGTTGTTATTAGAGGATTTACATAATGTTACTATTCACTGCTATTGTAGACACAGTTATGGCCTTCTTCGAGGGGGACTTTCTCCTATGTAGATATGAAGGGAAAAACCCAATAACGTCAGTCTGTTCTGTAAAATTCTGCTTGATTCTGCACACTAATGCTGCGTTCCAGTTGTACTTAGAAGTTGGAATTTTCGAGCTCCAAATCCTCACCAACCCCGACTTGACGACGTCATAATCCAAGATGGCAGCGCAGTGCATCAGCAATGAAGAGTAACAGTGAAATCTCTCGTAATGTTTTATTTATTAGCACTTCTGTTTTGTTTTTGTGAAATTAAATGCGTGGTTTATGTTGAACTGCCCAACGTCTAACTGTGAACACGGTGCTATGGTGTTTGTAACTGTTGTGCGTTGTTTAGAACTGGTATTGCTAACAACAACTAACAACAGCTGTAAACAACAGCTAACAAGTGGTAACTGTAGGCGACCATCTTGGTTTTCCGACTTGTTAACTGGAACGCTGTCAACTCCATTCCAAACTCCGACATCCGACTTCCGAGGTAACTGGAACGCAGCATTATATTTACACACTTTGACACATCTTAACTCCAAAAATTCTGGTGATGGAAGAGTTTCTCAAAACATGAAGTCTAATCTGTTATTTTTATCCAGACTGTTATGTAAACAGCCAACTACAACATCTCATTTTCAAGTATTTTAACTATTTAAGCTGCAGCACAGCCATCGAAATGAGAGCTTGGATAGCCAGTCCCAAAGCTAACAGCTGACTAATGTAGGTTGGAGTTTGTATAAAGGGCATCGTCCTCTGCAAACATCACCTTCATGTTTGACACTAAACAAGGTCTAGCATAAACTTTTGATGTTAACTATTGAGAGCAGACTTTCATGCATTAGTTAACCATTAGCTGACCTTCAAGACCAGCAGCCACCTACTGTGTACCAGCAGGTAGTTATTCAAATCCTGTTTTACATGCACAACAGAGCGACTGAACACATTCAACCAAGGCATTAGTTAAAATTCTGTTTTTGAACTCGTCTCTTCAACAACAAGAGGCCTAGTGAGAATTCAAAGCATAATGCAAGAGACAAAAACTGGAACCTACATGTTTCAAATCTAATTTTGTTTCATGTTCAGCCAAAAAGTTTCGAGAAAACTAGATCACCTCAGTTTGGCCCTGTTTAAAATCAAAATGTTTTAGGTGAATGATCAAATTCTGATGTGAAAGCCGGCATTTTAAGAGAAAATATCTAAGCAGTCACAGAACCAGGAGTTAGTATTATTTTGCAGCAACTCCTTTTTTGGCTGGCAGACAATGAAAGCACCCTGGTCTTTGTGTACACACAAACAGACGAACCAGTTTAGCCACACGCTGCTGTAAGAAAATTGCTGGATGCTGACTGTGCCTCCTCCTTCAAAATTACCTTTTTAAATGACACCTGTAATGTTTATCCGGATAGTCAAAGCTTCCTGAAGGCTGTGCAGAAAAATGTGTCTTTTAAAAAAAGGTCATGAATTGCTCTCATGCCGAGGGAGCTACCTTGGCAGAGAAAACTCAACAGATACCAGGATCTTCAGAATGATCTTTTCACATAAAACGTGTTTACCCAACAACTCTGAAGTGAGGAGGAAGCTGAACAGAAACTGCAGAGTAAGACTTGACCTATCCTGGGTGCAAAAATATGATTGCTTGCATTGTTGAACACACATTTTGGTGACTCCATCAAGCGTAGTAGCCTTGTCCACTACACATGACACAGAGCTGCTGTGTGAGCTGAAGAAATATACAGTGTGAAATTGAATTATCGGACTGTATAAAAGGCGCACAGATGCCTCTATTACTCTGTGTCCTCTCAGTTCAGACAGCAGCCTTTCATATTCCCTTTGATGCATGAGCTGACAGATTGATTCATCCTCTATAACCAAAGATACTGAGTTTGTTTTTTTTCTTCAAATGATCTGTGAAAACAGAATTTATGAATCACATTCGGGTGATGCTTCACAGGAAAAGAAGGGGATTTAATTTTCTCCTTTCATGAGTAATGCCTGAATTTTCTCTCTGTGATCTTATCGTCTCCCCGGGCAGTCTCCATTTGTTGAAAAGCAGTCCTTTACTGTAACGTTTTGCAGCGTACACAAATACTCAAACGCACACGTACGAAAGCCAAAAGAGAAAATACACAGCACTGCAGGAGTCCATCTTAAGCATCTGCTACCCAGAGTTGATTTTAAAGTAGAAACTGCCACACTGCTCTCCAGAGAAATTCTTGAGCTGCAGTTTCTGCAGACTCAAACCCTCCAGGCTAGATATGGTGGTGAGGATGGAGGCAGAGCTTTAGTGTTGATGAGAGGAGATGAAATCACTGACCTGAGTGCAGCAAGAATACACATGACTTAAGGTTTACATATAGTTTTGTTGTCACCTTAACCTGCTTCCTATTACTACCAACAAGTGTCAGAAAGCAGAGAAATAATCAGACACTTGAGTGTTCTTTCCTAAAACCAAGGCTGTCATTTCTGTTAAATTTCAGACATCCTTTCATTTTCCCATTCCTGCAGCAGACGGTGATGATTTTAACTTTGATGTTTTTTATTTTTATTTTAATGAGATACATACTGCTCTGGTGGAGTCCTCATAGTCGATCTTCAGGTTAGCCATGGCTTTAATGATGGCCATGATGGACTGGATGGTGTTGCTATAGACGACTGCTCTGTACTGCTTACACTCATCTTCTGAGTATCCATCTTCATGGATAATCCTAAAGAGAGAGAACACATACAAGGACAGAGGGAGGGGGCAGAGCAAGAGAAAACACATTTCAGGTGAAATCATAGTTTTTAAATGCAACAACTCAAACTCTGGCTGAAAATTGCATTCTCATTTCTGTAACGTGTTTAAAGTAAAAAAATAAAGTTTGTACCTTTTATCAACAGACACAACAAAAACTGTGAGACCTGTCACAATGAAAGAATTTCAAATTTCATTGTAAAAGTAAAACACCTGTACTCTTTTGGATAACACTCACTGCGTTTACATGCACAGCTTAATCAGACTAATCGATTATTCTTTTTTTTTCGCCAAATTGGACTTCTCTCCTTGTCCGTGTATAAATGCAGCTGAGAAAATCGAATTATTGTCGTGAACATGTCCTCCTCCCCAAAACTAGGAGGCGATATGGGACTTTTCAGTGGCGCTGTTTTCGACCCCATACAACTGTCAACAACAACAGCAGGTCTGTGCCAGAAGGCAGAAGTGGCTACCACTGCTGCTGGGCATTTTCAAGCAAGAACACGGAGCATCGTACAGCGTTGTTTTTGTCGTACATGATGTATGTGCTACTTCTTCCTCTCTGCCACTTCTTCTCTGGTGTTTTTGTTTAGGGGTTACGGGGGTGTGCAGCACGTGCAAATGATAGATAGATAGATAAATAGATAGATAGATATACTTTATTGATCCCAAACTGGGAAATTCGCAAAATGCATTGTCCAACCATACCTCGACTACGCTGGTTACATGGTAGAGAAAATCGAATTTCAATCGCATTATCTGGGTGTCTTAATCGGAGTTCTCAGACTCCAATCGGAGTTCTTAAACTCCGATTATAGTTGGACTAAGGTGTTTACATGCACTTTAGTTGTCATCTTAATCGAAGTAAGGCAATAATTCAGTTTTCTCAAGTGTCATGTAAGCGTACTGACTGACTTTTTGTGCATTACAATTTCTTTGTTTTTAAAGAATTCGATTCTTTATATATATATATATATATACATACATATACATATATATATACATAAATAAAAGTTATTCTTTTCGAACGCACCAAATATGTATTGCATCTATTGTTTTTTATGCTTCTGACAAGAAAACTATCACGATTACAGAATCTGTGCACCATAATTTACACGTGTAATTCCACTTTTTTTGTCTTGTTTAAACCCTCACATTATTAAGAAAGAATTCTTGGTCACCTTTGGGAAAAAAAAACGCATCTGAAAAGTGACGTATTGCCACAGCTGTCAAAGTAATCAAACACTTTCAACCATTAAGAAAATTGTGGCCTGTTTTTTTATCTAAAATGTTACTTAAAGGTGATAAATCATTAAATCCATTAAATATGATCAAGTCCTGCATGAATGTGATCACATGACTGCTGGCTTGTCTTACGGAGAAACTGCAGCTGTTTTCGTAACCCTCACCGAGTGGTCACTTGAACAAATATTTGCTCAGTTTTGGATCAGACTAAAAGAGAGAGAGACGGCATGTGGTGTAAAAAAAAAAAAAAAAAAAAAAAAAGCGTGGGGCCGCTGGGCTACATGCCAAACAGAGCCATCTCCCCTGGCCTGTCACAGCACAGAGAGCAGAGTCATGCAGCCACAATGCTCACTGGATGTGTGATGTGCTGAATGGGAGATCATTAAAATGCAAGTGAGCCCACTGTGAAGCACTGTGAGCCACAGCCTCGAGAATTGAAAACACTCAGTGTTTCCCCTTCAGCCAAACATTGCTGCTGCTAATTTCCTAAAACTCACTTTTGAAAATTTACAAAGACAGCAATCGTTATCTTAATCTTGCATAATTCTGGCACAATGGGTACCTATCTGTTTATTTTTTTTAGAATATCAGAGAATCAGACCATCTATTTTAATTCTGCACTGAAACATAGGTTCACCATGTGAGTGTATTAAGAGTCCTATTTGTAAAACTTAATCGAACACAGTGAGAAGCTCAAAACACCCTGAATAAGTGTTTTTGACACTGAGTCCTGAATCTACACCTGAATGTGGATCTGTGTCATTACACAGCAGGCTGGGGATCGACCAGATTTGTGAATGAAAGCTAAGTACTGCAAAAATGGAGTAATGACTGAGACAAATCCTGCATTTGGAGACCCCACTGTGCATAAAATTTTACTTTTGCATGTGGAGTGCTTTTAAAAAGTGCATCTTTAACAATAAATATTTTTTTTTTAATATTTGGATGTTTTTTGTCAGGGCAGGTAGACATTTTTAGTCAATTAATGATTCAGTCCTATCATTCGAACTTATTTTTTTCAACTACTCGTCATTTACAAATACCCTCTCATCAATGTGGTATTTCTTATCTTTGCCAGAATGATGCCTTTATCAGAGTGATTCATGAAAAAATTCTAAACATAGCACTGAAAAAAAAAAAAAAAACAGGTTTCAGTGTGCCCTGCCGCTCTAAAAAACTCTGGAGTCTAGTCTGGGAATGAGGGCTTTCATATGAGTTATGTTTGTTCTCTATTTTTAGGGAGACGAAAGAATTCACTCCTGCTCCTCGGACAGAGGAGAAGAAAATGATGTTGTGCCCTTCAACTTTAGCCTTTAGTTAAAAAGGTTTCAATAACAAGTGAAATTTCATTGAATAAAGACACAGACGAGTAATATGCCGACTTATTCCCTTTTTTTGTGTACTGAATAAATGGTGTACGTATACTGCACCTAATCTTAATGACTTTAAAAGCGAACTCAAAACAAACCTTTTTAGTCTCCCTTTTAACCAAATTTTACATCATTAACCTTGTTTAAGTGTTTTACCATTTATCTCTTCTAGTTTTAATGACAGGATCATCTTTTATTGAGCTATTTTGATGCTCTTATTTTAATATCTTTTAATGTTGTTCTTATTTCATTTTATTTGTTTTTTCTTAAATTTCATTTTGTGTTAGTCTGTTTTTAGATTATAACCTAACCTCCAGTGTTTCCTTCTCTTAAAACTGTGTTTCTTCAGGGCGCACTTTCCTGTTTCAATGAAATCAAGCCCTTTTCGAGTTCATGCATTTTAATACATGTTTCTGTTGTTCTTAGATCGCAGGGTGGGAATGAGGGTTTGGGTTTGGGTAGATCAGGGTATTCTTTGTTTCTTTTTTTTCCTCTGCTATGTAAAGCACTTTGAGCTACATCATCTTTGTATGAAAAGTGTTATACAAATAAAGACTTATTGATTGATACAGTGTGCATTCACAGAGTACATGTGGGGGATTGAATGTGTGCTTTAAAGGAAAAACCCCAAAAGCTTGTCGATATTCACTGATATGCACATTGCGCAATTTGAGAGAGCTTTGTATTTGAGAGGTAGGTCAGGCTGCTTTCGTCTGTGCAGTGACAGGTAAAAGTGCAGAATGTTTATCCATGTGTAAACTGTGAAAAGTCATATTTAGCTCCATCTTCCAAAGTGAAGTTGTTGACGAGTGTTGTTTTGAGACAATTTGCCATTAAAGTCCTTCTTAACGAGGAAAGTGTGAGCTTCATTATATCAAACTTTTTCTTCAGTTGGAAACGATTTGAAATGATTCAACTGAAATTTTAGAGACTCACTTCTCCTTCACAAAACAACACTAAAACAACACGTAAAGTTTCCCTTATGGGATTTTGGTCTTGGAAAATGTACTCTCCGTTTGCTAATTGTTCAAGCTGATTGAACTGCTCAATCAAGTTACAATGAAGAGATAAAAAACAGAATATAGCACATACACACTGAAAATCTGTGCAGATGACAGAGTTCAGTTTTTTGAAATCTAGAAATGAAGAAAAAATGATACTTCAGTGTTTATTGCTTATTCCAACATTTGCAGCAAAGTTTAAAGACAGTTAAAAAATACTACTACTACTAATAATAATAATAATAATACGCTTGACTCTAGATTGCACACATCCAAAATCAATTTCGACCACTTTTAGGAGGTAACCTTATAGAAGCGACCCATCATCCAACAGTTGTTTCCCTCCTCCATACAGCTCTAGTTATAAATGTTTATGGCATATTACCTGTGAATGGCCTATATTAAGCCTGATGGCTTCAATCTAAGGAGTGCCAAGTGAACTCAGACAAACTGCATATAACTCACATAATCAGCTGGCTAGACGATTGTACTTTTCAGAGGGGTGTAGTAATGATTGAGGAGGTGCTCAGATTCTTAAGTACACATGTCACAGTAAAATCCTCCAGGAAATGGAAAATTCTGCATTTAAACACTGAGTGAAGTGTATGAAGGTCAAGAGGTTCCTGTCAGTATTTGATTTTTATGTGATACTAGCTGCGTTTACATGGACACAAATAATCGGAATAATACTCTATTGGAATGAAAATGCGTCATGTAAACATAACGATCGGGAGATTCTGATCCAATTTGGCTCAATCAGAAAGAAATTGTATTCCGATCGAGAGGGGTTGTTTATGCCGATCGTTATTCCGAAACGCATCCATGTAAACACTTATTCTGATCGTGATTCTCTTACCTGACTTGATCTTCAATCTTAACCCTTGGCTTAATTATTTTTGAGGCCAGTACAGGAGGTTTCATTAGTATCTCTGGCATAAAACACAACCAGGTGCCGTGTCTCCACCTCTGATAACATAACAAGGCGTACATACAGCGTAATGTGGTCACATCTGCACGCACAGTGGGACCTTTGACAGAACAGTAAAATAAGTATGCAAGGGCGCCATCTAGTGACAACATTTAACAGGGGAAAAAAATCCTGATTTGGATGGAATGAGCCACCACCACGTTTGTAGGTTTGTTGTCAACACAGGCGGAAATACAACTCTTCTTCTGCGGTTGTTTCAGCAAAATCGGACAACTCTGTGCATGTCCAAATGCTTCTAATCTGACCAAAACTTGTTGCATACACTACAGGCCAAAAGTTTGGAAGCAAGATCAGATTTTCATATATAAAAAGATCATAGTTTCATATATATAATTTGCAACACAATAAACATGACTATTGTGTAAAGAGTAACTTATCAGAAGACATTTTGACTTTAATTATTAGGTATTTGACTTATTGTTGCTTAGACTTTGCTTTCTTTAAAGTAACCTCCTCTGGCTTTAACAACAGCTTGGCATATACCAGGCATTCGTTCCACAAGTTTTTTAAGGTATGTTCCAGGGATTCTTAAGTTCAATAAAAAGATACAGCTGATTCGTGGGATGCGTTTTTCTGACCGATCGATCCAATTCATCCCGCACAAGCTCAATTGGAGAAAGGTCTGAAGACTGAGGGGGCCAAACCATCTTTTGAAGAACACCTTCCTCTTATTTTTGTCTAGGTAACCCTGACAGAGCTTGGCAGAGTGCTTAGGGTCATTGTCTTGCTGCAAAACAAACTTATGAACCACAAGTCTGAGTCCAGATGGAGCAGCATGGTGCTGGAAGACAGAATGGTACTGTTCCTTCTTCATGATACCCTTTATTTCAAACAAAGCTCCTACTCCATCACCTGCAAAACATCCCCATACCATGGAACTACCACCTCCATGCTGAATGAACGTGCTTTCAGACGTTCACCAGTTTGTCTGAGGACATAGACTCTGCGTTTTGAACCAAACAGTGCAAACTTGTTTCTAGTCATCATAAGTCCAATTTTTGTGAGCTTATGCCCACTCATATCTCTTTTTCTTGTTCTGTGGACAAAGTAGTGTTTTTTTGCAGATACACAACCCTTCAGACCAGCCTTTCTCAAACGTCATTTCACGGTTGTCAGAGATATGGGTTTCGACCTTGTCATGTTGATTTCCTCTCTTATTTGTGGTGCTGTCTTTCGCCGATCTCTCTTACTGGTTACAATGCTATGTTTCTTCGCTTTTGTATCAACTCTCTTTCGTCCAGGTCTTTTTCTATCATCATAACTTCCAGGTTCCTCTCGTCTCTTCAGAGTGTAGTGGACTCCTTTGTTAGACACCTTTAGGCATTTTGCAATTTCTCTTTCTGTGTATCCTTCTTTCCTCAATGTACAAATCTGTACTTTTTGTTTCTTTACTCAGTTGCTTCTTTCTAGCCATTTTTGGGGTAGTTTGAACGCAGTTGAGATTGATTAGGATTTTTGTAGGCAGACTCTCAAAAGCCAAAAAGTTTAAGTGAATATTCCAACTGTGATTTGTTTTTTTGCTTTTGCACTGAAGTTGTGACTCTTGCAAATGTTTTCAACCCTTAAACTAAGCCCTTATTATCTTTTGCTGACATATTTAGCAATGGTCTGTTAACATCAATGTATATCTAAAGGTAAATGGAGCAAAATGGTGCATTTCCATGAAAGCAACATCTGATCATGGAGTAAATACATCCCAAAATACATAAAACTCATGCTGGATTTGAAAAAAAGCATTGTGAACAAAAACTTGAAGTTACTCCCGACTGTTCGGCCTGTAATGGCCTTGCTTCCAAACTTTTGGCCTGTACTGTATACGCACGTCATGATCAGATTATTTGATTTGCACCCATATAAACAATGGATTCAGATTATCTTATCCCTTAAACTATTATTCGGATCAAGAAATTTTGCACATGTAAACGTGGCTAGTGTTGTTGCATTAATGCTAATATTAATCTTTTCTGCAGTAGCTGTTGATAAAAGAGCCAATATAACTCATTGCATTGGTTGCTTAATACCTCAAAAAGAGAGGTGGTTAACAGAAGTTAGAATTTACTAAATTAATAAATCACAAATGAGACGGTTTGAGCCTGAAAAAGGCCACAGGCAGGTACATAGTTACACCAGAATGATGTACTGGAAAGCATGTATGTTATTAGGACAATACTAACAAACATCTGTTCATATGTTAAGGATGATTGAAGGAAAGACAGAACAATAAACAGTCACTCACTTCATCTGCTTCACAATGGTGCTCTTCCCAGACTCTCCAGCACCTGCAGACAGAACAAAAACAGGCAAAGGTTAAAAATACACTCCTGTTAGCTGAGAAATGTAAACAGGCAGCCAGTGCGGCTGTCTCACATCTGGATCCTTGTCTTGCTCCCCTCCCTTTACCTCCCTGCTCTGGCTTCAGCTTTACAACAGATCTCAGCTCTCATTTTCATCCTGGTCCAGTCTCCTGTTCCCTCCCTCTCTCTCTTTACCTACAGGGACTCTGTTAGATCTGTCTGTAGTTTATATTCAAGCAGAAATACAGCCGTGTCTTTAGTTTCACAGTTTGACCACTCAACCTCCAAAAGAGACAAAAACCACCTCGCATTATATCTCAAGAGTCATATTATCATGGTTAACATTTTAATGGATCTGTCTCACACTGACAGGATGTGGGCTTTTCTTATCCACCGCTGTGTTTATTCTAACAGCCTGAGGCGACCAGAGAGAGCTCATCTGCCACAAGGAATCCAAGAACATGTACGCACGTGCGCATACACACACACACACACCCAGGGATGCCTGTCAGTGTACTCTCCTCGCAAACTCGCCGAGAGGGAAGGCTTTCTGGGATGGCCCTTAAAATACACTACTACTTAGAATGCACATAAACAGCAAAGCCCCTTGGGTAAGAAAAGCTTAAGATACTTTCTGCAGACAGCTGTCAGCTAACTACCCCCCTGTAAAACATAAACACACACGGGCTCACAGTTGAGTTGATATGGATGTTTTCACATATCACAGACACCTTGTCAGCCTTAGTTTAAAGGTGTAAAACTCAAATGTAAACAAATATGCCAAAACAAAAGGGTTGTGTGCGGTACAGTCGAGAAAAAAAATGATTGTGCAATTGTCTGAAGTCTTCACCAAGCAATCTGAAATATCACACTGTGCTGAAGCTCTCATCCATCTGCTGTACAGTCTGTGAGCCGTATTGTGAAGCAGGATGAAGAGAGGGAAGTCGCTCTCTCCCGCTCGCTACATACCTTGAGCGTGAACTGAAATCTGTAAGCAGATTTCCTGCTGAGGAAAACATGAAATGACTAATACACAGACTGATTGAGAGGAAACGTGTGTGCGCATGGCTTCTATGTTAATCTTGTTATAATGTCAGAATGCAGATGGGATAGTTAGCCATAAATAAATCATGTGCGCAACAACGGAGAAACTTTCCACTCTCTTCTGTTCTGTTTCAGCTGGTAAAATCCACAGCAGAGTGAGTATCTAAGAAAAAGGCAAGAAAAACCAAAGGAGCTAACTCAGTAGCGCCGTTTTAGCAGTATGGAAAATCTTTTAGGTTTAAGGCCTGTTGATGGAAACTCAGAGTTCATCATTTGGACGGCCAATCTGCCAGATTGTTGAACTCAGAAGTCTAAAAGTATGTCCTCACTGACCACGGATGACCTAGTTGGCCTCCCTCTCATCAAATACACACGCACAAATACACACATTGAGCGCAAGCTCTCCTGAAGTTAGTCAACATACTTTTTGAAGTTTATTCAATGAGGCTGAGGCTGCCTGTAGAAATGAGGGATGCAGTTTTACAGCTTGGTGCCAAAGCTGCTTTGATTAACAAATAAGTAGCGTCTCTCTTCACTGTGCAACACAAATACACTTAACCTAAAAGAATACTGTCTGTTCCTCATTACACATGCCAGTGAGTGAAAAGTGACAGGACCAAATCAAGTCCTCAGTCCGGTTTTATGACATTCCCAAAAATTTGACAGTATACTTCAATGTTAATTATTCAGAAACTACAAAGTACACGCAAGTGTGCAGAGGCAAGTAAGTCCTCCACTGCTCTGTTCTGTTTTAATATTTCATGGTGAGCAGCTGGCAGGAAAAGGCTGAAGCCAACTGTAAGCATGTGTGCTTCCATGAGACCATTGGCAGGACTCCTACAGGACTGGACACACTTTGTTTCTACTAATAAAACCTTAACTGAATAAGACGGGCACACGTTTCGTGGGACAGCTGAGTTAGAGGATCATTTTGTCAATCACTCAGAATTGGGGTGAAAAAATGCGAATGCAGCTCGTGGTTCTGCTGGGGGAAACTGTGGCAGGAACTCAGGCCCTATGACAGTGTGACTGATGAAACAATGATCCTGTTGCCACTACACAACACATTTGATCTGATCTGTTGCTAACGCTGCATTATCACCAAATCTCTCTTTGGAACATGAAGGCTCAGGACACAAATACTTATACTAATCACACATTTCCTCATGCTGTATTGATACTGATGCTTCCACAGACTGTTTGGAAATTGTTTATGACTCAGGACTGGAAAAAAAGTAAAGTCTCTAAGAGTGACTTTATGACTAAGGCTGCATTATCATTATTAGAAAGAGAAAACAAGGTTGATTTGGCTTGTTTTGGTATTTTTCACTCTTCAAACTCAGTTTAAACTTGGTCTAATAGCTTAAAGCGATATTCTGGCATAAAATGAATTTAGGGTCAAACACCGAGTTAGAATCCCCCTCGAGAGATAATTGTTGCCAACCGCTTGCTTCTCTAGTTTTACCAACTTTAGTAACGACCGCACGATAGCAACACACATTTACACATAAATATACATTTATGATCATTACTTTATCATTTTCTTGAAGTAATAATCACCATATTAATCATTTTGCACTGCAGATGCAGTAGTTCTTCTGCCTTATCGTCTTGATCTGATTGCATTTCCATAAAGAAATGATCATAAATGTTCTTCCTTGAGCTGCGTCACCCCACAGCAGTCCGTAATGGACTCGCCTGAGATCTCCCTACAAACAAGCGGCTGCTGGAGGAGAAATGGGTAAGACACATCAGTGGCTTTAAACTGTTGGATAAAATCAGAGTGAAATAGGACTGTAAAGCAGGAGGTTGAAGAAAAGCTGGGTATGCAAGAAAATAAATCCTGTACACTGCCTAGCAACAGGGCAATATGCACAGCAGTTGTGGTTGTTTTTGAGTCATGAGAGAAATTATGAGGAAAATAAGGCAGGACTGCCAGTTCAGACCTCAAGTCCATTTAATAAGATGAGTTTAACCAAACAAAAAATGAAATCAACAAAAAAGGGGAAAATGAGAAGGTCTGCGCTTGCCAACACATTCTCTGTCTGTGTATGTTAAACATGAAGAGGGCATTAGCATGGAGATGTAGCATAGATTGAAGCAGTAGGGTATCTGTTCATCTTCCAGCAAGACTCAGGAAATTACCAGATTAGTGACGGGATACAATGTGACGGGTAGACACGCAGAACCGACACTGAGGTGGGTTCCAAGGAAACCTGCGCTCAGGAGGAGCCCACCTTTGGATTAAGAGAGGTCCAGCTGGTGAACGACAGAGCCTGCAGGCAGACCAAGGCTGTGTCCGGTGGACAGAGGACTGCACTCACACCAGAGGGGTGTTGTCATTGATGAGTGATGACTTTCCTGTTCACATGCTGTGACCTGGTCCCTATTTGACCATAAACTACAGAAAATCACTGCTGAATACAAAACAGACATTGATACCTTTGGGATGGGTATGTTATATACTACCAGAGTGGTATTACTCGTGCATAATGGTAAAATAAATAACCTCTAGAAATGATGTGAGTGTTTGTACTTCCAGTACACAACATTGACCACTCATTTAGTGCTTGGGACCTCTGAAGGACTGGAGTGAATACATATTTGGGGGACATCTGCTGGTGTCTCTGTTTGTAGATGCTCAGCTAGACGCTAACAGCCATCTGGGAGTTCAAAACAATTATAATAGTATCATGACAGGAAAAACCTATCTGCTTCCACTGTGAGTAAACCGTGTTTTAGGATATAGGTATGATGACCCAGCATAGGTGACAGTCAGCAGGATTATACTGTCAAAGCATGAGGGTGTGTGTGAAAAGCCACGTACAGCAGGCTAGGTTTCAACACCACACTGCTTCTTTAACTTCTCCTCACGAATACAGATAGATACTGCGACTAATATGAGTTATGTACACTGTGTCAGCTTGTGTCCACAGTTTGAACTTAGTATAGAAAGCCTTCATGCCATATGCTGTAACCTTTTGCCATCAGTACCATAAACCCATCTTGAATAACTAGTGGTTTAAAAACAAGATCTGATGAGGGATGTGTACAGAAAGGGATAAGGTCAGAATTCTGACTATTATCTCAGAATTATAACAATAAAATACCAATTTGACCTTTTTTTTCGGTGGCCCTAATCCTCTTTCGTAGATGTGTACAGGACAACCAATTAGGATTGAAACTGTTTTTATTTTAGCATGACTACAAAACTTACAGCTAATTGTGGAGTGTTGGCTTCTCTCTGTTGAAATAGAGTCTGAGAAAAGCTCCATCAACTCCCTCATTTGACTGGCAATGAGACCTTGATGAGAGGAAGAAGTGTGCCAGCCAGCTCTTCTGTGAGAATTCCTGGCATGCTAACACCATCTCTCGAGTTCGGTTACTCGGTGAAGCATGATGAAACTGACAAGTCCAGACATTAAAGGAGGAGGAAATGAAGACTTATTCCCACTGCTCTGTGTCAAGATTTACAATTAACATCTTAATACAGTCCATAGATTTCTGTATGTGTTGCATCAGTATCCTACAGGAACAGCTTCATTACAGCAATGTTAACTATTTCAAAGGGCTTCCTCCCATAGTATTAATGCTTTTACTCTGAGTATGAATGAATGTGCATGTGTTCAGGGCAAGTGCGACCCAACCCGGTGGGACTGGGGGCAGGACACAAAGGCTGCAGTGTGGGTTCCTGCTAGCTGAGAACACAGGCCTGCTGTTGGTGTTTTAGACCTGGGCCGTTTGAACTAGTGCTAGAGCTCGCAGCAGCAGTAACTCATAGAGCTCCGCCTCCTTTCACTCAGTATGACAACTGTCTTCACCAGCCACCATAAATAGTTTTACAGCCTCTGGGTAGGGAAATATCTTCATGGGATGTCAGTGAAGAAGTTAAATCTCATCGCTAATGGTCGAAGTGAATGTTAAACTACGATATAAGTTCAATTAATTACCACATTAGGGTGATGATACACTAATAGTGCCCACATTTCTATAGAGGACACTTTCTAGAGCCATCAAGTAAAGAAATGGCAACACATTAAAGACCCACTTCAAAGAAAATCACATTTTTTGGGTTTTTTTTTTACATGTTCATATGTCATTTTTCTGATGCTACAGGACATATCATGAGAAAAATAAATGCGAAATTGCTTTTCTGAGTATTTCTTCATTTAAATCGCTGTGAATCTCTGGCAGACCCAAAAAGCAGGTTCAGAAACAGTGAAATGTCATATGTAACCAATCCAAGCTCCGCCCCTGGAGCCACGCTATGCAGGCCACACTCTGCATATAGAGGAGATATACAGAGGACGATCGCTGAACAATTGTGTGCGTTAGCGGATTGTAATGCTTGTAAGACAGCTAATTATAATATTAGTCCCTAAAGACATGACAGTCTGAGAGCTGAATAGCTCCTATGCTACCTGCCACTTCTACAGCACCGGCAATGTTAGGCTGCAAACTAACGTGAAGACGAGTGTGCAGAGCAGCGCTGTCTCCACCCACGACTCAGAGGTGAATTGCTAATGATCTACTGGAGCTCTGAAGAAGGAAAGCCCTTGAAAATGACACAGGTAACGTGATTTTTGGGAAAAACTTCATAATCACAATTTAAAGACCATTGAGATCACTTTGAGTAGTAAAAATAAAAATAAAAAAGATCAGAGTGGGACTTTAAAAGCACATTTATAACCTGATCCAGCAGACTCAGGGTTTCAAGTCTGAGAGATAGAACGATGAGAGCTCACAAGGAAAAACTGAAAAAAGAGGAATGTTGGTGACGCACCTCCGCATCCCGATGAGTAACTGCCGTTAGCATTTCTGGGTGTCGTCTAGCCCAGCCCCTCTCCTTTCCAACATCATCACCACATCAATCATGATGATAAGTGGAGTACCATCATACAGTCGATTATGTCTGTCAGCCAAGTCTCAATTTTTGGCTGTGTTTCACTGACAGACAAAAAGATTGTGATGTCTGACTTCAGCATAACTGTGCCGAATACTGCAAAATGAATTGATCCTGACGGACAAATCTGTTGTCTAAATACAGTTCTAACCTGGCTTGCAGCAGTGGACAGATCAGGGCTGCCAGGCAAGTTCAAGGCCTGGATCTACTGGTCTAACAAGTGCCGATCACAACTGTTGAGGGCTACGAGAAGAAGGTCAGCCAGTACCTACGCAGGTGGCGGAGCCTCAGCAGCATCGCCTTGCACAGGAAGAAGAACAAGCTGCAACTCCCCCTCGGAAGTCTGACGGAGAAGTTTATGGCCACCTGAGCAAGAGAGGTGTTGCTGTACAGAGACTCAAATGACATCAAGGTCTCCTCAGCCTGCATAGAGGGGAGGACTGGCAGGAAGTGGAGGGCGCAAGATGCAGTTGACCAGTTGAGAGGAGTGGTGGCAACAGGGCGGGCTGGGCTTGGCAGCAACCCGAAACCTCGGTTCGACCGAGTCAGGGGGAGAGAGAGGCGCCAAATGGTCCACGAGGAAATCCAAGCAGGGGTGGAGGAGGCCCGCTCAAGCCAGATTGTTGGGGATGCAGCAGCAGGGTGCCTGGGCACGATGGGAGCAGGTGCTGGACCGGAAAATGCCGTGGTCGGAGCTTTGGAAGTCCGAGCAACACTGCATAAAGTTCCTGATCCAGTCAGCCTATGACGTCCTCCCCAGTCCATCCAACCTCTTTTGCTGGGGCCTGGCAGAGACTTTTGTGTGCCCACTCTGCATGAAAAGGGGATCCCTGGAGCACATCCTGAGCAGCTGCAGGAAGGCCCTAGGAGAGGGTCGCTACCGCTGGCGTCACGATCAGGTGCTGCGGGTCATCGCAGAGGTCATCTGCTCAGAGATCACCAGTAGCAGGCAGCAACAACCAGCAAAGAACACCATAGCTTTTGTCAAGGCTGGAGAGAAGGTGCACCACTACTCAGGAACAACAGGAGGGCTTCTAACAACAGCCCGGGACTGGCAGCTGAAGGTGGACCTAGGGAAACAGCTCAAATTTCCAACTTCCATCGCTGAGACCTCACTCAGGCCAGACATAGTGCTGGTGTCAGAAACATCCAGACAGGTGGTAATGTTGGAGTTGACTGTTCCTTGGGAAGACCGGATGGAGGAAGCCTTTGAAAGGAAGAGGGCCAAATATGAGGAGCTGGCAAGCGAGTGCCGACAGAATGGATGGAAGACCTGGTGTGACCCCATTGAGGTGGGGGCTTCGCGGGCCAGTCTCTCTGTAGGGCACTGAAGAGGCTGGGAGTGAGAGGGCTGCACAGCAGGAGAGCCATCAAGGCCATCTCAGATGCCACAGAGAGAGCATCAAGATGGCTGTGGATCAAGTGGGGTGAACCGTGGACCACTAAAGCTACTTAGACACAAGTCGGGGCTTGATCAACCCTGACTGGGTTGCCCAGGTGAGGGTGTAGGCTGTTGAAAGACCTGAAACACCCGAGGACCCTGGGTTACATCACTGATGATGTGTCTAAGTATGCATCGCAAGATGTCTGAAAGAACCTGACTGACAAATCTGTTGTCTAAATACAGCTCTGCATTGGCACAAATGTTTTCAAAGCAAGCTTAAAAAAGGTCACAATACTCTTAAAGACAGTTTACAACACAACACAGCACAGCAGACAGCAGCTTGCAGTTGAATTGGTTAAAAATGTATATAACGACTGAATACTTTTTAGGTTATTTATTTAAAAGAGCAGCATTTGAGTACTTTTGAGTTGTCATATGGGTGCAAGAATCAATTTACCATCTCTGTATAAAAGTTTTACTATCATTCAATGTTTGCATTAGGATCTTCCTGAGAACCTGTCTGAGACTAAGTGCTTATGTGATAACCTGTTTCAGGCCATTATCACTCATTCAGAGGAATCGTGATCACCCAAATGCCAACGCTGTAAAATTAGATCTAATTTTCACAAAGGTGGGGAACCTTTTACATTAAATATGAAACAAGTAAACATGACGCAGGCGTTCATAATATGCTATTCGGCTCTCTTGTCATATTCTTTAAAGCTGTATGTAATTAACTAACTCGATAGCCAGCCTTTGTGTAATTACTGAGGTGCTCTAGTGTAAATGCTGTGGCCTTTACTGTCGAACCTTCAGGCATGCGAACAATTAGAAAAATTAATCGAGCGTCTGCTTTGCTGTTTGAAAAATGATTTCACACACATTAATGGGAAGGTTAATAGACCGATTCGTATGCTGCTGCTGTGGATGTGGAGGAAGTTGGATAAAAAAATACATAAGAGCATAAGATCATTTTCCTTTAAAAAGCCTAACTGGTCCACCAAATGTGAAGAGGATGGCTCTCCATTCCTCTCGGTCCCTCCCTTAAGGGCAGATCTGTTAAATTAATCAATACCTGTCCCTCAGTGACAGGTTGACCCGTGAATATCAAGTAAGCACCACCTTTAAAGCTGAGCTCTGGAGACAATAGCAGCAACACGGGATGTCATGAGGCTCAAATCAATATTTACTTATAGAAACGAGAAGGGAACAGCTGACTTGAACGTGATTTTTTTCTTGCTGTGTGTGCTGTTAAATATTGTTCACCGTGCAGGCGAGGCTCATCTCACTGTTGGACACTGACTTGAGACTTCTCGCAGGCTCTTTTCTCACGTTCAGCAGCCGATGGCACGTGGATTCTCAAACAAATAACACAATAACAAGCTGGAGCCCTCACAATCTATCTCTATTATACTCAACACTTGGGCTACGGGCGAAAAGTGATGAGGCAGCTTGTGTTGATGCCAACACAAGTACTAAAGTGGTTGAGGAGCAATGAAATTTCAGGGAAACAGGGTATAAAAGAATGGGACAGGTAAATGAAGAAAGTGTTGACAACAAAAGCGCTGAGACTGCAACTTAAGCTTGCAGCAGCATGGAGAGAGAAAAGACTGAACTCCCTGACACAGACAGATATCTCATGTGCGACATGTAACAATACATCACTTCTTTATCACTCTGAAGCCCCACTCTCTCTTTTTTCCATAATCTAATTAATTTCAATTTCCATCATATCTCAAACTCTTTCTCCCCTCGTCCTCGGCCGCCTACACACCAGCCGTGAGGCGGCTCGATGCCGCCTGTTCCTCTCAGCTACGTGTCAAGAAATGTGCCAACTTAGACCGCTGACTAGAGGCTCTGCATAAGACACATGTGCCACTTCCTATTCTCAGAGCCAGTCAAGGAGAAAATAAGAGCATCTTGCATGAACATGTGTACTCTCGAGGAGGCAAATTAGCACGTATGCATGCGCGCACACACAAACACACAACAGCATTTCTGTTTAAAGACACGGACAGAGTGATACAGTCTCCTTCAACAGATGGCTACCATGCCTCAGGCAAAGAGCAAGTCTGGACGGCACACTGACAACTGCTGCCAAAGCAAAGAGCGACAAGAGGCAAGAAGTCCACATCTATATCCTCTACATGTTTCAAGGGAGTCGGAGACACAGCTCACAAAGGTAGGAGCTTCAGGACAGATCGATATGGATTGTTAGGCTGAGTCAACAATGGATCAAATAATGAGTCATCATCTTTAGTATTTGTCTGGAAAATAATCAGCCATCAAACAGTCAAGTTGTATTTTAATGGATTTTTTGAGTTGATGTCTATGTGACTGATTAGATAATTAGATTAATGCGTTTTGTGTACATGGAATACATATGTGGGCTCCTAAATTGATTCAGTCAAAATCACACTGTTTGGAGAGGATATATACTGGGGCTGGGTGATATGGCCTCAAATCAATATCACGATATATTGAGCAGTTCACCTCGATAACGATAAAAGGATGACAACTACCCGCAAGTTGCTCACCCCCTCCCACAATAACTTAATCTACTTCAGCCACCGCTCCAGCCACTACAACTTTTGAACCGTCCTCCATCTCCTCATCTGTCTTGCCCTCTTTGTTACGGACTGGATGGGGTGGAGTCAGGTCTCTGACATGGGACAGCATCTTAAAGGGACATGAGACCACAGCCTACCTACACACATCCAAAACCAACTTTTATTGATTCATTTATTTTTTTGATACCGAATATACTGATATGGACAAAATGACGTTGGTTACTGTTGGTTACTTCAGTATCGGTAAATTTTTGATTTATCAACCCAGCCCTAGCACAAAGGGGTATGGGTTACACTACATCAGGATGAAGTGAATGATTTATGGCTGTAAAGAAGAGTATAAGGAGAATGTCTTTATCACTTTATTTTGCGCATGTGATAACAAGTGAGGATGCAAATACCAACAACCTGTTGTCTGCTACCAAAACAATCAGCTATCAACTCGTGAACCGATTAGAAAAAACAACATTTTATTGTCAAGAGTACAAAAACAAAAAGACAATAAAGACAAAAAGCATCGAGACAGCAAGACAGCATTTAAGTTATCAAGAGAAGGTCACAAAAACCACAAATCCCAACTGGATTTAGCAAGAAACAAGTTGTGCTTCTATTCCTTTCAGCTCAGATCACAGACGATATCCATGTGTAATACGTAAAGAAGTTAGATACAAACTAGCTGCACACTGTCTTCCTTGGCAGGCAGGATGCTGCACAGACATCCTCCCTCTGTCAACAGGTGACGGTAACATCGAGAGCTACTGAAAGATGAAAAGCAAACAGAACCTGGTTTAATAACAACAATGCATTATGCAGAAATCTGTTGGAGAAAGGCTCAGTTTGTAGTGGAGCTCAGGAGACAACAGGTCTATGAGATGTGATTTTCTGACATGACCACGGGGATCTCTTAAACAAAACGTCTTCTGTCCTCCCCCAAACAGAGAACTTGGAAAGGAGGCAGCAACAATAACAACTTTTTACTGGTCTTCTCTACACTTCTTATCTCCTCTGCAGGTGCTGTCATACCTTTAGGGCCTTATAGAGGATCAATCCACCAATCAGGACCCACATTTCATTCTTTAAATAATCTTTGTGGAGTCACAGATCAAAGAAAAACAACTAAATTTCACATTACAGCTCCTTTATCTTAAAGTAAGCATGTCCCTCACATCCCTCTGCCTTTTCTCCACATGAATGGATATGATAAACCACTTTACAAATTGTGTTTCACTAATAGGACAAATGAATAAATATGGATGCAGAACAGGCAATATTTCTAAACCAGCTACTTTCCGGTCTGCAGAGACAGTGGTTAGATTCAGGAGTGCTTCAGGAAGGTTAAGAGGGAAAACAGAGTGGGACTAGGTCAGAAGCAGAGGTGGGAGGGTTTTAGAAAAGGTTGATGTGAGACTGAGCTGAGTGGGACAGCAAACCATTAATTGTAGCAGACACTGGAGAGGATCAGCTGAGGAGAGGGAGAGGTGAAGAGGAAGAGGAGGATAAATCTTCCCAACCTGACTCGAGAGTGAGGTTAAAAACAACAACAATCCCTTTCACAGAGGGGCAGACAAATATACAACAACCCAAACCTTCATAAACTGTAGATGTTGCAGCATAAAGTAAGGTGAGAGAGGTGAGGTTACTCTCTTTCTTTTCTCTCCTGGCTTTGCTCCAAGTGTCTCCTGCTTCAATTCATCAGCTCTGCATTCTTAGTTGTGAATTCATCTGACAGAGCTGTACGCAGGACCAGCTATCAGGCCTGCTACAGGGCGGCCAGGAGCCGTAATCACAGCCAACCAGATGGACCAAATTCATAATTGATGTTGATTTTTGAACTGTTTGCAGAGATGAAGGAGCGTCCAGAAGAAAGGGTGCTGAGAGTCTGTGGCCCTGGGAGGTTCTTGTAACATCTGGAGCGGGCCTCCCCAGTAAGGGTGCTACTACAGAACAAACAAACAAGCAGATTTCCCAATACTTGATGACCTTCTGGCATACATTTCCTTGTGATGATTGACTTACTGTAGTTGTTTGTGTTCAAGGGCTTTAAGAAGTGTTCAAATCCAAGTGTAACTTTTTAACCAACAAAATTCAAGCGTTAGATGTAGAACAAACTGAACATTTGAGCAAGATGTTTGATATTTTGAAGTATTAACCCACACAGAGAAGATCACATGTATTGACATGATTTTTTAATACATGATTTTGATTCACCCCATGTAGGTGAGTTATGATTGCTACACTGTGGATCTTCTGACTCAGTACCATGTGAGAATCCTGACCTAAAATCACAATCATCGTTGTACCAAGCAGAGCAGAAACAGTTATGGCAGCTTAGCTCTCCATCGCTAATGACATTCTCTGTGACCAAAAGAGTGTCAGACATCCCTGATCTTCTTTATATCAAATTCCTCTATTTTGTGGTTTTACCATTTTTGTTTATTTTAACAGTATAAAAATAAAGTCATGAATGTGCTTTAGAAACAGTCTTTTTCTCTACATTCTCAGCAAACAACATACTGCTGTGGTCTTAAAATCAGACCTAAAATCAGTCCTCTGAAGCCACTCCTAAACAGTGACCTCAGTGACATTAATATTACTGCATAGGCTGGTAATGTGATTATTATAGTCAATCGTTGCTATTGACATGCGTAGTCATGGATACCCAATACTGCATTTTTGACAATATTGATTTGTCTGTATTGATGACATTTCCAATACTAGTATAAGCATAGCAACAACTCTTAGAAAAAACACAGAAAACTAGATTTGTTCGATGAATTGAGGCCGTGATCCGTTTGTTCCAGCATCTTTGCTCCACTTTCACACATGCTCCCATATAATCTAATCAGATTATGCATCTTGCAGACATCTGGCGAGGTCAGGTTTAGGATTGTGTTACATGACCTCTGACTCCTCGCTACAAGCAAAGACCTGGGATCGCTCCAAGGGTATATTGAAAGACAATCCCACTGCATACACAAACACACATACACACGCACTGTATAAGCCAATACAAGCAGCAACAGCTACATCCTTCAAATAAAGCAACACTGTAGGCCGGAATCAGGGTCAGATGCTGATTGAAAACCTTGTACAGATGTTCAGTGTACGATGATGAACAGAGGAAGGCACAACACAATTTTACTGCACAGTTACATATCTCAGCAACGTCACATGATTTCCTGTGCTCTTGACACTGTGTGGGCTGCGGGTTCTTGTTTACTTCCTTCCTGAAAGGTTCCCTTTTTTGAGACATGCTCGAAGAAATTATCTTCTTTAACATCACACCCCTTCTCTCTTGTGGCCTCTGTAGGTGCTCTTTGCTTTGCATATCTCTATGTAATCTTCTATAACAGCTTGGTTTAACAGCTGTTTTTTCAGTTGTGAGTTTGCAGTATCATAAAACTGGACTGCTACTGGACAGCTGGACTAGGCCACTGAGTAGTCTTTTGCTTTGTTTTTTCTTTTGTAAAAGATAAAATTACGTGTGTATAGTTCTAGAAAACAGATGTAAATTGCTCAAAACGGGACTTTGCTAAAGACCCACTCAAGTAATTGCATCACCTCAATAGACTCTCCTTAATACTTCATCTGCACTTCCGATAAAGCGACACAGCCTGCCTCCAACAGTGTGTGAGGTGACACCCACAGCAGAGCAGAGTAACTGATCTGCTCTTCTACTGATTGACATAATAGAGGAAGTGGGGGCAAAACATCGAGCGAAGTCCTCATACGGCCTCCAGAAAGCCTCGGGAGAAGTGGCCAATCAGAAGAAAGTAGGCTCGTGGAAGGGGGGGCCTTAAAGAGACAGTAGCTAAAACAAAGCGATTTAGAAGGAGGCTGATGATATTGATATATTTTAATACATCAGAGTGAGAAACAGGAGGATTTTTTTTAAATCTGAAATTCATGTAAAGCTATTGATTGGAGAGGAAGTATAGAGTCTGAAAAAATGCATAATAATGCATTTAATAATACCCCCTCTTCAAAGGGATATTCCGGCGTAAAATTAGTTTAGGGTCAAACACACCGTAACACCGAGTCAGACACCCTGTTTAGAGATGAATGTTGCCAACCACTAGTTATACCAACTTTAGTAACAACCACACAATAGCAATACACAGCAGTCTCAGGAGCCACACACAAACCTCAACCAAAAGGCCAACATTTCTTCATGGAAATGCAACCAGACCAAGACACTAAGGCAGAAGGACTACCGTTTCTGCAGTGCAAAATAATTAATATGGTGATTATTACTTCAAAGAAATGATAAAGTAATGATCATAAATGTTCTTCCTTGAGCTGCGTCACCCCGCTGCAGTCAATGATTGACTGGCCTGAAGTCTCGCTACAAACAAGAAGCTGCTGGAAGAGAGTAGGTGAGTTGTGTTTAGTCTCTTTCCTACAGAAATTAGGCAAAGTTAAAAAGATGTTTGATGACTAATACTATGGCCTGAGCATTATTTGTGGCTACAGAGTGGCATTTTGGTTGAGGTTTGTTGATGGCTCCTCAGACCACTGTGTGTTGTTATCGTGCAGTCGTTACTAAAGTTGGTAAAACGAAAGAAGCAAGCAGTCTGCAACATTCATCTCTCGAGGGGGTGTCTAAATCGGTGTTACGTTGTGTTTGACCCTAAATTAATTTTACACCAGAATATCCCCTTAACTGCACTGACAAATATGTGTAAATAGTTAGCATCTTTGAGACCCCTTGCCGAACGCTCAGCCCTGAATGATTATTCTGATTCCCTCTTCTTTGGCAGCACTCCCAAAGAGAGAGTAGTGAGCAGGACATGGAGGACTAGTTGAAGCACTCCTACGACAGCAAATTACATTTTCTGACCAGGACTTCAATGCACTCAGACAGCAAACAGCAGAACTCATTTTTAAGGTGGATCACTGGACGCTGTCTCATTTTTTTACTCTTTCGTGTCAACCAGAAATTCACTTCACACTCACAGGAGAGGCCACTTCACCACACAATCAATATGTGAGCTTCAGTCTCACCTAGAACAAAGCTGAGAGCTTAGTGTCTCTTTGCAGTCACAACAGCTGCAGCCTCCCTGTGCTGAGGCTGACCTACTGCAAGAAATGCTGGTCTGACGAAGCTCATTAAAAACTTTATTGTGTGGATTTGTTCCTCTGATCCTTCACACCTGTACATTCTCGTAGCAGGAGAAGCCTTGTTTAGTCACAGGGACCAAGGCTGTGCTTTATATGAGCTCAGTGGAGGTATGTGCTGCATCATGGGAAACTGGAAATGTACTGCTGATGCATTATACATGCATCCATTATCAGCCCCTCCTCCTGCACTAACCTTTGTGCTCAGACACATACATACACATACACACTCACATGTACAGGCAGAAGGATGCAGGGGAAAGGCTCTATGAATTATGGATTAGTGTATCAAAATATATGAGGTGAGCTAGGGAAAAATGCATGGTAAAAACATTTGGCTTCAAATGTGATGGTCAACAAAAGCCAGTGTGAGGGGCATGCAAATTCAGGATTATCTTGAGTTTTGTCCAGACAGGATATTATACACACGGTGACAATCCAACCAAATAGAGCAGAGCTGGGAGGGTATACTGATTTATCTTTTATTTCATTTATATAATACTCTATTTTGATCACAGAATGATTGCGTTTTTACCCTTATAGGCTTATTTTCACAAATACACAATCTGGTGCTTCCAATGTGAGAATTTGCTGCTTACGGTTTTTTATTTTAACTAGAGGAAAGTTGTCGCTGTAGATTTTAGACTGTGAGTAACAAAGCAAGATATTTTTAGATGTCATCTCTGAAAATTTTGACAGGCTGTCCCCAGTTTTCTGATTTATATTTTTCTCACACAAGTTTCCAGGAATAACGCTTAGGAGTAAACACAAGCTGGGGTCAGAAGTGAGGACACTTGGCCAGTGTCATCTCCTCTCTATTTTTACCATTACATATAGGCTGTGCAAGGAATTTCAAAACTTGTTTTAACTCTGATACTCTTTTCATATTATTTTTTGGTCTTTTGCCTTTATGTGAAATTACAGCTGAAAAGAGAAGGAAAATGTGGGGGAGAACGTGGGGTAAACACGCATCAAATGGTTAAGAGACTGGAGTTGAAACTATGATCAATAAAGGCTACAGACACTTTATGCGTGAGCTAAATTGGTGCTTCAAGAAAGTACAGATTTTTAGGTTGTAGCTCCAACCAGGAAAAAAAAGGTCTTAACAAAAAGTGCTGCCAGAAAATCAAGCACCAGTCATGTGAAAACAAATCTATTCATTGCCATTAGCTTTCTTGGCATGTTTCAAACACTGGAACAGTAAAATGTGACTTTACTGTCACATTAATATGATCAGTATACTGTCAGACTGTTATAAGCAGTAACTTATTAAAGAGTCCAGGGCTGCCACTGTGTGACTTACGAGCTGGGATTACATCCCTTTTTAATACTCAAATAAATTGTGACAACTAAGATAAATCAAAATGTTGGGCTTCAACTATGATTACAAACAGTGAGTGGAGGAAAGTTTTAACTTGCTGACTGACTAAACTCATTAACTACATGACCCTTGAAATCACTTCTGTTTTTTCCAATAAAAAGTGGCATTAATTTGCAATTTCAAGAAGGGCAGTGAGCCTTTTGGAAATAACTCATAACCTTTGTGGATGTAAACACTTTTATGCCAATGTCCATCTGTGTGCAACTGGCGGCCTATAAAGCCACTAGCCTCCCTGTTTGCTCCCGGGATAATTACTCCAAACTGAAAGGCCATCGATCAAAGAGCAGATGAGGCGACCAAGGCTGACCGAGACGGCCGGCCTTCTCACAGGTCTGAAAATCAAGGGGCTGCTGGCCTTAAAGCCTGCAGACATGAAAGGTGTGACCAGACCAATGGACCCGACACAGTCAGAGCAAACACCATCGCTCAGCATTTCAAGTTTATATCACACTGGGAGTCAATTTTTAACTCTGAGATAAAACCTGCTCTTTTTTTTTCATGTGAACTTTTGGAAAAGTAAAAAGCAATTACAGTTATATAATTAAATCTTATATATTCAATCATGCTTAAAAATAACCTATGACCCAAATCACCAGGAGACTTTGGGCACTAAAAGCAAAGTTTTGCAGGATTGAACTAAGACAAGTTTTTGATCAAGTGATTAGAGAGAACAGGAAAAAAAAAGTCACATCTATATCTATATTTCTGTGTGCGTTCGTGTGTGTGTGCGTGTGTGTGTGTGTGTGCGTGTGTGTGTTCATCTCCATTTTATTAATCATTATGTGAAGTTAACACATCTAAAATACTCAGGAGATTATTAAGGGGAAGAAAAAAGGGGGCCAAAAGAAGCTGCAATTAACCACAGCAACAAGACAGGAAGTTTATTCGTCGCTGTGTCGCTATAGCAACCAGAACATGCAAGTTGAAAAAAGGCACAGGAAATGAAAAGGGGAGGGGTGAGGAGGCAGGTTGCTCAACGGTTTATACATTTTCACCCCACCGTGCATACAAGCCTAGACTTGTTTTGCAGACACTTGAGCTGAATGACAGAAATCAAGTCAACTTGTCACATCAGGAATGAATGAGTTTACAGAGTCAACTTTCACAGGGATCTGATTCTAAACTTGGTAAAAAATTTGACTGAATACCATTGAGGTCAAGTTCAAGAATCCCCCCTTAATACAAATCATGATGGAAGCTCTGAAGCAGTCCGAGGCGAGTATCTCTTTCTGCTGGTAAGCTCTGTAGTTATGAAGAAGTCACTAGAGCAGCACAGAACAGAGGAACAAAAGAGGAAATGCCTGATGTTGTATGTATGTATACCAGAGAGGAACCGAAGCATGGTTCAGGCACACCTGAGGCACTCCAACCAGAGATGCTAATTCTGCTAATTCTTCCTGATTTAGATCAACTGTGTTCATTTAATTCCAGTTTTTAAGCAGACATTGCTTCACAAGTGTGAGAAATATGACCATAGTGAAATCGTCAAATCAGTTGTTGTTGATCAACATTAAGATAAATGTCAAATGAATGTGAAATTTAACTTCAATCCAAGAACACAACACCAGTATATGAATGGTATGGCCTCAAAAATCTCTCTCATCCCATGCAGGAAATCCCAACCAATGATAATCTCTTTTTGCAAGAATCCTGGAATAACTGGTCCATGAATGATACTGAGTCATCTCTTGTTTTTAAAGACTGGCTAAACTGAGTTAAAAATGTGCAAAAGTAACAGAAGGTGTGCTTGAAACACCGTCCCTCAACATGTCTCATATCTATGATAGTTTGATCATTTAGAACTTGTAGTTGATAGATGATTACACCTACCAGTTCACATTTCCCCCATCTGTCTGAAATACAATCCCGTCACAGCTCCATCAAACTTTCTTCCAAGTTCCTACTCAACAAAAAGTAACAAACTTTCCAAAAAAAAAAAAAAAAGAGGTGTTGAAGTTTTAGATAAAGGTGTATTCCTAGGTCCACAGTTAAAACTGAGCCTCCTGTCCCCAGATGTCTCTCTCAACAGTCTTCACTGTGAGGCTTTTACTAGGAAAACTAAATGCAAAGTACAGATTTGATAAACTTGACCCAGCTTTGGCACAGGATGTTTCCTTTTTGGAGTTTTTCAGCAGTCCTTCTGAGTGAACCAATATGGCAGCCAATGTTTAACATAAAAACACCGGTGAAATCCTTGAGCTCAATCCGACTAAAATTCACTGACATTTTAAGATCGACCATCACACATTGTGCGTTGATAATAAACCTGTTTCCTCTGCTAATTTTCTTAGCAGACTGTTTATTACTACTCAATAATAGATACTGCTTTACAGTGTTGGTCAAACCTCCTGTTCACTTTGCTGCTTTACAACCTCGTAAATTCTCACTGTTGTACAACTGCTGTTACTGACCTTTTCAAGCTGAGTCTGGCATCTCAGACTACCTCATGGTCTACTTAAGTCTTTGAGCATTACCCTGACATATCGAGGCAAAGATTTGGTACAGGCAGGGATTGCATCATGAAGACCTACTGTCTGCTTTAGGGGCCATGGTGATTCTGAGTAATATTACTGAAAAGGAAGAACACAGGCTTTCCATGTATTGAGATAAATGTGACCTGATTCTATTAGGTTTATTGGTAATAAACAGTAAAAGGTCAAAGAATAACAGTAGTGTCTTTGTCTAGACTTTTTATCCTCAATCTATTTGAATGTTCCTGATACTCTATTACTTTAAGGAGACACCATTCAAGGCCTTGAGTTTTGCACTCTGGGCAATAAAAGCAACACATCAACAGAGGTAGAGCAATACATCTACCCACACATGACTGAACACTGCTGGCACTGATTTCTTTTATGCTTTTACCACTGTGCACATCAGGAGAGAAACCCAAGTGATGGATTGAGAGGAGGGAAAGCATTCAAAGAAGTCAGCGGTTTTCATCTCTGTAAGCTGTCCCAAAGTGGCACGAGAGTATAGGGTGTGACACGCAGTCAATCCGGCACAAATAACTTCAGTAGGCTGTAACACTACACTACACACTCCTGGAGCTCAGCACATAATTCTTCAGTGGCTTCTCTGTTTTGATAATGTTTATGGTAGCTTTGTGGTGCCGGTGCTGACACAAGTTGCAGTCAGCTGATCAAAAACAAATTAAGCAACATAAAACAGCTGAAAGGGAGCAAAGGCAGCCAGAATCATCAGAGGGTTTAAGGTTTCGACTCGAACACGACTTGGATGAATCCCACCATAGAGCCAAAAGAGCTGGTGATTGACACATTTGTGTTCTCAAAAGATTTGTAATGGCATACTCAAGTCGCGACTGTGTAATGTTGCTGTGTCTGTGAATGTAATATGTGTTTGAGTGTGACTGAGTGAGTACTCCACAGGAATACGGAGCACCACTACCCTCACAGAGAGCTCTTTGTAGGCTCACACTGCCCCTGGACCAGCATGTCTATTGGAGCCTCATTGCAGCTTTGTTTGGCTTGCAGTCTTTTTGTTTATCCCACTTCCTTTCAGGTTCCTTCACCCCGCAGCTGACCAGAGCGGTAGACCCCAGACTCTGAAAGGAGGGAGCCAAAACGGCAGAAAAAATCATCCTGACCATCAGTCGTTTTGCAAATGCTGTATGCTTGACTGTTTACTACAAACACAAAAAGCATTATCTGCTGGAAAAATCTTGCTTAAAAATCAAACACTGTCACAAAAGAGGACATCTGAAATTCACCTGTGTTTTTGTGTCCACTCGGATTATTCTCAGGAAGCTTTGCAGCTAGTTTTCAACAGCGGCTTCTTAAACCATCTAACCTGATCAACATCAAACTTCTTAAAATGATTCAGAGGTTTAGAAAAGAGATAGGTCTTGGGACAAAGATGCTACAATATCAACAGGAAAGTTACTGGGTTCTCACAGAATAACGAACTATTATAAACTTAATATATATCTGACCACCCTTATGGGGCGCTCACACAAAGCGTGAGTAAAATCATCTACTAGCTTAATTCGCGTTAATCTAGACCATGAATGAATAGCATTTACTCGCTTCATTTGCGCATCAACAATAATTTCAACCGTAGTCACTGCCAATTCAACCGGCGGGATCAAGTGATAGACAAAGATTTTTTTGTGATTTACCAGGTAATCCGGGCAAGCTCCTTTTTTTTCCAGTTTCGGTAATTGAAAGAAAAGGTATCACATAATCCGGGGCACACAAACACACACTGACACGATCAGTTTGTCCTCCATTTTAGATACCAGTGAACAACCGTCTGTTTTCATATGTCACCCAGCCCGGCAACCTTCATGCTGATTGGTTACCGTGACGCGAATATCCGCTCAAGTTGATACATTTTCAGCTCCCACCCAATTTGCGTCATTCACGCTGCCAGAGTAGTAGGAGCATCTAACCATGTCTTTGCTTTGACTTAACAGGTAATTTATTCACGCAAATGATTTTACTCTTGCTTGGTGTGTGGAGACGGTAAGTGTTCATTTCTGCTTCTATTCTGCTCTAATGGAACAAAAAAAAAAACGGTCAATTCAATAAATTTGACAATAGCATTTAAAGTCTACAAAAGGTTTTAAATTGATAAATTAATACCCTTCATTTTGTCCATCCCTCCTTTATCAACATTAAGGAGAAGTATAAAATATGAGCCAAGTTGTATTATCTTTCAGAAACAGACATGAAGGCACCAACACACAGTCACCTTGCTGTTAGTGTCATCCACCCAGCTGGTTATAGTGCCAAAACAGAGCTGTTTGCTTTCAAAACACACTCTGTTCCAACGATAATCGCCATAGTAACCACCAGAGAGCCAAAACCCTGAGCTCTCTGGACCTTTCTGCGTGCTGACAATTTAAGTTCACTGAAGCTAACATGAACAAACCTTCCATCAAACATAGGGTCAAAGATGAACAGACACAGCAGATTAATTCATTAACACCGCTGCTGTGGGAGCAATACACCCCAGTTGACCCTAAACAAGGATAACGTTTCCTTGACAACGCAGCCTGAATGCAGTGTCCCCTTGGTTCATAAAAAGAAGATGGAATGAGTATAAAATCACTTTTCTGAGTGCATAAAGCTGCCGACTTTTTATCCTGGTTTGACCCATATTTATCCTGTCCAGTATCATAGAGTATGGGTGTTTTGTTTGCAGGAAAGTTATACCAACATTCAGTGTCCCTTTATGAACCCGGCCTCAAAGGGCCACAGAGCAGCACCTGTTCAGGTGGGTTATATTACTTGCTTAGGGGCACATCCATGCAGGTGATAAGTGAATTGCAAGTGTTGTTTCACTCCCCTTCCCAGCTCTTCAACACTCTTTAAAAGGACAAAACCCCAAAGAGAGAAGCATTAAAGCAAAGGCAAAAAAATAAAAAAAGACAACTCTAAAAAGACCTTATACTGCTGAACTTCTCTGTCTCACAATCTTGATTCAGGAAGTCAGAGCAAACTGCAGAAGTAGCTCTTGAGGAAGACAGGCAAGATGAGTCATGAGTTTGATTGGAAAAGTTCTGCTAAATCTCAAGAAAATCAACCTTCTGTCTAGGCAAGAAATGACAAAAAAAAGGCTATCTATAGTAAAGAGAAGCATCAGAATTACTGCTGGCTCTGACCCAGTATGAGGCGCAAAATCTACTCAAGTATGAGTTCTGTAGTTTGAGTCTGAACCGTAACCAATATAAAAAAATAACTTGAAAGTGGCTCAAAATGTTGTCAAAAAAACAAGCCAGAAATAAACTGTTGATGAATCGTGGTTAACAAGCCCAAAGACTATGTGCTCATACTGATGACTCACACCAAAGGTGTTTCATTGGTGTTGAGGATGAGTTGCAAAATGAGCTGGAAGTACTAAAGCAGTGTAGTTCTGTTCCTCTTTGCTCCACTTGTATTGAACAAGTATTGCAAATCATTATTTTGCTGTTTGTTTCCAACTCTTCAAAATGGCTTGTTGAATCTTGTTGAGGGTGGGTCAAAGCTGTTATCGTGTGTGCATAATTCATGCATCATCTGCCTTATTTTTATAACACCAATAATATTTTACATTTCTGTAAATCTGTGATAAGTACTTATATTTGTATTCATGCACGGATGCTAATGTACATTGAAGGGCCAACCTTGTAAACTGAGGTGTGACCTCTCTAAATGTTAATTTTTGAATCCGTATTTTGTATTAAGTGAAAATAGGTTTAGGGACACAGAAGTATTTATCTTAGAGAGTCATCTTCTAAAAACACTTCACAGAGAAATGACAGTCCATGCACACTACAGGGTTCAAAATAAGCTATGTACAAATCAAAAAGGGTTTTCTTTCTTTCCTGCATTGAAAACAGCAGAAGAAAAGTGATATTTTCTTCTGTCCCTCATAACTGCATCATACATTCTTCCTCCTTCCCTCCTTTTTCTTTACCCTAAAGGGTCTTCTTTATTTTTATGATGCACTGGTTTGCCTGGCATTTACGCTTTCTTTAACTGCTCTCTCAGTCATCTCCCATTTTCTTTAACTTTAGGCAATCTGTTAAGTTGCTAAAGGGAAGAAATACAAAGCAATCTTCTTGGCACAAGAAAGAAGAATTATCAGGTTTTCTGGCTTTTGGGTATCAATATATTGCCCCTTTATTTGATCTGTTGATAAATTTCTAAAGCATCTGACCCAGGGCTAACTGAGTATAAGCTCAAGCTATCTTATGGCAAATGGAGGTTTCATAATACTGTGATTTTTCATAGACATTGTTGTCTGCCGTATTTGTTATCACTACAGCTCTTATGTGAGGAACTATGACAATATGGGTGCTTAGGTCCTCAAGACTGAACATCAGTATGAAAGAGGTTAAATTGCTGCATGGATCATTCAAAGCCAACCAACTTTCTTTAAATGTGACTTAAATTTTTCTGTTTAGGAGAAGTTTCTACCAGCTACTGGTGCCATTTTTTTCTAATTTTAAATCTTTGTGAGTAAAAAAGGGTCCTTTGTTACATGCTTCTTCAGGCCTCTAAAAATACAACAAGCAACAAAAAAGTGCACGCACTAAACAATGAATAACAGTTTATTTGCTTATCAGTGCATCATATTTTTTTTTAAAAAGGGAAGTGAGACAAAGCCTGGCATCATAACTTTACATTAGTCTTAAACAATGCTGGGTGTGCTTTTAAATGCAGAGTTGTGTTTTCGTGTATTTCTCGTAATAGAACATTATTATTCACGCATGATGCGCTGCTGGGGTGCAAGACAGCTGAGTCAACCTTTCTTAGCTGCTTTAATTTTCTACACTTTTCATGTTGAAGGTCAGAGTTTGATCCTCAGATGAACGAGGGACTGGTAATAGCATCCTCCTTTATGCTGCGACCATCTGTGGCTGAGGAGACAGGTGTGTCTGGATATTAGGACTGGGAACCTTAGTGCGTTTGCAATTTATGACTGTAAATTTCTTGGGAGACTTCATGAAGATATATCGTAGTGTTTGCTAATGAATACATTTAACTGGTGATAGCCTTATTAGAGCTAAGTATTAAATCAGAGGGAAGAGTGAGACTCGAGTTGAACTGTTTATTTTGGATTTTTGGCAACAGCAGCTCAGAGCAGTAACTCATACAGCTTCATGCTCTGACCCTGCTCACTTCCTGCCTCACAGGAAACACGCTGCACAGCCCTCGCCCTGCCCTTCCTGTTCCCCATACACTCAAACACGCAAGCACGCTCTGCCCTCGCTGGTGTCTGTTTCTTCCTCCCTCCATATTAATTCAAAAACCACCAACTCACACAACACAACACAACACAACACTGGGTCATATTACTCACAGGGTGTATGAACACTAAACTTTCAAACAAAACTGGACTTTACAGCTCATAACAAGCTTTCAGCTGCCTGACTCGCTCCACAAACCAAAACTACCTCGTCTTTGCCCAGGAACCGCAAGTTGATGCTGAGCCAACGAAAGCGCTGAAAAGCAGGGCTTGGAAAAACTGCAGGATTGAGCCTGTGCTTAGCTGAGCAGTAATTGAGAAGTGGCGATGTTAACTAAACAGTTTTCCTGTAAAGACTGAGAAAAAGCTGTATTTAGGGTCCCCTAGAGAGAGCAGGAGAAGCCCTCCCCCTCGTTCCTGCAGCCCAGACTCCTCCATTGTCTCAGTGCCTCATTTCCCCACAGTCTTTAATCAAACTTGAGAGGAAAGGGCAGACCATTTTTCAACACAGGACTTTGTCTGCCATTGAAATCGCTTAAAGAATGTGGATGTACTTTACACAGATAATATGACAAAGATAGCTGAGAAATATGCTCTGAAGACTCTACTGGCTGAATTTAACCTACATTTATCTCTCAAATCTGATCTGATGTTTCTCTGTGTGCGGTTGGAAAGAGAACTGCAGGTCTAAATGTGTTTCACCGAAGAAGAAGGAAAAAAAAAAAAAGAGAGCAGAAAAACAGGAAATCAACCTGCTGCAGCTGGCAGACTTTGTGGGTAGATTTGAGTCAATGCTTAGACTTGAGCTCAGACTGTTTTAAAGAGCGGACTCTGAGTAGACGAATCAATACCCAGACACTGAAAAGTCTCTGAGTCAGTGTCTGCTGCCTGCAGGACTGACCTTCAACTTAAAACTTTGAACTGTGCTTCCTAAAGATGTCTGTTAAATAAAGCTTTCACCCCCTCACCAATAATCACGTGATAAACTACGCCACTATCAGTGTAAATGTCTAGCTCTGCAGGCTCTACAATGTAAGTGGCATGAGCGCAAACCTCAGAGGAGAGAGGCTCCCAATGAAGGCGTCCTCCTCCCACCCGTTTCCAAACTCATCTCAGTCCAGCTGTCCATTCTCATCAACTTAACCAACACAGCCCAGCCACTGACAGCCAAACATGCAGCACAGCAATTCAACACTCTGTCACTTTGTTATCACCTCTACACCCTCCTCAAACCTCTGCCATCACCACCCTGTTCATCATCTGACTTATTTTTATCCAGTAAGAAGACACCTAAATTTGTGGCTCCTCTTTCCTTTTTCCATTAGATTTTTTTTTGGTTGTTTGTTTGTTCTGCTCCCAGCCGTCCACTTAACCTTTCCGCATTTATATAAAGGAGATCCTCTGTCAGTCTCCAGAGACTGCTGAGGATAGAGAGTCACGTCTTCAGCAACACACGACCGCAGAAAGATGAGCCACTGCAGGACAGACCACCATCACCCATTCAGAAAAAAACAGTCTGACTGCTCCTTAAAAACCCCAGTAGCTTTTGTAAACCCACAACAGCAACCAAAAATCATGAATGAAGATATATTTGTCCTCTGTCATTTAGAGTGATGTGAGAGAAGACAAATCCAGAGGAAAACTGGAGAAAGTTTAGGAGAAACTTTAACCAAATACTGGCAAAACAAAGTCAAAGGAATCAGGGACTCAACCAAAAGTAAAACATTTCAAAGCCTTGGCCTAAAATTTTTTATTATTTACAACTTCATGTATAAATGAACTGAGATTAAGAAGTGTTGGTGTTGCACTGCATTGTTGTGCAAAAAAGGGGAACACTGTATTTTTTCCAACTACCTCTGTCTGCATTTAAATTTAAACCGGACTATTCCTGAGTCATTACCTCAGTTCTGCTCTGAAGCACCAGCCATGTCTTAGTTTTAACAGTGACCCCAGCCCCACCCTTGCTCTGTTCTCCTACTCAGTATTCCCTGGCTAAAAAGAGCCTCAGTGTGGGAGCGCACCAAACTGAGGCCCCACAGAAAAACCACATAATTACAAATCACAATAAAGCCCTCAGTGCTGTGTCCCAGCCAAAGGCTCAGCTGCACCCTGCTCTGCTCCAACTCCAGGCTTTTGCATACAGCTATGCTGCCCCCACCTTCCTCCACCACTTTCTTTCAGTCTACTAACCCATGCCTCTGCTCTCTACCTCCTCCCTACTCTCTCTTTCTTTTGCCTCTGCTGTAAATCTCTCTACTCCCCTGTCCTTGTCAGCTTAGACACTTCGGTCCCTCTAGCAGAGATACTTTCACTCACAAAAAGAAAAAAAAATCTGTGTTAAAGTTCATGGCTTCAACTTGGCCACCTAAAATGGTTACACCTCACAGAATATAATGAATATCAGCCACTGTACCAGTGAAACAAACCGGACCAACGTTTACTTTTAGGGTAGGCACTGAAAAAATGTAAAAATTATAAATATTAAAAGACAATTTCTTCTGATACTGCTGTTTTAAAAGTCATGGCCGTTAATTGAATATCTTAGTTGGTGTTTGTTTGTGTTGCAGGACAGAATTTTAGGGACAGAATCAGAAGCCATGGTAGCGCTACCAACCAAGAATTTGAAGACATTTTTTTCTCTCCAATCCATACAAGTATCACCTTCAAATCAATAATATTGTCACAAGTAAGGATGTCCCAATACAACTTCTTTACTTTTACTATCTGATTCAATACAGATATTGTAGTCTTCAGTATTGGCCGATACTGATAGTTGCACAAAATTGTGCAAGACAAGTTTTGCACTCAGGTGCAATGTCTTTTTCTGACATAAACGAAAAATACTGCCACACGGCAGATCCGGGCACTGCTAAATAGAGGTGCTGGAGCGGAGTCTGGAATGGACTGCTTGCTTCGGGGTGCTAATATCTGAGATTTTAGATGCAGACCTGTATAATCCGATATTCGTTTTTTTGGGGTTTTTTTTTTGCTGATATCTAACCGATATTGATACTGTATCAGGACATCGCTAGTCTCAAGGACCATATCTAGTGTATATTTGCTTAGGATCTGGGTGACGAGCAGATAATACATGCTGAACAAATGGGTTGTTATGTAATTCAAAACAGAACTCGCCCTGGCAAGATTCCTTCAACAACTGACAAAATTATAATAAAAAGTAAACATTACAAATAACATTAGTGGGGGTGACATATTTCAACAGTCGCCCGTCGCTACCACCACAGGTACAGCGTCATTCTATGGCAAACGCTGACATAATACATAAACCGACTATTACAGACCCAGAGCTGGAGCTTAAAGCTAATAAATCTGAGCCAATTATTAAGCCACATTCACGTATTTAAGAGACCAATCTTCAGCGAGTTAAAAGGTATTCATTCATCTATTATTTTTTCAGGCCGCCGGGGTGGTCTGACATTGAGTTCACCTTTAAAATGAGCCATTTGCGTCAAATGGCCATGATCATTAATGTGACAAAGAGGAATAGGCAGAACTGACTTCATGTAGACCTACCACCCAGAAACACCCATGTAAGATACAAGACGGACACATAGAAAGAAACTACAATGATAGTATGCAAAAAGTACAGTAACCGAATACAGTTTGTTCCAGGTAGAGATTTATGCATCTGAATTTTTGAGAATAACATCAAGTTTTGACTTCTTCAAGACAGTCTGTACAAAAAAGGTACAGACCTCCATTCAAATAGTTCTACAAAGAAGATGAGGTTGTTTATCCTGCATTTGTGTTTCAGTACATGATCTGGGAGATAAAATGTGGAGTATTTAAATGTTACAAGGATTTGGTGAATGCAGGAAAAACAGTCTAGAGCCAAAGCAGGCAGAAGACATCTGCCATGATGACACACTGGCCCCCACTGATGGTTATCCCACAACTTATTGATCTCGAGAAAAACATATCTGCATCCTTATCAGCAAACATACCTTTTAGATTCTGCTTGTGACAAAATCTGAATGAAAACCAGTCAGCATTTAGAGTTCAGACTTCCTCGAATGCATAAGAAATGATCGATCTGACCTCTGTTGAGGATGAGACCAACAAAGCTTTCATTTTCTTTTTTAGAAATCTGCAATATCTCGGTAACTGAGCCAAGTCAAGACCTGTCAACTGTATGTGAGTCATGAGAAAATCCGGTACCTCAGTGGTTTTGTAAAGCTGCATTAACTAGAATGAAGCATTTGTGTACCTCGAGTGAATCTGACACTGAAAGTAAACCGAAGAACAGACACTACTCCTAACAAAACCAAGATATGACCACATTATATAAACATGACCACTTTTTGAGGGAACCATCTGATATTTTATGTCCATTTTATCCAGGACACTCAGGATATCCTGGTCTATAAAGCTACAGCTATTTCAGACATGCAGCAGTTTGAAAAGTACAATGGCTCCCTCTAAAATGCAGCATAATTACAGTCAAAGTCCAAGTAGATCCAAACTGTATTATGTCAAGATTACAAATATAGCACATTTCTACCCCTGGGCAGGGTTTGGGCACCAGACATGAAAGTGAAAACACAACACACAAAGAAAGGGTGAGAAAAAGTCCAAAGGCCAAAACTGGTCAATAAAAAAGGACAATATACAAGGAAAGTTGGGTCATGTGCTGTCATTATTTTTATGACCATGTGTGTCACATCATAACTTCTGCAGCGCTGGTGGAAGTGTGGCTTTATTGAACACTTTTTATGGCTCATTTTCTGTCTCTTTTCACTTTCTTTTCTCTGTTAAGCACTCACCTGGTGATCCCTCCATGGTTGTAGTTATTTTCTTTTAGTCACAGTAGAAGCACTACACTTGATAACGTAGTTTCGAGCATCATCTACACCTTTGTGAACTCTGTGGTCTGTGGGAAGAAGTCTTAATTATGTGGATGAGACCATCATATGCTGCATTTATTAATTTTTCTAACCTCAGGCCAACTCACATTTAACTACTGTACTGGAAATGTAAGTCGTGTAATACCTCGAAATGTAGGAGGAAATATACAGAGTTAACATAAAATTGGAATTTAGAGGGGATGATGCTGAAGTAAAGATTTGCAGCCCAAAGCAAAATATGAAAGTTTTATATCCCAGTTTCTAAAGCTGCCATGAAAATAGTCTGAGTGCCTTGCTGGTTCTGGGTGGTATACCAGAACCAAGGGAGAAAGTCTTGTCTCATGTTTGAGTGTTTAACATTACTGATTTTCCAGCAAACTAAATCTATTTCAAAGGAACCAATAATCTAATTTCCCGTAGGACCTCCAACAGTTATTAGCTCTTTACCTCCAAGTCACTCCCCATGTTGGGAATTCGTCTGCTGCTGAACACCGAACACAACAGATAAACAGAGAGAACTATGGTGGTGCTCAGCCTCAGGATGTAGTGATTTTCTCTGTGAGTGCAATGACATGTTTTCTTCCCTACAAGCACACAGCTATGAAAGTCTGAATGTGTTCACGTTATGAGCCTGTGCATGCACTACTCTGACCATGAAATGAACCGCATGACGAGCCGTTGCACAGAATTCACGAGACCCACTCCTAACACAAACACACAAAAGAAGCAAAGTGAAAACAGCAACCCGGCTGCCAGCAGGTTTGATTAAAGTCTTCCTGGAGGACATAATCCCCGTCACTGAGAGGCGAGAGCCAAGTCAGCGTTTATTCTCTGTTTTCCTTGAACGTGAAAACATAAGCGATAAACACAAACCACCTTTTTCTCCAATCCTAACTCACTTCCTTCACAAATTGGCTCATAACTGCACAGTCAGGTGTTGGCGCGTGAGTTTGTGTATTTGTTGATGTGGAAAGACATAATGATGACGATATTTCTGTGATAGTGACATATATTGACTTGTCTCTTCAGTTCACAGACAGTTTCACAGATGTATGTAGATTTCCAAGATAAACGCATGGATACGCAAGATAGACATACGTTTTGAGAAAGTCACGTATTTGCAAAATCAAAGTTGTGAATCTATACTAATAAAGCGAAAGAGAGTCGTGATCACTAGCTATCCTTTATTAACAAAATAAAATGAAATGATTGGATGTCAGGTCAGCCAACTTCCAGCAATAAAATGAGAAATGTGGATCTCAGAAGCATGGCCAGGTTGCCTATGAGGCTGCCCTTCGTCATATTAGAGTTATGCTGCGTTCCAGTTGTACTCGGAAGTCGGAAATCTGAGCTCAGAGTCAGAAATTTATCTGGAACGCACCCCTCAATAAGTGGTATATGTTGTACTGCCCAACGTCTAACTGTGAACACGGTGCTATAGTGTTTATAAGAGCAAAATACTGTGTTATGCATTTTTACAACTGGTATCACTAACAACCGCTGACAACAACTAACAACCGCTGACAACCGCTAACAACAACTGACAATGGCTAACGACAGCTGACAATTGCTAACAACAGCTAACAACGGCTAACTGTAGGCGTCCATCTTGGTTTTCCGACTTGTTAACTGGAACGCCGTCAACTCGGGTGTAACTTCATTCCCAGCTCCGACAGCCGATGTAACTGGAACGCAGCATAAGCTACCAATCTTCTCCTTCAAAGTAAGAGCCCTGTAAAACATTTCAACTTTATTCGTATACATTTACAATGTGTTCTTAAATTCTTATTTTAACTTCTATATAACAGCCCTAATACTCAGCCATAGTCATGTTACCGTAGTACTATTCAACTATAATTTGACTGTTATGCAGAAAAACTCAAAACAACTGTTTATAACTGTTTATGTTTTCTTTGCATGCAGAGTCCTCGCAAGGGGAGCATACAAAACCAATAACTTTTTTCATCCCGGAGACAATGACTTTGTCATGCCTACCAGCATAATAATCTCAGAGAATCGGCTATAAACAGTAAATGGTTCTATTGTTCTACTGCATTTGTCAAGTGTTTTGAATGTGCTTTTATTTAAAAAAGATCAGATCCCTTTCTTGGGAAAAGTCTTTGGAACCAGTTTTAGTTGAAAACTCGTCCTTGTGTTGTATGTGAAGAAGCGTCAGCCTGGCTGCCTCCCACATGCCAAATTATACAGCACACGAAAGTCCTCTTTAACACACAGGCGCACACATGCACACAGAAATTATAAGGGGCACAACCCTACCCCAGTTGCCATGATTTTTTTTTTGTTAAATCTTGAGCTTAATTTGGGGTCTCACACACACGTTTCTCCACCGTACCCTGTTACTTAGAGGATGGAGTACAAAACAACACACCAAAGTGCAGACAGATTTTATGGCTCCACTGTATCCTTTCAAAAATCTCTCCTAGGCTTTAGGAGTTGGTTCAGTGAAGTAACAATAGTGATTGAGTATTATGTGCAAAAGATAACAGTCCCAGAGTTTAATTCCAGTTATTGTAAGCAGACACACCATGCTATTGGCCAAATAAGAGGGGTGTGTGCAGAGAACACCATGCTTTTTTTTTGTTTCTGACTGCTGCAGAAGTGTTGATTCTGCTGTCAACTTTAGAGTTTAAATGAGAGGCAGAGAGGTGGCTGCTTTTCCTCTTTTTCAATAAAAGGATGTTTATGTCACTTTAAAAACACTGTAAATCAGACCTGTTCACAGGTTTCATTGTTGGGTTGAAGAGTGTGTGACAGACAGCGGTGCCTACAGTGTGAAGATCAGACTCAAGCAACTGACACAGGATGGGTGTGCTGGTTTCCTCAACCAGCCGAACAAAAGGCTTGCATATACTTCCCTTTTACATGCAGCCAGCTGAAAAAGGAAGTGGAAGATGAGGGGGGTGGTGGGCTGAGACAGGAAATGATGTCAGAACTATTTGCCACACAGTAAGGCAATCTTGTGAGTTGTAGAAAAAGAGAGGGAAAACCTGTACACAGTAATATCCAAAACTAATCTATCTAGAATACAGAAAATACCAGTGTCGTAGAGCAATCAGGCAGAAGTGTAATAATCAAACTAAACTTAAAAAGATACTTCTCCATTTCATCTTATTGTGTGTTGTGTTTGACAGCCATGAACTGGCTTGTAGCTTCGGAGGAACAAACATCATTTTGCAAAGCAGAAGGAAGTTCTGACTGGTTAGGGAAATTGAGCACTGTGCCTTTTTTTTATTCAGAGTAATTCGTCAAGAAGAACTCCTTCATCCCCTTCTATGCCCCATGTGTAATTTCTCGGCAGATCGATTTTGCAGCAGCACCAACCTGAGTTTTTCTGTGTTTTCAATAACACTGGGGTCATGTAGCTGCAAGAGAAACAAGAGCAGTGAGACTAATACAATGATGGAATACGTCAGGCTCTACAGCACCAAAAACGGGACAAATATTGTATAAAGTACAGCTGATCATAGGGTTGTAAATGTCCTCTGCCTCTGATAAATACAGTCAAGCTAACAGGCTATGATGGGTCTGCAGGGATCTGGTGAGTAATACTGACAGGGTTTTTCTTTAAAACCAAACCACATAGGTGTAGCAGCAGTTTTGTTTCACGTCAGCAACTTGCTGCAATGATTGTGCATTGATACTAGTACCCTAGGGAGTGGAGCAGTTTAACATGTGCGTAATACTTTCTTCATGGCAGGCCTGGAGCGTTGTCTAAGCTGAAGCACAACCGTGCACCAAAAGCCGGTGCTGTTACTCTAGTTTAAAAAAAAAATAAAAAAATACATTTCAGGTTAAATCCTGATTTAAATTCTATACAGGTAGAAAGTTGGTCCCCTGTTTCATTTGGGCTGTTTAATTGAAAAAGCTTGAAGAGTATCTGCAGTTACAGTAAACTGGGTTCAGTTTATCGAAGTTTGCGTGGAAAATTATTTCAGACAAGTTTCAGAGGACCAATCACTAAATTTTTGTTATGGTTGCTAAGTTAAAGGTCCTAGTGGCCTTTAAGTTGAAAATGTGTTATGACAGGATGACAGGATTAGAGTTAAACTTCTGTGTTAGGAAAAGACATGCCTAACTGCAGAGGAAAAGCTATCAAATGAAAGAAATTAAAGAAATGACAATGAAGCTGTGAGCTCAATTTGTCCAGTTATCAGACAGAGAAGAGATGACGACAGCCGGTACAAGTGAAACAAATTGACCTTTGAATCACAGCCTGATGGTGCAGCTGTCATAACATTATCACCCTAGGGTCCCCTGGGGGAAAACAAACATACCATCTCACCCAGCGTGACATCTAAACTATTCCCACCATCTATCACCTTCACAAAGGCCCCTGCTGCTCATGTTATGTTAGACACCTCACTTCATGTACTTCCTTCACAGCATGCAATTCAGATGACCGTCAACAGAAGCAGCAGCAGCAGCAGAGAGCCTGTAGTGTTGATAGATCATTAAAAGAGGTCCCTGATAAAACTGAATATGATACTGGGGGACTTTACACAAGTCTGTGGGAGCAAACTGAGCAGGCAGATTACAGGCATTTCCCAACTGAGCTCTGGAGACTGGCTTTTTCCTCTGCTGTTTGCTTTGTGGCAGTTTCACTGCACGAGTATTTCACATCCCGGCAGCACATCGATACTTTGCAATAAAACCTCAGAAACAGGTGAATGACACGTCAAGAATACTAACACAGAGACAGAGGCTGTGTGGATCAAACCATTTCTACACTGAACATGGGCAGAAGGAGCCTGATTGCCCGATTTTCCTTCAGGGTTAATTTTGGGCCAGAAATCTGATTAATTCCAGTACTGACCACAGTCTGCTCTGCTTATGCCACCTATACATCAGGAGACTTTGAAAAGATTTGGAAGAGACTCCTGAAAAACTATCATCTCACACCTGCTCACATCTAATGACAAATTTTAAGAGTTTTTAGTCACAGCCTAGTCTCAGCCTGAGACTGACACGTGATTTGTTTAACAGTTGATGTCGAATAGGCAGGGCTGATCTGCTGGACTGTCCACTTTTCATGTTTTATCACCAGTAATTCTTTGTCCACTCTTGTTTTTTTTTTTTTGTTTTGACTGTCAGGTTTCCTTTTTCCGCTTTTGTCATAGCTCATCTATTGGTTGTTGATTGCGTTACATCACTGCAGCTTGTGATAATATCGTACATGTTTGATATGATCGCAAACCCAAGACTAAGAAAAGACTGATATGAAACAGTGCAGATTACCACCTTAAACCTAATAATGAGATGACAGGAGCGCACTGTGACTCCAGTAAAACTACTAGATTTACTAAAGACTATCAGTTTTTAGTCAGGTGTGAAGTAGACTGTGCTAACGCTGTCTTGTTACCAACTTGTGTCTCTCATTGGGCCTCTGCCTCTGTCATTGAAATGACATTGACAAATGTCAGATGCTAGTACTAATGTGTCTTTAAGAGGCTCATGTCAACTGTATCTACTGGTCCTTTTCATCATACAGACGATTTCTTTATGAGCCATGTCAAACCCTAAGCTCACATCCTTGATCACTATTCATTGTGCACTAAAACAATCATTTCTACTCTTCCCTTTTTTATCCCCACTTCACCACCCGTCCAAATGCTTCCCCATCCTTTCATGACTGTTTCAGACCAAGAGCTGCCTTTCTCTCTGTGGGTAACATTTTGACATTTAGCTGTTTCGATGTACTTAAACATATATGCAGCATAAAGCTGAGAGTTCAGGCTCACCCTCAGGGGAAGACCCAAGAGAGACAGACCTTTTAGTGTGGAAAAATGACAGGATAACATGATGAGGATGGAAGGGAAGCGAAGTGAGCTCATTTCCTATAATAGCAAGAACAAGGAAATGGGTAGTGGGAGGGGAGAGAAGGGATAATGGTTTGCTATGTGTGTATTTAATGACATGGTCAGACAGAGAAAGCCCCCACCTCCCCAGACCCAGCTCCCCACAGGCCCTCGAAACTGTAAGCAATATAAAGAGAGGAACTTTGACATTTCTGGTGGTGCTATGGGAGTGAGGGGGTCATGAACTTAGAGAGTAAGCTGTATTTATTCAGGGCTGTAAGAAAATAAACAGTATTACTGAAAGCCCTGTGTAGATTTTACAGTCTGATTTGGGTTGAGACCAGAACATAAACGTTTTTGAGGTCTGGGGCAAAACGTGAAAGAAAAAGACAGGATGAACTCCCTGGTGTGCACGAGTAGGTCAGTTTATTTCCATATTCTCTCTAACCCCTAATGGGATCAAGTCATGCGGATAAATGTGATTTTAGGTAGTTAGATCTCCTCTACTAAGGATTCTACTACCACCCAAATTAGGGCTGGGCGACAAACCGAAAATTTACCGATAGCAAGATGTACAACATTAACCGACGTCATTTTGCCCATATTAGTATATTCGGTGTCAGAAAAAATAAATAAATAAAAGCTGGCTTTGGATGTGTGTAGGTAGGCTATGGTCTCATGTCCTTTTAAGATGCATCAGAGTCGTGACTCCACCCCATCCAGTCCGTAACAAAGAGAGTAAGACAGGTGAGGATATGGAGGATGGTTCAAAAATTGTAGGGATAAGAGCGGGTGAAGTAGACAAAGTTAACGTGGTAGGGGGTTAGCAGCTTGTGGAGTAGTTATCGTCCATTTATCCTTATCAAGGTGAACTGCTCAATATATCCTGATATGACCGGAGGCCAAATCGCCCAGCCCTAACCCAAATAGCAACCTAGTTGAATACTTGGAGGTGCTTACATGATTCAAAAGTACCATGAGTAACGCACTATAAAACGCTCGTCTGCAGCATGTCTATTAACAATGTTCTTCAATATGATGTTGATTTTCTCTGTCTACACCGTCAGTTCTTAGTTTTTACCTTTTTTTTACCTTTTTAGATAGAATTGTCCAACATGAACAAAAATAGATATTCGTATAGATACATAAAGTATCACTTAGTCAGGAATTAGAGCTCTAATTTTCTGTTTTGTTATTGGCTCTATGAGTCACTGTGGAAAAGATCTTCACCACAACAGCTAGGAACAATTTTTCAGCTACATGACTAATTACCATTTAAAGTTGCTGGACCTTTAAAAAGTTTAAGACACATTTATTATCTTATGGAAGCTTTTTCCCCCTCTGACTCTGTCCCAATCACACAGCCGTATGTCTGAAGGTCTTCCTGCTCCTGTACCTCCACACATCACCACAGAGATTGAAGCAGTGACCTGGTTACTGACAAGGTGTCAAACATATTCACACCCTGTGGTGACCAAGACACGCTGGTATATTCGCAAACACAATAATTGTGGCAAAAATGTCCAACTTTGTGCTTTAGTGTAGACACCAAGAGCAGTGCAGGTAGAAACCGTACACAGAGGTAGAGCTTGAAGCAGGTTCTCGCAGCTATCAGTATCTTCATAGTGAAGAGGATAGTGCAGCCTCATCCCAGAGGGCTTGCACTGAGACACACAGTCTGCAGGATCGGGCTTTATCTTAGAGCTCTCCCTGTAATTGCAGGATATTCAGCTGCTCCACATACACACTCACAGACCTGCAATCCCGTGCGTCACACAGCTAATTGGGCAGCAGTGCGGCACAGACTGTTAAGTAAACACATTCGAATCACCCGAAAACACAGGGCAGCAGCTCACAGAACTGGCACTTTTCACCAGAAGCAGTAAGAAAGGATTTCTACAGGAGTTGTGATGGGGTCCTCTCAGGAGTGGAGATGTTTTCACCTGCAGAGCAGATCACTCTGACTCGATTAAACCAGAGGAACCGAAGTCTCTGTAGTCAGTCATTGGTAATCGAACCTAAGATGCTGACTTCAACAGGAGGGAGGAACTGGGTGTCTGTGCTGTTCTGACCACACCAGCTGACCTTCAGGAGAACAACCTATGTCCACAATAAACATACGTATGAATACTAAACATGTCCACTGTGCCCACACATTGCATCTGGGGCTAGGCAATAAAACGATAACGATATATAGAAAATAAATTGGTAGACTATACAAATAGCCAATGAAAAGGGGCGTTGCTCCAGGTCCAGGTCATGTGCTGAATTAGAACCAAGTAGCAAACAACTGCGTAGTAGCAGGCTGCAGCTACAGGCAACTATAGCACTTTAACACGTGAAGCTGACAGCACTGTTGGTGAGAAAAATTGGAAAATGAGTGCTACCCCCGGCAGAAATGCAGATGAAAGCTCAACAGATGACGACATCGTCGACAACACTGGCACGAAAACGCCGGTGGTGTGGAGGTATTTTCGTTTTTTTTTTAGGTCAGACATGAAGCAGAGTAATGTGCACTGCAAATTATGTCAAGTACGTGTTCTCACAAAGTCGGGGTTTACCTAAAATCTTTGTCACCACCTGAAGCAGTGCCACGCAGCAGAGCACGCGCAATGCAAAAGGTTACAAACCCAAGCGGAGCAAGGAGGCCATGGCGCCTGTGCAGTCGAAACAGCGGACTATTCAGTACCCTTTCTCTAGCTCAAAGCCTTACAACAAAACGTCGAAGAGACACAAAGACCTCACAGATGCAGTAGCTTATTGTATTGCAAAAGACATGCTACCAATAAGCAGTTATATTTCCTTTTTTATATCGTGATATATGTCGATATCGACTGTTATGAAAAAATTTATATTGTAATAAACTTCTCCCTATATCCCCCAGCCCCAATTGCACCCTAACTTTAATGTCATTCATTTTGCATCTCACCAGCCACAAAACAGACAATAAAAGGATCTGATCAGTCATAGGCGGTAGGTCTCTGCATTCCTAACACATGTACCAGTAGCTTTAGCTCAGATGTACTTCACAAATTGTTACATGACGTTGTTACATGATGACTTTTGTATTACAAACAGTTGCTGTGGTCGAGCTAGTCAATACAGGCTCCTTTTCTCTCGTCAATACTGTGCCCTCGTGCTAAGCTTTGAGAAAGACACTGAATCAAACTGTTTAAAAGAAATCAAGGTGTTTCTTTGTCAGAATCCACAGAGGAAAGTGCCTCTGAAGACCTGTGGCACAGGTTACAAACATTGAAGTATGTGTGAGCTTTAATCAAACCCTTGAGAGTTTGTCAGCAGCTTTTCATTGTAATAGACCAAAACTGCACATAAATAATCTAAAAATCTAAAGATTTCAGCTTCCATAGTGGTACATCAATTTCATTGTTTAACTGCAGCTCTGTCAAATGACAACATGACTCTCAGGAAGTGGAAGATAACCTCCCATTATTTTCATAGCAGGAATTTATCTGATAGCTGCTGTGGTCGAACCTTAGGGAGTTGATGTGACACTAACTGTGAGACTAGATAAACGCTTCTAGGAAAATCCATTTGTGACGCAAATGAGAAAGGCTCTAATCCCAGTGTTGGTAGAGTGTCACACTTATCAGCCCGGGATAAATGTTTGCAGTAGATACACATGGGAGAACATAACTTTAACTTTGACAAAAAGCAAGCATATGGTAGCAGAGCTGCCATGAAACAGCTGACAGTGTGCCATAGACATGTTTCATTTAAAAACAGGATGAAAAATAGGGACAACATTGACAATGATTGATGTCTGAAGCAGCCAACTCAAAGTCATTCGTTGGACCTGTGATTAGTACACACCCTTGACTGCATAATGAATTTTCCACATTTCTTTTTATGTGAAATTACAACTCTAATCTAAATCAGTCCTTGATGGAAAAATAGCAGAATGAGATTACAAATATCAAGAGACTGGAATGAGCACAATGAAAAGAGAGCGATGTTGAGATCAAAAAGTAGATGCTGTTGTCGTGCCATTGTTGTTCCTGTGGCCTATGCTAGTACTATAATAGACACCAAATAGCAGCATTCACACAAGCACCTGACTCCTGAAAACTTCCTGGAATTTTCTGAAGGGCAGTGTGTGTGAAAGCAAAATTTCACTGGGACTCTACAGAGACGGTTTCCTGCCAGCTTCTTAGAAAAACTTGCTGATGAGTCGTGCAGAGCCAACATTCGATACACGATAGGGAGGTGTTAGCAAGGGTGATGATGTTAATATCATGAGACTGAGGTGAAATCTGAGAAGTGTCACATGGAAAGATGAATAAAAACATTGTAAGTTGAGTAGGCTGGAGTATCATGCTCTTTCACACTGTGAGGGACACAATCTCTAGCAAATTTCAGGGACTGAACTCCTTCAAACTTCTCAAAATTGTCAAGAATGTATGTCTGAAAAAAAGTCCTTACACACCAGAAGCGTTTTTTTCGTGCAATTATTTCAGACGTCAGTATTTTTTTCGAACCCGTATCCTGTCAATACAAGTGTTCACATCAGCGGCGTTTTTCCGTTCTGTGATATTTATTTATTTTTTTGTTTCACGGTCAATTTTCATACTGTGTGTCCACTTCTAACCTATCAGATTTCGTGTTGTTGCAACGTCAGATTCACCGGTATATCATGGCCGACCAGCTGATTGTTTACGTGTCAGAGAACAGAGTGCTTTTTGATTAAAAAAAAAAGACACAAATATTACAAAGATAACGACCTGAAGGACAACCCGTGGAGAGTCATAGCGTCAGATTTCTCATATGACGATGGTTTGTGTGCTTTAACAGTTCGCTAAACGTCTTTGTTTTAACTGTCATCTGTGCTAAGTAACTTGAGCTCGTAAGCTAACCTGTTCAGATACAACATACCATATGTATTTTCACTGTCTCAAACTCAATCGTGTTGCTGTCACAGCACCATTAGGTCTCGGTTGTTACCTTACGTTAATGGATTATAGTTTAATGTGCTTATCTGGTACTGGCCCCGACTCAGTACATGCTATCATGACAGACAGCCATCTCAACACTAGTGTCTAATCAGAACTGAAGAACAGTCAGTCTGGTATTGTGTCAGTCTCCTCGCTTCCACCCGGGACGTGTCTTTTTTCCCCCGGCAAAGTCACAAAATTGCTTGATGTGTATAGTCCGGCACGTCAAAATTTGCCCTCCGAATATTCGTGATTTTGCATCGTATATTTGCGTCATTCCCAGTATGTAAGGAACTTAAGACTTAAGACCAAACCCAATCCTTGGGTTCCTCTGAAAGCAGGTGCTTAGGATAAGTAATTGTGCAATAGTTAAGCGGGCATATACCTTATCGTTAGGGATCTGTGTGGCAATTACTTAGCAATATCAACTGCAAATATCTGACAGATTTGAGTGTTTTCAGCAAAGAAAATAATTCTTGTGGAACTGTCTGCCATGATCTCTACTTATGTACTAGCCTTAACCAATAACTGCGTCAATGTTCACTTCAATCCCACTTCCCTACTTTCGATCCACAGGTTTAGCAGAGTCGGCAGATTTACAAGCATGAGCATCCTGGTTCGATGCAGAGGCCAGACGTATAGGGGGAAGAGAAAATGACTGGTTTCATTTCAGGATTTTTTCTGCTACCGGTAGATCAAACTCAGTCCCGGTGTAAAATAATTACCAGTTAAAAAAGAAAAAAATCAGTTAAGAGGAGCATGCTGGATTTACACATGCTCCTCTTTACATCCACTATGAACACAAAAGATAATATTTTCTTAGCCTAGATATACAACCCGCGCATTTCTCTGCCTCAGTGTGAGTGCTGTCACATGGGGGCTGCCTTCATTTCTGATCAACCCCTGAGTTCTCTGATCATGAGTAGAAGTGCCTGTAGGCTGCTCAGTATGTCATTCATATATAGATACATGTGACAGCCTCACTGCAGTGACCACTGCCGGCTATGGAGCAGAAGCTAAGCAAACTCTGCAACGACAGAGTCATAAACTGAATCTATAAAGTGTGCTGCAAAGCACGCCTCGTATTTCAAATCATGACAGGACAACACGTCTACTATCCTCAATGGAATTTAAAACCCCTGATAGTCTATCAGTCTGAGTTAAGACTTGAAATAAGGAAAAGTTGTTTCCCCAGTGCATACATTAATGTGCACATTTATTAGAGATATTTTGGTAAAGCGTCTGTCTATGCATGTTTAAAGTTAACGTTCCATTCTTCTGTGCCCACAGGCCACATGCACGCATTCAGTGTACCAATGTATTTACATAACACCACTGCTTGTCAAGCCTCTGAGCAAATGTGTTTATGTTCGACTCCAACCGAGGTGCATATGTGTGCGTGAATCATGCAAAGATATTTCCACGAGGCTGCTGTTCTCACCGTTTAAGCAGAGCACATCGCCAAGAAGAGACTTTTCATTTGTGCTAAGCCGGGAGAAAAAAAGGGGGTGGGGAAGCAAAAGAAAAGAGAACATCAAGTGAAGTGAGCAGCAATTTTTGTCGCTCTAGTAGGGGAGGAGAGTAAATGTAAATCAAAGAGCATAATCAGCAGGGAGGCCTGTGAATGAGTGTTTCCTGTTAATGAAAGCCTAAGTCCTCCCTGCTACATTAACTAATGGCTTTCTCTGAGGATGCCTAACAAGAAAAAACAATCGAATACAGTCAGTTTGGGACAGCTTTACAAGAGAAAAGGACTTATTGGGTCTGTTCATGTTCATATTAATATAAAACAGCAACATTTTCATAAAGCTTTGCGCTAAAGTTCTTCAGCTTGCTAAAGAAAGTCTGCGTTTCAAAGCTGATTCACAAAAAGATTCATCATTTATTTCTCTGAGACAAGACTCATCTTTCAACTTAAATCCAAAATCTTATCTCAAAGCCTCTGGAGTTTGCTCCAGGAGACGAACACGAGTTAAGCTTCACTGGATACACAAGATGGGCTGCTTCTATATGTGAGGCTATCTAGTAAGCAGGGAAGCTTCCCTTAGCTGCTCCATCAGATAATGTGACAGCAGATGTGAGTGCTGAAAGCGTACAAGGAGGTGAGATGTAGCACCTCTGGAAGGATGTCACACCTCTCTAACACATTCTAGTGTTCAAAAGATGAATAATGATTTCAGCTGAGACAAAGCAGCCTTTGGACAATAGCTACAGAGAGGAAACGAAATAAAACTCCAGCATGCTGCATTTTTATTTTAGTACTCTAACCCAGTATGAAATGAAGCGTCAAGTGTTATTAATGCACAACTGCATTCAAATTCATCTAACTTATTAGAGATCACAAATCTTACACTCTAGAAATCTAATATCTCAGAAGGAAGCCCTTGAGGTGTATTGTCTTGTTTCTAAGGGGTCCCAAACATGCTTTCACAAACAGAGAACAGAACAGAACAGTACAGTACAGCAGGCTTTGACATGTAATTCAAACTAGTGGTCGACCAATATTGTTTTTTCAGAGGCTGAGGCTGACATATGTAGAGCTGGTTGAGTGTTGCCAATTTATGGTGATATCGCCTTGTTGTCATTTTTTCTACATTTGATAAATACAACGTTTTAATGATTACAAATAAGAAACAAGCCAAGAGTAGTTTCATTGCTCCAATCAGTGATATGCTTTAGATTGGTATTTTGATAAGTTTGTGAGATTTAAAAATATACTAGGTTAGGGATGGGCGATATGGGCAAAAAATTTTATCACCATAAGTGTTGCCATTCTGCCGATAACAATTAAAGTCCTCTTGAAATAAATACTATGATTCGAATCCATGTTTTTGACCCATTTTGTCTTGAGAACACCAGCTGGCATAGTCAAATAAGATAATTAACCACAAGTTTAAAAGGTCCTTGCACACCGGGGCCAACGCAAATATAAAACGCAAAATTACGAAATATTCAGAGACAAATTTTGACGCGCCTGACAATACACATCAAACCCGACGCGATTTTGCGACTTTCCGGGGGGGAGAGACAGTTCGAAAAAAATATTGACGTCCAAAATAATCGCACGTAAACGGTCCCGGTGTGAGAGGACCGTAAGTGGTAGGTTATGGAGAAAACTAGCGACATGTTAGTTATTCTTCTCTGTGTGGGCTACTGCTGCAAGTCCGTCACTTGCGCATTTATCGCATATATTGTGAGATGGCAAATATTTATTGTGGAAGATGTTTCTAACGATAAATAAATTGTGAGTAATAATTCATCGCCCATCCCTATACTCAGTTATGCTTAAGATATTAGAAAATGACTGATAGTTATGTTAAAATACATTATTCTGGGAGTCATAGCAAACTTCATATTCAACACTAGCCTCTAAGTGTTTAAACATCAGCCTGACCAACTCGTCAGTCTCCGTCTAATCCAAACTGTACAACTCTTACTTATGAGCAGGTTCATGAACCCTGAGTGCAGATTCAGACCTTCTGATGCAGACCCTTAATTCCTGTCAACCTCCTCACATAACGGTGGATGGTAATTACTGATATGAGACCTGCTGTACAGAGCAGAGTATGTGATTATCCTTCTAACCAGGGGCACGATTTAACAAGCAGCCGTTACTTCAAAGAACCAGGAGAGAAAATTTCACCCAAGTTCAGAGAGCAGAATTTTCGACTTTAGGTAAGGAGAGAGGAGGAACAGCCTTTAGTGGTTTAACTATTACATATGGCCTGCCCCCCTCAAAAAAGACACAATTTATATTAGAATTAAAAAAAGTTAGACTCTATAAAGAACAGAAAATTACTTGCAGTAAAAGAGAGATGTTAATGTCATTAACTCCTCACTACAGGGCGTACTATCATTATGTTTCTCATGATTTTCCAGCACATCATATGCCGGAAAATCTCATTAATGATCATAAAAACATTTCCGAGTTTCAAAAATCCAGCAAGGTGTCTTCGATGAAATAAAACCACCACGCTCTACTCTGAACAAAATGACTTCCTGAGTGTTCAGCAAACTGCACAATTTTCTTTGAAGCTCTAACAGGAGTAACTTCAGAAGGGTGAATCAACGAGCATGAGAGGAGACGTGTCATCAATGCAGGAATTTACTGATTTCATTCAGACAATCTTTGCAGCCCTGGGAATTGCTGCATGTATTATTTTCTTCTCTGAGCTGAATATCAAACAGGGTTGTGAGGATCAGATTAGCCTTGTTGAAAAAATATAAAAAAATAAGGTAAAATATGATGGTAGAGGACTTTTTCAAGGAGTGGGGGAAGTACAAATCCAGCTATTTACAAATATAAAAGCCATATACAAACATTAAAACATAAACTTAGAGAGCCAGAAAAACATTTTAAAGCCTGGGAAAGTATCATCCTGCCTCGATTATAGGGGAGCACTATCAATCAGTTAGTGTGTGTGTGTTGTGCATGTTTAAGTATGTGAGAGCTGAAGCCAGGGCTGAGAACAGTTGGGGGTGTTAACCATCCTAGTCCAAACACAGCCCACTTATTACCAAGTAGACCCCTCCATGTCTGGAGTTCAGCCCTGCCAGGAGGAAACCACTTGAACCTAAAACAACCTATCCTTGCTGTACAAGATTCAAGATTTGTTTATTTGTCATGTGCATGTTAAACAATGCAATAAAATGTCCTGGGTGAGAGGACCGCTCGACTCGAAGAGTACAGATAAAACACACAATGAGTACTGAAGGAATACAATAGAATAAAGATACAAAAAATTATTAAAGACAAATAAAAGTATGAGAGAAATATTTACAAAGTGCAAGAAATATTTACAAGTGAAAAAGATATTTACAAAGTGAACAAGCGATGCAGTAGGTGCTGAGTGTGAATGTGTGAAATGGATAAGTCGGTGGGATAAAAGAAGTATGAAAAATTGCCATATTGCACTAAGAGGTGTCCTAATATAACTTTTTTACCGCCGATACAATACTGATATTGTAGCCTTCAGTATTGTCCGATACCGATATTGATCCGATGTTAGCACAAACTTGTGCATGATAAGTTTTGCGCGCAGCTGTCTTTTTCAGACAAAAATACTGCCACAGGGCCGACAGCACTCCTACTCCTTGGTATTTTGTTAGTACCTTAGTACACACTGTTGTTGTGATCATATGCACTCTACATGTTGGATCGAGGTGCTGCTAGATAGAGGTGCTGGAGGGGGGTCTGGAATAGACCGCTTGTATCCGGGTGCTGATATCAGAGATTTTAGATGGAGGCCGATATAATCTGATATTTGATTTTTTTTTTTTTTTTGATATCGGACCGATATCCGATATCCGAGCTCGATATGTGCTCCAGGGTACCGTTTCTCCTCCAAACTTTCTCAACGACAGAAGTATGTAGAGAATGTAGGCAAAGTAAGCCTACATAAGGACATGCTGCTTTTAAACACGTGTTTCAGGCAGTGTCTTAAAATAAAAAAGGTTTTACAGTAGCTATAATAAAAAGTGTGTGAGAAAGGACTGAAGGCCACAACTTTCAGGGACACAAAAGTTGCTATTTATAGCGTAAGCTGACTTTTTGCGTGTTGTACCCATGTGTCATGTTCGTACAAATGGTCAAATATTTCACGCAGTTACACAACACGTCTGTAAACCACCAATATGGACATTTTGCAACGAAGGAACATGATTGTGTCAGACTACTCACCCAGCAGCAGCAGTTTCACTTCTCTCGCAGCCTTCTCCCCATCTTCTCTCAGGTTTTTATCAATCATTTTGGACCGCTCGGCCGCCGCTTTATCTTCCTGACTAACCGTACACCCCATGGTTCCTAGTGCGCGCTTCAGGACTGCTGCTTAGTGGGAAAATATCACCTGGAAAAAAAATTCACCGGCCGAACGCCAAAAAAGCCCCTTATTAAGAAAATAAGAGCCGAAGTTGAGCGAGACGACTTCCCTTTTTTGATGAGTGGCGACAAACGTGACGGAGTCCGTTCATCCGCGACAGGGAAAGAAAATCATACAAACAGACGAGATGTGAACTTGGTTTTTCTCACGTATGAAATTCCTCCAAGGCTCTCACAAGCTGTTCAGTAAGTCAGTTGACCAACAGCATTAGTAGTTTGTTTCCAAAAAAAACCCCGAGGAGTTGTCCAGTCTCCAGAGAGGGAAACTTTTTGGTTACCTTTTAGCTTCGGTTCCTGCAGCAAACCATGAGAGCAGGTTAAACTCGTCAAAACGGGCCACAAAGTTGACAAAAAAGTATTCCAGCTGTTGAAAAACCGAGCAGACCGATTTCAACAGTCAAATTAACGGACGCACGCGCGCACTCACGAGGAGGGGCGATGTTGTTTTTTCTTCTTTAAATAATTGTTTGGTTTTTAATTTCTTTTGCCGTAACGCATTCTTCCCCCCGCGTTGAGATTTATCACGTTGAAGCCACACCCGCTGTGAAGTTCTCCTCCGCCCGACAAACAGCGAGACAGACAGCGCCGTCACCTCCCAGCTCAACAGCAGCAGAGCCAACCTTCACACGAACAAGAAACCGCCCACCCCCGTTGCATCATGGGAAATGTAGTCAATAATTTATCAGCATCAGAATCAGAAATACTTTAACAGTCCCTAGGGGGAAATTGCTTTCGTTACAGTACTCCAGCGCAAATACAGTAAAAGAGGAGATAAATGATAGATAAAATGAAAGATAACATAGGGAAAAATATAGAGATAAATAGATCAAATAATTAAAATAAGTAAAAAATATAGAGATGATATACAAGTTTCAGTACTCCAGTGCAAATACAGTAAAAGAGGTGATAAATAATAGATAAAATGAAAGATAACATAGGGAAAAATATACAGATAGATAGATAGATAAAATAAGTAAGATAAGTAAAAATATAGAGATAATATAAAAGTATTTACACTATAAACAACACAAATAGTGACATCGTATGCATCGTGTTATTAATGAGCTGTTGGAAATAAATACATTTTAAAAAAGGTGTAAGCGTGTTTATGGCCTTTAGACCAATGTAAGAACAGTTTAAGTCTATGTGGTTACCTACCTCAAATGAGGAAAAGAGAGCTCATTTATCTGTTTGTGCATTTATTGCCTTCACCTTTTTGAGACCCAGCTTTATATTTTTCACATAAAAATACAACAGGGTTTTAGGCTCATATTGGATTAATATTTAGAACATGTTGAAATTTCTCATTCTTTAATTAAGGGATAGGGATCTTTAATTAAGGTAAATTAAAGACCTACCTGTCTAGTCTGGCTTTTAGTTGAATTTTGTTTCAATCTTTTAATCTGCATTATGTGATTTTATGCTGTTTTAGTCCTAGAGTAACTATTTTCGTTTTCATTTCAATACATTATTCAATAGAAACAAAGAAAATCTCAAACATGTGAATGAAAAGGAGCAGAAAGAAGAAAAAGTTGATAGAGTCTGTCCCTCTTTTATAAGATATAAATCAACTAAACACAATAAAAATAAACAAGAGCTGCAGGCCAACATGCCCTTTACAGTTCATTATTTCTTATTTAAACAGAAAAGACCACATTAATTCACATTTTTCCACAAAACATACATACCAAGACTTAGATGAACATATTTCCCTGTATTTTGTGTTTTATTACCTCTTTTTTACTTTACTTTCTTTTACTGTTTGATTTTAAGACTGTTTTATTTTATTAACTTTATCAGCTTTATCACCTTCATGATATTTTATCATGGTTTTATCATTTTAGTCCTAGATCCAGTGTTTTTTTTTAACTCAAGATAGCGTTTCCTCAGTCATCTGTGGCAAGTTTCCTCACCTGGTCTGTTGAGTGTGCATCAGTGTGTGTGAGCGTGTGAGTGCTGTATGTGTTGAATGGGAGTTGGGAGGGTGGGTGAGGTTTGGTATTTTCATTTTTATTTATTTTACTTAATTGTTTTTTAATATCCTGCGCGAATGGACAGCACTTTGTGCTACATTCCATGTATGAAAAGTGCTATAAAAATAAAGTTTGATTGATTGATTGATTAATATAAGGTCTTAATAAAAGGTGGTACAACAGTGGGCTAGAAATAACCAACAAACCGTGTGGGCAACCTACCATACAAGATTATTACTCTCAAAATGTACCAAGGAAGATAATTCATGGCTTTGTTATTATTGATACAACATAGGACAGGAATTATATTAACATAATATTTCCAACACAGCAAGTTGAGAGCACAAACAAGTGTTAGTTTTGGGTTTTTTCATCTGTAGTCTAAGTTTCATATTACGTCTAATAAATGGTTACACCTATCTTTTAGCATCAAGGTTGAATGATCCATGAAATAATCACATTTCAAGCAGATTCACAGTATAAATATACGGTAAAGGGTTGTATTGTATCGCAATTTCAAAAACAGCATCTCCTTTGGTTAACGGTATGACAAAAATTGATAACACTTGTCTGTGAGGCTCAGTGAAAATTTTTGCTCATTGCATGGTGGTCAAAGCTCAATAGCTAAAGTATACCACGGCTTATTAGTGCCACCTTGTGGAATAATTCTCGACTCTCAAGATGGCTATCGATGATCAATCAATACTTGTTACATACTTTTTATGTAAAGCTCTTCATTTATGGATTTGTTAAATACTGTAGGATTATAATTAAAAGAATTATACTTCTTTATATTGGTACCTTGAACTATCAAACTGTTATCACCCACTCTACTAACCAACATTTTAAGTAGCCCAACTCGATCACTCTGAGTCACACTGCTGAACTACACAATACAATACACTGGAAGACTCACAAGGATACTAGGTGACAGAATCTAAGAATTATTAATAACTAATGATTATTAGAACCTCAATAAACTGACCAGTAATACTACTGCTGACGAGCAAAGGTGACAATGTTTCATAATTTATTTGGCTAAACACGCATATTCCCATCCCTGATACTCATATCTGGTAGACAAGACCAAAATTCTGTTATCTCATTATCTTTATTGCAACATTGTTTACAGTACGATAACTGCCAGCAACATATTAAAATATATAGAGATACAAGAAAATAGACAGGAATAGAGGGACAAAAAGGTTTAAAAGCACTTTGAAAATGATTACATTTATATTTTTAATTGGACTAAAACTTTAATCCCTATTTACATTGTACAAACTAGATATGCATATAGAATATAAAGGGTATACATTTATATACATTATTTATAAATGCTGGCCGATGTCAATATTTAAGATGTTACTATTTAATCATTCACATTTCAATAAATCACACAAAGAAGGAGACTAACATTAAGATCTAAATAGAGGTCCTCAGAGATCATCTTCTATCAGCCACTTACAGCACATCTTCTCATTCAAATGCCCGTTGTTTTAGCATTCTGTGAGATTTTGAAAAGTTTTATGTGTTGCACAATATTTAAACAGTTAATAACACTTGTTTGAAATGGCTTCATCATACATCCAGTCAAATACTCAAATAGGATCAAGAGGTTTATGCATTGGTTAAACAACACCAAACACTAAGTTATGCCCCAGTGGCTGATTTAGATAATTCCTTCTGCATACAGACACACACAAAACACTCCAGTTTCCAGGTATAACAAAAACAAGGGGGATATGAGGAGGTTTGTTGTGTTACAACTTGACAGGACAACACTACATCACTCACCATGGTCTGGTGTAACAAGTAATGAAATTTAGGCAATTACACCAGCTAACCAGCGACTCCAAGTTAGTGGGTTACTGTCTGACCAGAAGCAGCAAGAGTCAGAACAGACTTTGTTCTGACTCTTGTTGAGTCACAACAGCAAACCACCACTTTCAGACAAACCACTGACTTTCACGGTATGACAAAATTAAACTGTTTTTGCAGGTTTAACACACTGCACTCCTTCTCAGGATTAGATTCAACAGATATGCTCCAAAAAAACATTTAACATAAAATCTCTAATAGTTGTTAACCCACCAATAGTTGGAGTCAAATACTGGAATTACACCTCTGATCAGTGAACAGGTCCAGGTTTACAATACAAATCCATACAAGGTACTACAGTTCAAATACAGCAGAGCCATGTTTTCATTTGACCACCAACACAGATACTTCAAAACCTCCTATTGTACATCCAAGAATTAGTTGTTTATATTTATACAATAAGAACCAGAGGAGGGAATAACTGATCAGAGAGGCTCACAGAAAAGCTAACTGACATCATTTCAAGTAGAGTTTGAGAAGACATCCATATGTTACCATCAATACATTGCTTATAATCTACATTAGACTGATCCATTTATCAATGATCTTGTTACAGTAAAAGGGAAATTCCCTTATCTCACATCTATTGACTATGTGAGTTTCTCACACTTTATTTGCTTGCTGTCTAACTCATTAATAGCTACGAGAAGTTGTGCTTATCAAAGGAAAGTGCTATTGCTAACCGCCAACTTTTCAAGATTGTTAAAGAAGACAGTAATCTCATGTCTGCTGTTAGGGATTAAACTTGTGCTGGACACTGAAATATTTACAGACATCAAACTGTTTCTAAACCACTTCATGAAGTGACCCTGTTTTTTTTCTATACATGTTTTGGTTATCTCTGATTGCTTCCAGAAACAACACATCAAATCTTTCAGGTAAAAATCATCCCTGCTTGACGATTAAGAACACTGAGTGGTAACTTTCATTTCATTTTCATCACTTTGATTCAACTAATGAGGTCTTGAGTACCATTTATCATGGTCATTTGCACAGTAATACTGAATAAAAAACACTAAATAATAAAGGCTTTATATATATATTTTTATCTCAACATCCAGGGATTTTACTGCCTCAGAAAGACCTGTATGTGAATTATTTCATCTGTCCATACTGTATCTTCTGAGGTTGTTTATCATCAGGTAGTGATTCATAATAAAAATATACATCTAGTTCATATTGTTTCGGAATGTTACTTAAAATGTGCTCAGACTCTACGCCACATACAGTTAGTGCTTTTGCATCTTTAATCTTTAAGAAGTGAGGGTGTGACCTCCTCACAGCAGCAGCATATTTCAGTGGAATAGGAGCAAAAGGCTGCATACCTTAAAGGAATAGTCCCAACATTCTTCATTTTTTATGCAAAGCTAAGCTACCTAGCAGCTGGATGTGGCTTCAAATTCACTGCAAGTGGTATCAATGTCCTCCTCTGTCAAATGCAAGCATGTTCCCTCGAAATATTGCACTGCTCCTTTCAATCAACCCTTCTTTTTGTGCCAAAGCTTGTGCTATAATTTTTCTCTGCATTTGCACAGAATGACAAAGACCTAGTTATTTAAATAACTTAAAATGATATTAACAGGAAATAAAAGTCATAAAGGTATCATCCATAATTCCTGTCAATTCTGGCATTTAACAGCTAAAAGTATGTGTGTATTATAACCAGTTATAATCAGGGTGGCAGTTTGCAGATCACAGATCATCAGAGGGTGACAGAGGCTTATATCAAACATAGAGACAAGCGTATGAAGACGGCATTTTTCTAAATTGTTGCTCTTCTGTTTTTTGTTTTTTTTTAACATCCATCTATCTCAAAAGGCACAGCCTCAGGAAATCAGCTCACTCTTCATGCACCAGGCCTATTTCGTAAAATAACTACCAACTTTCCAAAAAAAAGTCTACTGGCCCTGATCCTCAGCCTGTTTGGCAGGAAGAAGCTTTATTTGCACAGAAAAAGAGAGCCATCCCAAACCCTACACCCCTTCTCTGTGGCCATTATTCTTCAGTGGAAATGGAAAGGGTGTTTTCAACGTGAAACATTATCCAAAGTAAAAACAGTAACATAACAACACAGACCTAGATCTACAATATAAAACCCAGGGATAAATGGAAGGTGGTGCTTAGTGACCACTGCTGGCTTTGCTGGTGCCTGATGTCCAGTCAATGATGATAAAGCTGAGACTCATTATCATAAACAGGAAGCCTATACCAGCAAAACAGGCGGCCTGGAGGAAAAAAAGTGACTGAGTTAAATAGAGTTACAGAGAGCAGCTGATAGAGAGAGAGAGAGAGAGAGAGAGAGAGAGAGAGAGAGAGAGAGAGAGAGAGAGAGAGAAACACAAACTTAATGGATCATATTTGTATCATATTCACTGGTAACCTCCTTTACAAACTTCTGAATGTTCGTGATTTAAGGTGTCATTTTTCTGAGCTAACAAGGATTAAAACTCCATCCAAGTCTTTTCTATCTAAAGGTTTAAAAATCTGAACATCAGAACCAAAGCCACAGGCAGCAATGAATACGCCCTCACACCCTTGTCTAACTCTTCTCTTACCTACAACCTGTGCAAAAGACTTAAATTTTGTTGTTCTCATAAAATTCTCACCAGGATTTTGGGGACTGAGCGCAGAGGCTCCTCTTCTTTGGGTACAATACGAATGTAGAAGACAGCAGGAAAGATGAAGATGAGACAAGGAGCAGATGTTGCACCTGGAACAGATAAAAACATCACTCTATTCATAAATCAAATAAGTACTAGATATACATTCGCTATGATTCTCTGTATGTTTTTCCCGCCTGTAATGATCAGGAAAGATAAATATCATTTACTTCAATTTTTTAGTGAACATTATTCAGTCAGGACCACTTCAGTCAAAAAGAGTTAGTATTTGCATTCTCTAAGTTATATCTGATAGTATGTTACTATTCTAATTGTTCCTCCATGGGTCTTCTTTGGATGCGATGGCCTGAGTTGTGGAGAGCTCAGTTCCCCTTCTTTTCCTGTTTTTACATTAAAAGCCAAGGTAAGAAAAGGAGTAGTAAAGACCCCCAAAACAACCATACCTCGGCCTCCATGCACTTACATGAAAGCACCAATAGGGGGAAGAAGCTGCACAGCTTTAAATAGAGGTCAATCAGTCCAATATGACAGTCAGCAAAGCCTATATAGATACTAGACTAAAATAGCTTGGCCAGAGAAATATACAGAAAATCCCAATATTTATGCTTGAATATTTATTGTATGACCAAACATGCTATAGGGAACCCTGTGCTATTTAGAGAATCAGGGACAGCTTGAGCCTTGGGCAAAAGGTAACATGAGAAGACTTATAATGAACAAAGGAGACGATGTAATAATGGGGCACAAGTCTAGGGGAGCAATAAAAGACGCACAAATTGACAAAGTAGACAGTTAGTCATCCATGGCTCACTGATCTTTGAAAACCCCTCAAAACCAACAAAGGTAATCAGTGAAATTAGATGTCACATAACAGGTCTGGGATTCTGTCAAGTATAGACTAAGCTTTAATGAAGAGATTTCCTTGTAGGCTCAGGCTTTCATGTTTTCATTTAACATTTTACTGTATAAAGCTTTTGTTGCTTTATTTTCTGCTTTCGAAAAAAAAAATTGCTTTGACTTTAGGAAGGATGAAAAGCAGATTTCTGGCAGAACATAAAAGTGGTGTGGTAAATTAAATTGTGTACAGAAGGATCACAAATGAGAAATTGGAGAGAGCTGACTACTTTGCCGAGGGGATAAGCATTTTGATAGCTGCAGAAGTGAATGCTGCATTAAAGTTCTCTGCATTTTAATATGAAGGTGTGACTCAGGGAAGTCAAAATCTGAGTTTGGAGAATTACGTCGAAGGTTTACTGTAAGATCTGCTCCTTAATATCTGTAGTGCTATTTGAGTGTCTCAAACATACCGATGACCCCAAAGATGCCCAGGATGTTGGGGGCAAAGATGACCAGCAGGTTGATAAATGTAAGCAGAACGACAGCTATGGCGATGTGACGAGGCCAGTTGAAGGTTTTATTGGGAAACACCATCTGCTGGATTGCTCTCCGTACCTTATCAAAACACAAGAATCAATGCAACTCTTTCTTTATAATTCGAAACCAAAAACATGCATTGAGAAAATGTTTTCATCATAATTTAAAGCCAATAGACACAAAAATCATACTCACAGGGAACAGGACGATGGGCACAGTGAGTGTGACAGCTGTGAGCACAGCCACACGCACACACAAAATTAAGGTGTCATATGGGTCAATGCGGCTGTAAGTGTGAAGCAGCTCTGCTTCCACTTCACCTGAAAGAAATCAAGAGACAGGAACACGAGTAGGTCCAAGAATGATGAGGGAAATCCACCCCCATAAAACTTTATAAATAAACACGGAAGAGGAAATAATCAAAGAGTTGGTAATATATAAAAACTGGCATGAATAAAAACAAATATGAATCAAACTTTATTACAAGGTAAACAGTAAGAAAGACTTTGTTACCTATGACTAGATGTTATGAAACACTTCTTGTGCCTCTGAAGTGCTTATTGTACAAAGAAAATCTGCAATATGACCACTAGAGGGGGCAGATGCATCACAGTGCTTTTAAGCCAGCAGTGTCATTGTGACATAATTTAGTGCTGATATGAAAACAAACAAATAAGTGACATTGCTTCAATAGACTGATTAAAGCGTGAATAAGAAACAAAGAAGCAAAAATAGGTAGTGTAGCACAGAAAGGACAAAGAGAGAGAGAGAGAGAGAGAGAGAGAGAGAGAAAGAGAAAGAGAAAGAGAGAGAGGTAGGATATTAATGAGAGGACCAAGCCTCACCATAGAAAGTTAGGTATCCAAAAAGGGCAGCCAGGAAGTACATGCTGTACATGACTGCAATGGAGATGTTGGCCACATGCTGCATCTTTTTCTTGGTGGGACTGAAATCAGAAAATATCGCCATGTGATGTCACACACAAAAACAAACACACACACATACACAAAGAGCATCAGGGCATCCATTATCAATTATGTAGCCCAGTTACTGTTAAATACCATCTCCAATTGTTGGGCTACTTTGGCAGCAAGAATATGCCTGAAGATTCAATAGCACAGTAAATTCATCTCAGGAAACAAACAAGTGTTTCAAAGCAGGATGACAAATTTTAACTGACAACATGCTACATCATACAAGCAGTGCCAACATTCTGAAACCAAGTGAAAGCAGTGCACGTGACTGGGTTATGATCAGCCAAGCACAAATCAGACATAGTAGCTGTCCTCTTTGTTATGTAACGTTTTTTTCTTGTCCAAAAGTTAGCAGGAGCTCTCCATCATGAGAACATACTTGCGTAGCTCTGTGTAGATGGGCAGGACCTCGGGGTGGCACACAAAGGCAAACGCCAGGATGGGGATAGTGTAGGCCGTCTGAAAATGAACCCCAACAGGTCACCATAGATACAGCAGCACCATCCCAGACATTTCAACCACCAACCGCGCACTTTACCGCCCATTACTCCCTCTGACACATTACAGAGAGCTAATTGTTTCCCTGTGATTAACTTGGCCTAGCTGTAGTGCGGCTTGAGCCTGTTTAAGAATGCCTCACTTATAAGCTGCTAAGCAGCAGGAGTTGGTCCTACTACTCAGAGTATAAAACATAAAAAAGTCTCAAACACCTTTGAGGGATGCCTGGAAAGATCTAAAAGGATTTTATCAGGAGCTCAGTACTTGCTAATGCTCCGGAGAAAACTGACATTACATAACATGATATATGAGAACAACCAATCACATCAAAGCAGCAAGCTGCGAGCCTAGATTAAGAGTCTTTCTGGAGTCCTCTCCTGTTGTGAGAATTTGTACTGTGTGTAAAAAATTAAGGGTACTTAAGGAAATGTCAGGTCTTTCCCATTTCAATCTTTGCTTTGGATGGCAAAGAGCAAACTTCATGTTCCCACAGTAAGCAACAGGTTTGTATTTTAAACAGGAGCACACAGTTAAGGGGTCACTATCCATCGCTGAGTCTTGCATAAACTGAGGACTTTCTCTCTTGTTAACAGCATGATCTCCCTTTGAGTGGCACTAAGTGCTCCAAAACCAAGTGTGACTCCATGCTTGGATTGTGAACTGTCTCTGGCAACATGCTGAGGATGACTCTGACACAAGTGGGTGACTGTCAGTGCTCATTGCAGTGGTGGTGGATCATCAGACTGAGTGACATACATAAACCTACTTGTGAGTTAAGATTGGCCATTTTGGGAATACAGGCAGGATCAATCTCCCCTCCAGGATCTGTAGCATTGACACTCAGCCCGCTGCTAGTGGCATTAAAGGCAAAGTCCACAAACGGGCAAGGGACGTTAAACTTCTTATAGATGACCTGTACAGTGCAGGAGAGAAGCATTAATGAAAACAAAGGCAGTAGGAAACACAAAGTACTGTATATAGACATGCAGAGAGTATGGCACTGTGAGGTCAGAGTAAGAGAAAGAGAGAGAGAGAGAGCTGAAGGGAGGGAGAGCAGTGTGTGGATTACAGCTTGCACAGCCAAAACTAGGTCAGAGAAAGACAGAGAACCAGCACAGCCTGGAACCACAACGTGCAAACATTAGTCCGTGGCATTGAGTAGAGAGAGCAGGGAATACTAAAGAGGCAGTGGGAAGGTGGAAAAAAAGAATCCTGGTCCAGAATTATCCCAGTGCATGTTAATATTCTGCTTCATGATATTGCCAACAGGGAGAAAAACAACAATCTAAAATAAACATGTTTACATCAAAAAGAGCACTTACTGAAATGAGGAAGAAAACCATGCAGCTCAGGGAGAAGCCACTGGTGTACCCCAGGTAACCTGAAATACAAACATTGTGTTAGCGTTTCTCATTATTACACTGTATTACTCTAGAGCTAACATGAAGGAAATGCTAATATAATTTTTGTGTCATTTATTATTTAATTTATGCAATTTATTCATGTAATTTATTCTTTTTTTTAAGTCATCTATCTATCTATCTATCTATCTATCTCAACTCTAATGACTAATCCCTCGTGAGAGAGAGCAGCATTTTCTTCTGCTGTATGGTCTTTCATGGACGTGTCTTTGATGTCTCGGCAGGAGGATGAACTCCTCCAAAAGGTCAGCCAGTACGCCTCTTTTTCTCACTTACAAACTTGCTTTCCCTGCCTTTTTCTTCTCACCATCTGTCTTATTTCACATACATTCTTGTCTGAAGGGCTGCAGGGAGATGTTTGAGAGAACTTGTGAGAATTTTTGGAGTGTCATAGGAGCTACGGACACTTGGGTATTTTAAATTAGGGGCATCTTATAAATAAAGCAGAAGGCCAAACATTTTTACAGACATTGCTAGAATAACGAATCCAGAGACACAGACCAAGTGTTAAAGGATATCTCAGGAGGTCAAAGTTGGAAGGAGAGGAGACAGAGTAGGCCAGTGTTATTTTATGACTGAAAGAGGTGCTAGCTGAAATAAACTCTTTTCCTATTTCATACTTGAAGCTAGGGATGGGCGATAAATTATTGTTCACAATTTGTTATCAGAAAATTCCTCCACAATACCGTATTTTTCACACTATAAGGTGCACTTAAAATCCTTATGGCTTGTCGGAGCACTGCAGCTACTGTAGCCCCGCTGAGTTATTGAATGAGTTAAATAAAGTTTACTTATCTGACTGTTTTGTTTGGTTTAATGCGCTTTATAATCCGGTGCGCCTTATAATTCGGTGCGCCTTATGTATGAAAATAGACGCGAATAGACGCGTTCATTGATGGTGCGCCTTATAATCAGTTGCGCCTTATAGTGCGAAAAATATGGTAAATATTTGCAATTTCGCGATAAATGCAAGTTGGTGGCGTAAGCGCGAGTGACGGACTTGTGCGAATAACAAACAAACATGGCCGAAGGTGGTGAAGAAAACGTCTCTGAGCAGCTTGTTGCTAAACAAGGCTTCACGTGGGGTTTTTCCTTCAAGATGGGGGTTTAGACGAGTGCAATCAGGTATGCCTGACATCTGACAGAGGATCTGCTGCTGTTCACTGCAATAAGAGTTTTTAATAAATGTTGAAAGTGCTTTCACATTTCACAAGTTTTCTTTATAACCTACCACTTAAACTTGTGGTTAAGTAACTTATTTGAATATTCCAACTGGTGTCCTCAAGACATAATGGGTAAAAAATTATAATATTTTTTGATCAGGACTTTTATCATTATTGTCAGAATGGCAAAACTTATTAGAAATTTTTTAGCTTATATCGCCCATCCCTACTTGAAGCCATGGCAAAAGTGACTCTGTCTTGCTGTAACTGAACCAAGTTAGAGGCACCAGTAAAAAGGGTTATAAAGGAAACCCCGACTGAAACACTTCAGACATCATGAACCCTTTGTAAGAATGATAGGATATCATGTACTTACCCAGTTGTTTCATAAGAGCCAGTGGTAAGATTACTGCAATGGATACTATGATCACAAGATAGTTCCCATTCAGGTACCATTCACTGTGGAGAGGCAGAAAGACAGATAATTAAATGTATTGACTGGAAAACACTCTGCTCAAACACTCCACTCAATCTCAGTTCTGCTCAGCATTTGCACTGTGTCAGATATCGATCGAGTAGAAACAAGAGGAAAGTGCGTGAATAGCTAAAAGATAAAGTTCACGGATAATAAGGCTTGGACAGTGAAAAAAAGGACTGAATGAGAGCTATTTTTACCAATCACTGTAGTTGCATTTAGTGTCGATGTAGTAGGTTTACATCCAACATCACAAGAAATCTGCAGGAAACAACAGACTGACCTAATAATATGCATGCATGTAGTATCATTTGACTGTGATTTAGTCCTTTAACTGGAAACCAACACATGTTGGTATGTTATTTTTCTGAACATAAACAAGTAAGTTGAGGTAACCTAATCACACTAAAACAGTCAAAAAAGTATGAATGAAAATCCAAAACCATTTTGAAACAGGCCCTCTTTTTAGCGATATAAATTCGTCTGAAACAGCTGTCCATTATTATTTGTGCTGGTTATTCTTAATGCTCTAGGAGAGGAAGGTGCTGGTGCCAGCATGAGAAAGAGTACACGCTGGGCAGAACATCAGCCAATCACAGAACACTTTCACATTCACACCTACAGGTATTATAGAGTTACCAATCAGCCTAATGTGTTTAGACTGCTGGACTAAACCAGAACACCCAAAAACAACCAGTGTAGACACAGACAGGCCACACAAATTAGACACGGTGGAAATGCTAGGTAGTAAATCTAACTGCAAACTAAAAAAGACAGAATTATGAAGGGTTTGGAAACCGTATGGCAAACAGATGCAGCGGACACAATATAACACGTCACAGTCTAATGCACAGTCATGAATACTAATAGGACCTCACTGGGCTATTTTTAGATCAACACAAGAGGGGTGATTAAATTCTTGCCCTCTGTCAGGTGGGAGACACTGCAGAGATACAACATCTGTTGGCCACACACACCCCCACACACACATCTCGAAAGGACTCATCTATCCCGTTGTCATCCTGCCCTCCAGCCATCTGGACCATGGATACAATATCTCACCGTCCTTAATGAACACACACACACACACACAGTACACACACACACACACAAAATACACGCACACACACACACACACACACACACACAAAGTACACACACACAAACACAAAGTACACACAAAGTACACACTAATTCTAAATCAACTACAATCACACAAAGTGGGACAAGCTTGATATATTGAGTATATTAACAGCAAGTTAGTTGACTGCCTTAACTAGAAAACACAGCTGCAGGTGTTCATTGACCGGTCAGATGAGTTCATCAGGGTCACGTTTGCAATCAACAACACACAGTTACACACAGTTTTCAGCAGTAAAGAGCACTACACTGGTCACAGAAAAACAGCGAAGGAAAGAAACAGGGAAGAAACTCAAATTAGTTTTAGAGAAATCTATGGTTGCCCTAAAGGTCCAAAGCTAGAACTGTAGTTCTTTTTTTCCACCTTCTGATATATCTTCTGCAGAGAACAAAATATTTGTCAAAGAGAGAAACATTTTTCAGTCAGAGACACATTTCTGAATTCCCAAAATCTTTTGGGGAAATACCAAACATGTCACATCTTCAAAAAGCTATATTTTTGCAGTTTCTTGAATGTGTCATGTTTTCAAAAACTTATTTTGTCTTTGAAAACATTTTTTTTTTCTTGTGAAATCTTATTTTTTCTGCTTTGTTTAAAAAAAAATATTTTAAAATTATTTTCATATGATTATAAATATATATATTCTGAAAATATTTTTGTTTTGTTTTTTTTTTCATTTTGATTTTTGTTTGATGTTTTTTGCAATCTTGAATGTTTGTGCCATTGACCTTTAATCCCACTGTCGCAACTTGCATTTAATTTAACAGTTGCATTGTTAACTCTGCAATTCTGTACTTGAATGATTTTCCTCCTTTAATTCTTATCGATTCTTCCTTATCCGATTTTGAATTACTTTTTTAAAATAAACAAACATAAACAAACACATTTTTCTTTATCTAGCAAAGAACCTGTGATGAACTGACCTGTAGATAACCTCCCATTCCTTAAATTTAAACTCATGTAATTACAAGGTCTTTCATGATGGTAGATTATATTATATTATATTATATTATATAGCCAGCCAACATACAGTATGTCAAAATAAAAACACACATTGACTCGATGAAGTGTTACCAGGTATCTAGGGCCTGTTCTACGAAGCAGGATTACTGCTTAGTGAGGTAACTTCTAGGGTAAGTTCGAGGTTTCCTGTTCTACGTCAGGGGTTCACTTCTTAGCAAGGCGTGTCTCCATGGCAACGTACACTGAACGGCTAACCTGCTCCGGGGCAGGTTAGGTTCCAGATTGAACTGGAGTATAAAAACCCCGCCCACTGACCAATGAGCTCTCTCGAAAATTGGCTTGTCCGTTCTTGGAGGATCCTATAGACCTCGGTGCTCACATTGTCCGAGGAGCACTCCGGCACGCGCGAGATTTCGGGGACCGCACGGACCCACTTACTTTTCCGAATGACCACCTTTGTGAAAGGCTCATATGGGCTACATATCACACAAAAAATGTAAACACGATAGGAATGAACAAATGAATGAATTCATCTTGGAAATAAATTAGACATATCTGGTGCCTGTTAAAAGCACATGTTGAACAGTGCTATTTCAGGGTGATAATGGCATCAAAGATTTTTTGCACATTATATTTACGCATTGAGACTGTCGGCAATTTTCTGCCAGCATTCCTTCTGTGCTTTTGCAGCGGCGACGGTGTTGCTTTTGAGGTTTATGATAGATTTGAATTCTTCATACTTTCTCATGATCGTCTCCTGCTCCTCGTTTGTTGAGTACCTGGTCCTTCGCTCTCCGGCCTGCTCTGACGGACCAGGCTGGTCCATGTTCGCGATTGGTCAGTTGCAGCGGGCTCCGCCTTACATGCATGCACACGCTCATGACAAAGCTGGATCCACTTACGAGGTTGATTACCAGCGTCATAAGACCGTTCAGCGAGACCGCTGGCTACCGTGCTAAGTTGAGCGAGGTAGCTCCAAGGCTACCTCGCTAGGTCGAACTTGCTTCATAGAATAGGCCCCTAGTCTGTCACGTCCAGCCAAGAGTGATTGTTTACCAAGCACTGCCACAGTGGGAAAAAGAGCTGAAACCACAAATCAAAGTGGACATACTGTGGCAGTATATCAACTCCATATAGACTTTATTTCAACAAATCAATCTGAACAATTCAAGAAAAATTTCCAGCAGTAGATTGTAGCCCAATTTACAGAGCTGTGAAACCATAAACACGTGTTTTTAGAATGCGCACGAAATTAACCAAATTAGGAGCTTAGGAGAGCCCACAACTGGGTCAAAGGTTAGGGTGTAAAAGGGTAACAACACACTACAAATCCCACCCAAGGAAGTGAGTGTTGTTTATCTCAGAGGCCACCTGCACTGGCCATGGATATCCCATGGTTTACGTTTTGAGCCGTGGAGTCTTGCTGTGTTTTGATGTGTGCGTTTCTCTGCAGCCGTGCTGCTCTCCTCCTCCAGGGTCACTATCACAGCTGTTCTCAAGACAGCTGCTCCGTATATCCAGAGCAGCAGCAGGCCTGCCAACTGGCAGCGCTACATACTACTTAATAGTGGACACTAAAAAAGACTTCCTATTGAAAAACAGTAAAAATCTGTGCTTTTGTACATGAAGTCATGGGACCTTTTAGAAAACACGCAAGCAGCCTGGGTGTTCTGAGAATTATGTTCAAACAATTTAGACCCCATGCAAGGAAATTTAAAGATTCCTCCTATTACATCTCAAACTTCTTATTTTACCTTTGATGGTTCAGTTTTTAAGCAACATTTACAGTATTCAAAATATTGTTTAAAATTTTTGTTTTTTAAGCCAAGAGAGTTGTTAATTGCCGAGTTTATCATTTCGGCCATAAAAAGTAACCGGCCTTTAAAACTTTGCAACTTCTTTACTACTTTTATTTCTTGTGCAGAATGAAGTCAGTTTTAGGTTTGTTTTGGCCTCAGAAAATATATTGTAGATTTTAGTAATTTTACTAATTTCAAGTACCAACACTTAAATTGAGTATATTAATCAGATAAAACCAATAGTAATCACATTTGGCATTTGGTTATTCAAACTTATAGTGTTTTTATATTAAACCAAATAAATGTAACATGAAATTACAAATCAGGCTGGTACTGTCGTCCCTCTGGTATATTTGAGGACATGATCAAAGCCACTCTAGAGTTAATTCATACTGTAAATGAAAACTGACATGTCTTGTATTAAAGAAGAAGAAGAACTTAATGGATCCCGAAGCGAAGTTCAATAACAACACTCACCCTGCAGGTTTATCCACCCTGAGAAAAGCCTGGATGACCAAAGGAAACTCATACTTGACTATGTACAGGTAGCTTGACATGGCTATTGAAAAGACATAAAAACAACACTTAGTTAGTGCAGTGGCAAAACAAATAATTCCTCTTTACTGACATTATTAACATATTATATTCAGTGATTTCAGCAACGAAATCTGACTTCAGTACAAGCTATTGTATGTGTGTTTTGTTTATTTTTCAATGCTAGTCTTTGCTGCTGGTTCTCTTTTGATTTTGAGGTATAACATTATTCTCTCTCGTAGGTGTGTAACACCACTTAAAACTATAATATCTATGAGCCTTCCTACTGTACTGGCCTACTTTGGCAAAAAATGACAGCTGGAGCAAAAAAAGCCCATTCAAATCAGTTCAAAATCAAAATAAATTGTACTTATAACAATATAATGTTCCGTTGATAGGTAAAAATTTGTGAATATAAGTTAATATAATACAAATCACTGCAATTTAAAAAAGAATTGATAACAAAGAAAATGGGTTTAGATAAAATAAAGGTATTTAGAGCTCTGATACTGACATCGATCAGACCCTGGGAAATACTTAAGCAGTGCTTCTTGCCTGTGTTGACTTTATTTGCAGTCACAAATACTCTGGTCTTGCTTGATCAACTCAATAAGCAAATGTTATAGCAGCTGCCTTCATTTATTTCAAGTAGGATATTGCTATCAGTTAAACTACAAAGCGGCTTACATCCAGTTCAATGATGAAAGCCCCCTCACACATACGCTCGCACACGTTAATCCAAAGGAGCAAATCTAGAGAAATAGTTTCAACCAGAAGTCAGAGGACTCACCTCCAATGTTCTGCAGAGTGATGGCAATACCTGCCGCCATCTTACCGGGGGTCCCAAAGGCTCTGAAGCCAAGCTGCTCATATGCACGGATACCTGAGACAAAGATACCAGGAGGAAATATTTTAAGGCAGAACAGGAATCTAAAAAGGCTGTACAGCAACTGAAGGCTGTTTTTTTTACAGCTCATGGACTATTAGAGGATTGACACACTGTACCCTTGTCGTCCAAAGATGTATTGATTAGCAGACACAAAAAACACACAAGTGAAGTATCTAAAGAAAGTAAGATTCTTACAGCCTGTTGACTAGTGTTTAAACATGTACATCTATGTGAGTGCAGATTGTCAGATGGGCTTTTACACAAAAAATCTGACAGGCACTAGAATTTAATAACCAGTCTTTCACTCATTATCTCGTTTCACCACGCAGGTCATTAGATGGTATCAGTATAAGACTCACAGTGCTTTGATTGTTGGTGGAAATTGACCAAACATTTTTTACAGACATTACAACCTCTGCTAGCAGCATCAGACTGTTGTTGTTTCTAATTTTCACACTAGAATTAACCTGAAAACAGATGATGTTGTTGGCTAACTGGATAATGTATCAGATCAATGAGTTTCCTGGTTAATTTATTAAAACACAATTCTATTTTAGGCAGTAATGATGGCTGATTGATACCTACACCAAAACCAGAATAGACACTGACACCAGATGTTGTCAAGTATAATTTTTTATTTAATATCACCTGATCTTTATTTTTTAAGTCATGTAAAAATAGATTAATTAGCTTTCATTCAACCACTGGCAGTCATATACCTACCTACAATACCCGATGATTTTAACAGTAAGTGGATGGAATATGAGGAGAGGACTGCCACCACTGTAAGAAGTGTCCTGAAACAGACAAACACAGACATTGTCATTGCTTACACTTCCCCCAGTTTTTAGTTTTATACTTTACACTTTTACACTGAACAATAATCTGTGAGCTGTTTATTCAGCTGTAACACAGGCACACACGCTTTCTGCATGCCAGTACATAGATAGGGATGGAAGAGCAGACACCCTGAGGCCCATTTCACCCTCAGTTTTCATTTAAACGGAGCGAAGGAGGCTGCCCTGTCAGCGCCCCTGCCCTCTGCCACACTAAGTAATCACCACACCAGATGGACACTCTCAAAAGAAACATTTCCAATGTAGTGCTGAGAGTGACAGAATGAGGAAAATCCTTTGCAAACATTAATCTCCTCTACTTTGTTTCTCAGTGCTGGAATAACCATCTTCAGTCACAGCAACATCTTATGTAAAAATGTCCCATCAAACCGGGGGGACTTGATTTTTTTCTCTATCTGCTGAATCATGTCCACAATTCTAATAAGCTTCTATCTTTTCTGTCTTATCTTTGGATTTCTTTATTCAGCTCCCTAAAAAATGATTATCCATCTGTTCTAAAATTCTTCTGTGTCTCTCATTAAAATCACTCAAGATAAAAAAACAAGGCCTTATTTTCAAAATGAATCCAACTGATCATGGAGGTCTACAACCAGGGGCTACAGTGACAAACTCATCACTTCATCTTAATTCTGTTTTCCTGATCTGACCTTTCAAACCCCCAGCCTATCTATCTATAAGACTAGGGCTGGGTACTAAACTGAGTCTAGGTACCAAGCTGAGTCTGTAAGAGGCCAACTGATCAGGGAGTTGATCCTGGTTAGATCTTCAAAAATTCAAAATTGATTGATAGAAAAAATTTAGCCTGCTGTTCCAGCTTAATGGTTCAAGTACACGACACTCCCATGGCTACAGTGCTCATTACAGCGGCTGCTGGTTTGATGTCTTTCCCTGTGTGAGAGTTAATACTTAATACTCATACTCTCTACTTCACAAATTTCCTGTCCCCCTTCAGCTTTTTTATATGCAACCAGGCAAAGTGGCTCAAAACCTAAACTACACTAACTAGTAGAAGCAGAATACTCTCAACAGTAAAAATGGTACCCCCTGATGCCAATACATTTACAGGCTAATTCAGATGTTCAGCCTTATGCAGGGATCTTTCACAACAAGATCTCTCTCTGAAATGAGGAACCAGGAGTTTCAAGTTGCATGTTGCCCTTCTTAAAGCTCATTTATGCTCAACATAACATGCTCAACAGGTCCATGCTTTGCATTCTTTTTGTCCGTATTTCTGCACCTATCCTTGAAGTTTACGGATACGGGCCAGAAGGAGCAGTACCACCGGAAACCATGGAGGCAGTGTTGCTGCTATCGCTACCCGATTCGCATCTCTAGAGAGAAACGAGGAAGACAATAGCGGGGCTTTTTGAAGATCGTCAGCAATTTCTCTCTACTACTAGAGAAAAGAATTCTCCGTCCCCCCACCGCGAGACATTTAATGGCCTGACCAACCACCGCCTCCTCCAACGCTGCCATGTTACTTTTTGTTTGTTGTTGTCAAAAACTTTTGGCTCCAGCCTGCCCCCTAGTGGATATAATGGTTAACATCCATGCCAACATAAAGGACGCATGGAAGTATGTGGGCAGTGATGGAAACATCGTTTGAAATGCACGTGTATATTTTCATACATAGTATTGTGAGCATAAATGAGCCTTTACTTTGACTCAATTTGAGCAACGTCTGCAACTCAGTCTGCAGACAATTAAAGCTGCACTAATTTCACATTTGCCATGCATCACTCTGACAACCTCCTTACAGAGCATCCTTCCCATTTAGCCGTTTGTTCAACAGTACTGCTGCCCTGCACCAGTGCTGCACTCAAGCACCACCACCACCTCATCATCTACCTGCTAGGGGGTTTAACATTTCCTCACTTCTTCATGTCTGCATGCAAAGTTATTCAGGAGTGATGAGGTTTGAAGCCTCAAACCCAAACACAATTTTCTGCTGCTGTTTTAAAGCTTTGATATGATGGAGATGACTGACTTATCGGAGAGATGGTGGAAAAACATTAGAAGACTTTGAGTATCCTCAGTCTCAGGAGGTTTTGTGAATGAATCCCTGATGTACTTTCCCTGACCCAGTCCACCACATTCCAACTGTTTTCCATTTTCCTTCTCTTTTGTTGTCACTGCTGGCGACACTAACTTTCTCTCTACACACTCTCTCCATTCCCTTTGCTTTTAGGAAAAGCCAAACAGCATGTCTTTCATCCTGACTTCAACTGTTGGCAAACCAGCAGTTTTTTTCCTCTTCATTTGGCTTTTTTCAGACCATGTGGAGGAATGCTGGGCTGACTTGTGGGGGATTTAGCCAGTCAAGTGGCAGTGGGAGGACAGATCTGCTGACAGTCAGACAGACTGACACACTTGGGTCACTGTAGCTCACAGCTTTCCACCCCGCTGCATTCCTACCCGCGCCTGGGCCACTGACCTGCTGAAGCCTCTGCATCCGCCAACAAAATCTGTGTGATATGAGTCATGGGGCTGAGGGAGAAATAGACACGAGAGACAGTCTCAAAGGACTACCTAAAATAGTAGGTGTGGGAAAGTAGGGGAGGTCATTTGTTACTTAAATATAATTCCACACTGCGGTGTGGCTGTAGCTTTATCGCCTGCAAACTTGATTTTAACATTTTATTACGTGGAGAGAAATGATTAGTAAAATTTTAATTATTTCTCCAAAGGAATTCTTTATTAACATCTGATTTCAGAAATTAGAGCTTATGAAGCAGTCAGACTGTGATTAAATTACGCAAATAAGCTGCTGCAGTTCAAGGGTTTTTCCCCTCTTTAGGAGCAAGACCTTGGGTTTATAATGAGTGAACACGTTTCCAGGAAATAAGATTAGATGTAATTTTTGAGGAGACACCATTCAGGAGTCCAACACGATGAAACCCAGAAAAATATATTCAGTTATCCTTAACAAATATGTCTCACTGACCCTGCTGTAATTTTCTAGTTCCAACTCTTTTGTTTGAAACAAGATGCTGCAGAAATTCTCACAATGGCAAAGCCATTCATCTTCATACACGCTCTCTGTTGTGGTTAATCATGTAACATTAATTTGCACTTGGTTGCGTGCAAATTGAGAAAATGCCGACTAATCAGCTCAGGCTCATTTGGGCTCCTATCTAGCTGAGTGACAAAGGCCTTGGTGTTGGGTGACACCAGGTTCAACCAGTCCAGACAGCAGACAGTTTGAAAATCACAGTCACACAACTCAGATCAGATTAAGAGGCTTTCTTTAACACAGGGACAAGACCTGACAGCATACGAGCACAACATTCTCCAATTATAATTCACGCTGATGGAAGCATCATAACTAGCTTAATGCCTCTTTCATAGTGATTTAAATCTTGAAAGCTAATTCTATTACGCGATCAAACCTCTGTTCTGGAGTTTGGAGAAAAATATCTTGTTTTCCCGACAAAACTTACAAAACAAAACCTTAAAACTTACAAACCATTGACTTACAAACATCCAAAAAACTATGCTGAATCTCTCACTGGAGCCATATATTGTTGTGGAGAAAAAAAGGCTATCTTAAAATCAAACAAAGGTTGCAGCTAGGGCTGGGTGATATGGCCTCAAATCAATATCAGATATGTTGAACAGTTCACCTCGATAAATGGACGATAACTACTCCACATGCTGCTCACTCCCTCTCACATTAACTTCATCTATTTCAGCCGCTTCTCCAGCCGCTACAACTTTTGAACTGTCCTCCATCTCCTCACCTGTCTTTGTGTCTTTGTTACATACTGGATGGGCTGGAGTCACGTCTCCAATATAGGACAGCGTCTTAAAGGAACATGAGACCATAGCCTATCTCATCCAAAACCAACTTTTATTCATTTATTTTTTTTGGCACTGAATATATTGACATTGGCAAAATGACGACGGTTATTGGCGTAAATTTTGGTATCTGTAAATTTTCGGTTCATCGCCCAGCCCTAGTTGCAGCAGTGTCTTATCATCTTTTACAGAAAACCAGCCATTCTGTAATCTAGCACCACAAGGAAGAGGTGTCAAAGCAGCCTGAGAAAGACAGGGAGGTGAAAGTGATGATGTTCCAGTGCAAGAGGGTGAGATTACACCTTGCAAACATCCTGATTATTTTTGAGAAACATGCAGTGAAACAGGCTAACAGTCTTACAGCAGAAAAAGCTCATGACAAAAAGACAAAAATAACACACATTTAAGACTAACGTTAATTAATCGGCTGTCAAATATTACCAATATATCTGGTATTCTTCTAATCGTCATTAAACATCTTGAAAAAAAGACTAACAGCTGAGGTCTTTCTGCACACAGCCTCCTTAAACCATTAAAACTTACAAGACAGACAAATCTGTGTTAATCCGGCGCAGAAAACAGTCCCAAACAAATGCACTACTTCAGCCATTTAATAAAACATTTCTTCAAATAGTGAAAAATAGCTGATTTGAAAATGAACCCATGTATCTGTGCTTATGAGTATCTTTTGATCTACAGCAAACTCTAATCACTGAAGCTTTGATTTGTTTGCAGCTAAAAGAGATCAAATGAACTTCAAAGATGTGAAAAGATTGCTTTCAAACAGGGTGGGACGGAGATATTCTTCCTTCCCTGAGAATATCTGCTTTCAACTTTCTGTGTCTAAAGGTCTACTTAGAGAATTTGCTTGGCTCATCTGCTAATCCTCTGCATGGTTATTTCAATCAACTTATAATCAATATGGCAACCTGCACAACTCAGGCAGATAAACATCTTCATTGAAATATATGTGATGAAGATGGAAGCTGCAGTGAAATGTTACAATGTCATACAGAAGGACTATCCTGAAGCAGAGGTTTCAATGTCTGGCCTCTGTGGATGTAGTCCTAACACCCTGAATGCACTGACAATATCCCACCACCAATAAACACCATGGAGCGACAGAATCAGATGAATAACTTACAGAAACAGGATGACCCCGGTGTTGGCCATGGCATAGGCCAATCCCAAGATCCCACTCCCCATGATTGCATTGCCCAGGTTAAAGACGGACATCCCAAATGAGGTTTTCCCTTCAAACTAGTTTATGCAAAACAGAGAGAACAAATACACATCCTTACTTCTTCTGACAGCACTGCATATGCACATATACACATATACACACTGTGGTATGATCATATTTCATATACAATGATTGTGCTCAAACGTACATCCGTAAAGCGTGTGGTCTTCTTGTCCTCCACGTCTGATAGGAACTCCTGGCTCTCTGGGAGGTTAGCCTCTGTATTCTCAGTTCTGTGTGGACTAAAGGAGAGAAATACTTTGTAAGAGCTGGAGGGGAAACCACAGTAAGTACAAACAATGTCATTTTATTTTTCAAGAGAACAGGCTCTCTCTTTAATTTGCCTTAATACTACAAGGAGACACAACTCTGAATCATAAAACTGTTCATTATTTGATACATACCTAGCATTCTGGGCACTATTTGGTACAGTTTCCCTACAAGCAGTGAAGAGAGATGCCATCCATCACCCAACGAGAGCAGAAAGTGGAAAAACAACACCCTCAGTCATAATATAATAGAGCAAAAATACATTAAAGGGGCCGTCTATAAATTATTATCTAATCCCTAGAGAGACACATTAATTAAACTATCCATCACATGAAAAGAGGACAGAAATATTTCACCCGAAAACCAGTGACGCGATAATTAGGCATTTACGCTCACAAATGATGGCACAATCAGTGAGCATGTAGGAGGCAAATATCACCAGGCAATAATTTTAGTTAAAGTAATGGAGCCAACAAGAAGTAAACCGCCAGCCAAGACAACAAGACAGTGACATAATCAGTCTTACCTGTTGACTGTATGTAAAGATGGACGGTGTGTCACAACCTCATTGCACTGAATAAAAATGATGCCAAAATATCCCAATAGTAAGACCTGGCATCTTGAAACAAGAGTCTGGGTGAAGCAGGGATCAGCTCTTGGAGCCGTAATATTGATACCACACCCCTTTCTCCAAGCAAAAGACACCTCTAATTTCTAAATACCAAAGCCATGATCACTCAGATCTGCTCAGTTTACAGCAGAGAACTTTTTGTGTGCCATAAAAACTGCAGTTCTTTGATTGTTCCTTGACGCCAGCAGTGACAGATCATTGGTGTGTATTTTGATGTGATGGTTTGACCCATCTCCAATCTGTCAACATAAAAGAAACAGTGTAACTGCAGTCAGTTGGTCGGAGTAGCTCCAAAATCTTCAGCCTTCACTTTTGAGCAGCTGTCACACCGTCCATCTTTTTATAAAGTCTACTATTGTTGACATTGACCATATCAGTCAAGCAGTCATTATCTGAAGACGTCATGCTCATAAAGGGAAGCTAAAATGCTGTTGTGGTGTTGGATTTCTGTATATATTTAAATCATAAGAAAAAGCATTGCTGTACTTGTTTGGGACACTCAACTGATCAGCAACATCACATTATAAACATATTTGAGCTTCCCAATCTGAGAATCAAAGCATGGGGTGTATTAAAGCCTTACACACGGGCAACATGGTAATATTACATCTGGTAATATACAGCATATACATTATTATTTCTGGCTTCGTTAACAACATACTTTTCTGACGGGGCTTTTCTTGTGATCGGTACAAACAGGCACATGCAAGACACACTTGACACTTACATCCCCTGATGTTAACACATTGCGTGTAATGTATTTTGCTGCTTCTGTAAGTGACACGTCGAGCTGACAAGCATAAACACCCTATGAATCATGTCACCTTGCTTAGACAGAGTCAGCAAGCTTGCAGTAGAGTACAGGATTTTCAAACTAGGGAGATTCTGAAACTGAAAAACTCTCTCATTAATTTGTCTGATTGTAAACTATGAAAAAGGTCATTACAAGCATTTCACAGGAAAATATCATTAAATTTTCCCTTGTGACCTTGTTGCCATCCACAACATTTCTACTAATTCAGGGGGGGTTGAGACCTGAGGCTTGCAGAGAGATCTGTCAAAAGAAATACTGCAGAAGTTCATGTGTCATGTGGGATACACTGAGGGCTATGATCCTACAAAACAGCACGCCCTGGAGAGTTAATGACAATTCAGTCTCATTACAAAAACAAGTGAGGTTTTTTTTTTCCTGTTTCTGTGAAGTGTTGATGATTGAACAAGTTGATCACATACTATGTATAGTACAATTATACTCACTTTTCTGCATCCTCTGCAGGCGGCGTTTTGGCCGATGCGCTGATCTCCTCCCCCGGCTCGTGGCCTTTTCCATTGGGAATGGCATTTGACTCGGCAGGAGAAGCTTCCACCGTCTCTGCTGGTTTATCTTCACTCATATCTGCTGTAATTTTTAGGTTTATGCGCTGTACTCAGTCTCTTACAAGGAGTAAATGGTCGAAGCTGTGTCAGTGATGCCAATTCTTTAAGAGTGAAGTTTTAATTTCAGTCCAGGAATCTGAAGAGAAAAAAAAAGAAAAGAGTCAATTAGGAAATAAAAAGATTGAGAATAAACTATTAAAAAACAGTATGCAGTAAAAGTTCTCTTCTTTCAAAAGAAAGTCAGTCCAGGTACAGGGCAGGAAAAATATGAACTCTGAGTCGTTTTGGACAGCTTATTTCATGACTCATGCGTGTGTGTGTGTGTGTTTTTATAAAACACAGATATTCATCAGAAGAAACTAAAGCTGGCTGAAAAGTTTATATATCATCATCAGCACTGAAATATCTAAATTCAATATATATACAATAGTGTAATAAATTGCCTTTTTTAATTATTCTAAAAAGTCAAACTGAATCAAGAATGGATGGACAGACAAGAGCATGGCACAAGCGGTACATTCCCAACAGTAGGAGACATGTGTGAAGATAAAAAAGAGGCCAGCCTGAGGGCACTCAAGTGAGTCTGCGTCTTCCTAGGTCCAAAAGGAACGTGACTTGATTCCCAAAACTCTTTCTGACAGAAAGAATGACAGGAGAAATGTCAAGATGAAGCACCAACATGAATTCCCCGCACAACCGTTGAAGAAATTGAGTGATTACAATGCATGTACTGCACTTGTCCTAATTGGCACTAGGAGAAATTTGAATTAGAAATCAGACTTTATCCAACAAAACCAACAAAAAAATAAGGATTCTGATCAAATTTACTGTGTGCTTACGAAAATATATCAGAAAACCAATCACCCTTTCCCCAAAAGCCCCAATTACACTTAAGCTGTGGGTGCAGAAAAGTATAAAAAAGGATAGAAGACAGCTACCATGGATATACAAAGAGGTCATTTCGGGACTTGCAGGATGGCTCCTCCAGCCTCACACTCCCACTGATTTACACAGATAAGACCCTTTATACTGCCCAAACAGAGTAACTCCTGGATAAGCCTATGTACTCCCTGCTGGGGTCTTTATTGTTTGAAGACAATTTAAGGAAATGTATATCACAAATAAACATTTTAAGGTCAATGCAACAGTACTTTAAAAGACAGATGGGAGCGGGAACGAGGACTGGAGCCAGACTGACAAGCAATCACAAAGAGTGTGTATTAAAAACAGGTATCGGCTATGCAAATACAAACATATTATCCAAGTATATATTACACTAGAGAGACTGAGCCGCATTAAAGGTTCACAAACTCACTAGAGGTTGGTAAGCTTATACATTTGGTGAAGGTTTGCCCCACGACTGGATTGTTGTAGCGGGAGATGGAGAATATTCCTGGAACAGAATTGTTACATAATATATTTTTATCACCTGTGACCACAATCCTGGGGGACTTGTATGATCTAAAACTCTGGGTCTGGAATCAAGTCAATACAAAACATAACATTTTATATTCATATATATATATTTTTATATATATATTTCAATTTCTTTTGACTGTAATCTGTGGGTTTGGATGATGGCATCATAGGATCAGTATATAAGTGGGAGGGGTAAGGTATGTATGTAGATTTTCATTACAAATAAAAAATGCAGTTTCTCTAGTCATGGCAATGGTTTTGTTTTATGATTTCATAATGATAATATTCTTTATGGCACTTTTTAAAAACAATTTAAAAAAAGCTTTACGCTCAAAAACTGTGAAATAAGATTAAAAAATAAAGTCGTAAGTAGTTATCATAAAGGAACATACCAATGAACAAGATCAAGAAAAAATGTAAACATATTACTACTAACAATAGATAAATAAAATACAGACACGTACCGTTGTATTTTGTGGTAACACCTTTTGTCCTGGTGTTTATGGGCACAATATGATTGTGAAAAACTAATAAACAGAGTTTCCAAAAAACAAAAAGGATGCTCTTCTTTTTTAAACGTTAACTCTGTAAATCAGTCTGGATATCCCAAAAGCTCAAGTTGAATGTAAGATTGACCAACATTTCCAGCTGTAACAAAACGCCAACTTCTACAATGTTATAAGACGTAGTGGCTTTTTGGCAAACTCCATGAATAATGAACACATCAGCTGACAGCTCAGTGCTCATAGAACACAGAGCTTTTCTCTGCAAACCGTGACACACTGGGCTTTGCGTCAGGCCTGTGTTTCCTAGGTGTCCTGTTATAGTGCATTGGCCGACCAGCTGGCTTGTGAGGCCCAGAGAGGCCCCCTGTGACAAGTATCTCCTGGATGCCATCGTCCAAAGCCCCCCTATCTGGCTGCCGCTGAATGACCTCCTTTGCTCCTCAGCATAAACAGCACTGGAGGCTTTAATAGCAAGCACGTTGGGGGCCACAGAGGAAAAAAACATTCAAATGGTCGAGCACTGAGATAAATGGAGAAGAACCAGCTAGGACCAGCTACAAACCAGTTCAAGCAGTCTTTTTGCCTCCATTTTTCTGCTTGTCACTTCTTCTTGGTTTCCTCTTTGATTGTGGAGGGTTCAACAGAGCAACAATGCTCAGGGTTTTCTGTACCACCATTCCTGGCAACCACTCAGCTGACCCTGTTCCCCCAGGCTGCTTCCGCTTCACAGCCTGCCCTTTTAAATGTAGCTTTGTGTGATATTATTTTAACACACCGAACGAGTGTGAGGTGAATAAACCCTGCTCTTCATCAAGCAGCCCTCTGAACCTACTAGCCACACTACTGCGAGCATCACTGCACAGCCAGGCCTCTCGGTGTCTCTGGCTAAAGCCAGGCAACGTGGCTGGCCAGCAAAGCACAGTGCACAAAGGCACATGTTGTGCGGTTTCCTGGGAACGGTTTGGAGAACAGTGGAACTATTGTGCCAGGCATCATTATACCGCCGGGGCCCCCTTTGGCTGTAGTTCGCCAGGCCACTCGAAGGGCTGAAAAGGTATTTCACTGGGCTCTAATTGAAAAGATGCCACCTTGAATTCAGCAAATGCCAGTATCCTGTATGCATGCATAGTTGTAGCAGAGTTGCTGACGGTAGCAATGGCAGAGGCAGGGCCCCATCTCGTGGGACAAATCACTGCACAGAACCACACTGCCACTCAGATAGTCTACAAATCACGAGGAGGTTGGAGGAAGCCATTCAAGGACAATACACGATGGGTTGTCCAGCTACAAGGGTGCCTCTTCAATGGCCCTGAGCGATGGAGCTTGAAACAGCAGAGCTGATTGGACAGAGCTCTACAATCATTATGGTCCGCAACAAAAGAAATACATGACATCCTTGGACTTAGTTCAGTCGGTGAAAACAAAATAGTTCAATCGGAGGCTCTTATTTTGGAAAGCTTGTTGTCCAAGTTTGAGGCAAATTAATGTGAAATGGTAGCTAAAATGTTTTGGAGAAAACACTCTCTCAAATGAGGGACAATGTTTAATGACCAAATACTGAGGTAAAGGAAAGTTGCTTTATTTACAAAATACATTGTATTCTCGTGATTATTTATGGAATAACATTTTGGAAAATTACAGTTTGTACACTTAAAAATGTAAAATATTGAAGAAAATACACTCACTAAAATTAAGCAGCTGGATAATGATTCCTCTAAATATTTGGTTATTTGGTGCTAGGTTTTGAGCCGGATAATGGTTTTCAAAACAATATATCTAGGGAATCTACCCAACACACTTAATAGCCCAGATAAATACCTTCTTAGAATATTTCTAATTGCAAGTAAAAAGGCAATAACCAGAAAGTGGCTTGTAAAAGAACCACCCACAAAAGCAGAATGGATAATGATTGTAAAGGAATTGTACGATATGGAGAGGCTGACCTTTTCCCAAGGACTTTGTTTAGATAATTCAGTAGATATTGGTCCAAATGGATGACATTTCAGAACATAAATGTATGAAAGTGTATAGCTGGTATTGTATTGTCATCTGTACAAGAACATTAGTAAGGACTTTTTTCTGTTGTTTAGTTCCTGCCTCATGTCTATTTGGTGACTATTAGTACAATGATTGGTCTACTTGTACATATTTTGTAAAGATCATGCTTTTGACATACATCTATTTGGAATATCTGATGGACTAGTAATGTTAAAACCCTGACACTGGAAAAAGCAACCCAATTTAACCTTATTAAAAAAATGAACTGTACTGATGACCTTTTTTCTTTCTCAGTTGTTTTGTATTGTTGTAAAAACAAAAAACTTCAATAAAAATATAATTAAAAAAAAAAGCAAATTATCTCAAAATAACGAATACCAATAAGTGTTTTTAGGGTTAAAAAGAAAAAAGGAAACAAACACATAAGCAATGAAGTTTTGCCCCCCAGGCTTTCACCCAAGCCAGTAGAGCTACATTGTGGCATGAAACAGAAGACGACTTGTCCATGGCCCATGACGAAATGCTCACCCAAACTGAAATGCTCTATAGTCTGTAGACATTATGTCATTGCATAAACACATGTGTCACTATCTGCATGATAGTAATAACTGTTTACTCTGACTTCAACAAATCTTGTACCCTAGGCAAAAACATTGCTCAGAGAGCAGGCTATTACAATCTGAATTCATCAATGCAGATTATCATAAACTAAAGTAAATGATCATAAATGAAAGCTTTATTTAAAGCGTTTATTTTTAAATTCACACCATGCATCATAACAGAACACAGATAAGGCTGACATGACAATACTCAGTGTTTCTCTACAGAATTAATTGTCTCTGTGGTGCCATCTGTCAGAGAAAAAACATCCAATAAGCCCCAGTTTTCATGAGTGAAAGCAGTTTGACAAAGATGTATGAGAAAGATGTAAAAAAAATGTAAAAAAAAAGTATATGAAAAGTAAATGAGAATAAATACAGCAGGACCAGATTTAAAAGGGATTACCATTTTAAATCCCTCCTGATCTTTAAACTTCCTGGTCCTATGAAAGAGTTAAAGCCACAGTGTGATTCTGTTGGTGGGAGTAAATGAGTCTTTTCACAGCAATAGCAGAGGCTATGTTTATTCAAGCCCTCGTCCAAAACATCACCTCAGTTTGCCAACACACAGCAAGTGTGTATGCCTCAGCTTGCAGCTCTCTGACGTGAGCGACTCTGCTGAGAGACATCATCCCATAAGGAGGCAACCACTGATTGTTATTCCTAGACTGGTACCTGAAACAAACAACGCTGTGCATGCTGATTCATCTGTACTTAATCATGTGCATATACAGGATATTAATTTTTCTGTTTGTAGATCAGTCAGAAGGTGTATACTTGAAAATATACTTTTAAGTGTGTGGAGTTCGTACAATGAGCAACCTCGAACTGTAGTGCTGCTGTCCTCTGTAACTACTCGATGACATTCTCACAGGCCTCTGGTGGTATAATCTTTCTTAATGGAGTCTCGACTGTGATTTTCACACTCTTTTAATCTGTTTAAGTGCACACAAACAACCATTGAGTGTCGATCACTTCTTTACCAGCAGTCACACGTTCCATGAATCCGGGATTAGAAGAATGTTCCAGATGCCTGAACAAACTGAACCTTCAACAATTCTTCAAATGAACTAAAACTCCATCATCTGAGGATGAAAGAAATTTGAAGGGAAAGAGAGATGAATAAAGAAGATGTCCAGCATCACTTTGACTTCACTTCTACTACCCTCAAGCCCCAGGTTTGTGTGTTAGGTTATTTTGCAAGAATCATTGTGAGCAGAGCTAGAATCACAATGTAGGGCAGGGCGATATGGCCTCAAATCAATATCAGATATATTGAGCATTTCACCTCGATAACGATAAATGGACGATAACTACTCCACAAGCCGCTCACCCCCTCCCACATTAACTTCATCCACTTCAGCCGTCACTCCAGCCGCTCCATCCAAATTTTGAACCGTCCTCCATCTTCTCACCTGTGTTTCCCTCTTTGATACGGACTGGATAAGGTGGAGTCTGGTCTCTGACGTAGCATCTTAACGGTATACTCCGACGTAAAATTAATTTAGGGTCAAACACACAGTAACACAGAATTAAACACCCCCTCATGAGATGAATGTTGCCAACCGCTTGCTTCTCTAGTTATACCAACTTTAGTAAAGACCACAGGATAGCAATACACGGCAGTCTGAGGAGCCATTAACAAACCTCAACCAAAAAGCCACTCTATAGCCACAAATAATGCTCAGAACAGCACCTAACTTCATCAACAGTACATATAGGGTCCCAGCCATAGTACTAGCCACCAAACATCTTTTTAACTTTGACTGATTTCTTTGTCAAAGAGACTAAACACAACTTACCTACTCTCTTCCAGCAGCCGCTTGTTTGTAGCGAGACCTCAGGCCAGTCCATTACAGACTGCTGTGGGGTGACGCAGCTGAAGGAAGAACATGACAACAGTGCCATGAGACCGAGACGCTAAGGCAGAAGAACTACCGCGTCTGCAGAGCAAAATGATTAATATGGTGATTATGACTTCAAGGAAATGATAAAGAAATGATCATAAATGTTCTTCCTTCAGCTGCATCACCTCACAGCAGTCTGTAATGGACTGGCCTGAGGTCTCACTACAAACAAGCGGCTGCTGGAAGAGAGTAGGTAAGTTGTGTTTAGTCTCTTTGATAAAGAAATTAGGCAAAGTTAAAAAGATGTTTGGTGGCTAGTACTATGGCTGGGACCCTCTATGTACTGTTGATGAAGTTAGGTGCTGTTCTGAGCATTATTTGTGGCTATAGAGTGGCTTTTTGGTTGAGGTTTGTTAATGGCTCCTCAGACTGCTGTGTATTGCTATCCTGCGGTCGTTACTTAAGTTGGTAAAACTAGAGAAGCAAGCGGTCAGCAATATTCATCTCTTGATGGGGTGTCTAACTCAGTGTTACAGTGTGTTTGACCCTAAATTAATTTTACGCTGGAATATCCCTTTAAAGGGACATGAGACCATGGCCTACCTACACACATCCAAAACAAACTTTTTTCATTTTTTTGACACAGAATATATTGACATGGACAAATTGATGTTGGTTATTCTCTTACATTTCGGTATCTGTGAATTTTCGGCTTATCGCTCAGCCCTATCACAATGTATTTGTGGTATATCTAAATTTGCAGCATCTCCGTCCTCTCCCTTAGTTTTAGCATGTCTACCTATTGGCCACCGCAGCCAAAACTGTTTCCTTTACACTAACAGTTGCTTCGCTGAAACTATGACAGACAGCATTTGAAGCATATTCCTCATCATCCCTTTCTGTTTATGAACAGGAAGCAGTTTCCTGCAGATTAAGAGATTACACATGGCCCACAATCTCACTGATGAGCAGCTAATAGATCTATCAAAGAGTGTTTCAATGCAAAACACTGGCTTTGGACTTTGGACTTCCGACAGCCGTGATGATAGAATAGATCAGATTAGGGTCTATCTCGTCGGAGCAGTAATAAGGATCAAACTGCCGGGATCACTGCATGTAACCTTCCTCTTGTGTAAAAATAGCCACAGAGGAGTGAAAAGCCTTGTTGTAACCCAACATCATGTACCCACTCAAAGCTGTGTTTAAATGCTGCTACATGTCCCACTGAACACAGCAGCTGTCTGATGTCAGCACTTAACACTCACTGAACACATCCAACAACCATCTGTCTGTGTTCTGGTTCTTCACACCATGGTGGACATACACATCAATACACATGATCACACACACATACACACTTACACATAATGACATATTCAATGTAATTACAGAGAAACAGCATGCTGCTTTAAATTAACAAAAAGGCCTAAAAACATAAAAGAAAGCTTTCATCAGGACCAGAGTGTGTGACTAAGATTAGCGAGGAATCACACTGGTGATAAATTGTGCAAAGGGATGAAACAGAGACATGGATTCAGCAACACCTTTTCAATTCATCAGTGTTTCTGCCTACTTGAAGAAAAGCACACTTTTCTGGGAGTAACTTCACATGAGTTCACATGAATCCCTGAGAACACTGTTACTGATTTAGATGTACCAGGCCAGGGTATGAATTAAGCTGAGGGTATGAGTCATTTTTAAATCAGCAGGTAAGCACTTCTGTATTTACTGTTGTAGCTGTCTCGAAAGCAAACTTAGAAAAAGCAATCTGTATCTTTGTACAAGGATGATCTTAAACCTACGAAATACACAAATTAATTCACAATCTGACCTGAGCTTTCCTCTTCTTAGAGTATGGACGAAGATAAAAATATAAACAACATTTTAAGCTATTATTCTGTCTGCTTATTCCACAAAGATGATAACTAAAACAGCACACATTAGGTGCTGAGCATTGTGTTGTGAAAGAAAATGTAAGGCATTGCCCTCCACGTGAACACGTGTGCTTAGATGGTCAATCACGGTTAATCAACAGTGTGGAAGTAGTATCCTTCCAACTTTAAATGTCAGCATTGATATTGACCTCTCACTGTGGCGTAACATAAGTATTGGTATTCTTCCTTGTGCTAAAGTACAGTGTATATGCTGTTTAATTTTAAAGTACTGTGGACCCACATGTGTTTTTCAATTATTCCTGCTAATTAGACCTGTGCTGCACTGAGCAGAGCTGCACTGGGATTCCAGCTAATGCTACTGGACTCCATGTTTTGATAATGGTGATGAAGGTGGGGGCTTCCAAAGGACTGAAAGTGACTATGAAGAGTAAGAAATAAAAGTTAAAAAACAAGCATCAATTCTGATTGAGGACATTCATTGCATATCTTAATCTTGTTATCTCTCCATTCTGTCAAAGACGTGTCGTGTCGTGAATTGTCTCCCCAATTAAATGGTAAGAAATGTCCCTCTTTATGTAGGTCATCACATGACATCACAGTCTTGCTTAGCAAAAAGTAGAGATGTCGACAGCTCATCTCAGCTATGTTCAAACTCAAAACGAGAGTAAACTGCACAGAGTTGAAGAACTTTGTGGGTGTTTTGCGTTTGACTATCTTCAGCACAATTTACTTTGTAAATCAGAACTCAAGGCAGAGCAGAAAGTAAACCCAAATCATATAAGATCCTTGGCGCTAGTGCTGGACGATAATTCGATAACAATATATATCGATCGATAGACGTGTGGTGCGATAGAAAAAAAACGGGTCGATAAAAAGTTCGATAGAAAACAGTTTCCCTTTCTTTTTCATCATAGCCTATCATGTAGCTTTTACTACAGTCATTACTTCCTCCCAACCAATCACAAACGCAGACCCAGGTACGCTACGGCACCAAGCCCAGCCCCTATCAAACCACAACAGACAGCACGTGTATTAGAAAAAATGATTCAGCAAGGAGAAGCGGAGGAAATTGTCCCGAAAAAAGGTTTCAGTAGTTCTCCAGCATGGCAATGTTTTGGTTTTTAGAAGTCTGACAAGAAGCGAACAGCGGTCGTTTGCAAAATTTGCAGAGAATTAGTAAAAACCAAGTCTGGTAACACAACCAACTTGTTTTACCATCTAAACCGATCGCACCCGCAGGAGTACGAGCTGTGTCGGTCGCGCCGCGGCCGACACGTCGTCGGAGGAATCCTCTGGAACCGCTGCCAGCACCAGCACAAAGCATGTGAAGCAGACCAAACTGGACTTCGTTTCTTGCCAAAATACGACAGAGCGTCCGAGCGGCATAAGGACATCACCCATGCAGTAACATGCTCCATAGCGAGGGACATACTGCCAATAACTACCGTTGAAAAGCCTGGCTTCGACCAGCTTCTAGCCACTCTCGACCCGCGATATGAAGTGCCCGGCCGCAAGTATTTCTCAAACACAGCGCTTCAGGCATGAAAATGGGTCAGGGGTTGATAAGGTGAGAAGGGTGCGGAGGAAATACGTTCCGGTGTTGTGCTGTAGAATGCATCCCTGCATCCCGTCCACTCATTAGCTTCTTAGAGTGGAAGAAAATGAGCTCATATTTTACAAAGACGCGAGTATTTGGATCATGGCTGCTAGCAGGGGGTGCATTCGGCAGGGGTGCATTCTACGACACAACACCGGCGTGGCTAAGTCCTGCTTCTCGTGCTTAGTTTGTGTATTAAGTCAATCACATGATAATTAAAAAAAATAAATCTCCCGACCCCGGGAGAAATATTTCAGTGTTCAGACACCAGGCTCTGGGCAGTTTCCCACACAGTTAGAAGTGGTAGTATGCTATTCCCACCTAAAGCTATTCTGTTTATTTATATATTTGTTTGTTTTGTTTATTTTCATCAAAAGACTATTTAAATATTTATTTATCCGATTTTCTGGTCACTTTAGTCTTTATGTTTGTCAGTATTTACTGACGTCACTCAGGCCACTTAAGTTGATTTCTTTTTTTTTAATTCTTTTTTAAAAAACTTTCAGTTGTAAAATAAAAAAGGTGGTTGAATAAAGGTTTGAATTTGAATTCAGTGCTTGTGTGTTCTTTATTAAAAGTAGGTCATTAAGCAATAGCATAAAACATCCAGGGCTGCAATTAAAATATATGTTAAATAATTATAATAATTATATCGATAATTATCGATATCGATCAATATGATTTATTTTTTATCGATATGCTTTTTTTCTATATCGTCCAGGCCTACTTGGCGCAATAAGAGGACACAATCTTATTTGGGAGAATTCCCTTTTTAGTCTCTGTTGAATATGAGTTGTATTATTCATATCAACAAAGCATTTTCTCTGACACTCGCCAACCTCTGGAGGAGGACTTTATTTTAATTCTGATTCTGAGTCTTTCATCAGACACCACTTGTCTTATGGGCCTCTGTATCCTTTCCTGTCATATCTCTCTCTCTCTCTCTCTCTCTGTCTGTCTGCAGCAGCCTCTGAGTACCATGTTGATCACTCAGCAGGGGGAACAGGAGATTAACTTATGACTGAAAGAGATTTTTATGTCAGCTTTTGAGGTGCTCCTCATCTGCAAACTTCCTATAAGCAGCTGTGGGTTGCACATCAAGAACTGTCAAATTAAGCTGGATGCAGTCTCTTGTTTGGCAGAATATTTAAATATCTGGTTTCTACAGGCAAGTCTTGTATCTAATAAATTTGGGTGTTTTGGGTAGAGTCTGAATTTGAATTTTTCTGAATCTCTTCTCCGGTGATTCAGAGACCGACATGTTTCTGCAAAAAAATAGATGGTGACTCTTGCAAGCACTGTATGGAGTGTTGAATGCAATGGCACATCGTCAATAAAGCAGTTTACACACTAACAAATGCACATGGATGAATGGGTATGTAGATAAGTAATAGCATAAAATGTTGTTTCTTTTAAACAAAATCCAAATGATAAAAATTATGGAAAAGATTTTAATGCACCAGCTTGATTATCACAAAGTAAATAAAACAATAAAAAGATCCCTAGGGGGTATTTCTGATTGGCTGCTATTCATAGTGTTAAATCTCAATACATCCCTCTCACTGATGAGGTCACACTTTGATCCCATATCATATAATCATATCATATAAAGTTTCTGCTTTGTGTTAAAGCCATAAAACTAAAACTGGTCCCCTTATTAAGTAATTAGCTTTTGCAACAGATCACTTTATTTTCGTTGCTACTTTTCGCTCAGACACTTCCAGTTGTCAATAACATGCTCTCAAACACATTTCACCAGAGGTTGGTAATATAAATATAGCTAGGGTGACCCTATTCTGACTTCCCAAAAAGAGGACACGGTTACGCGTGGGCAGAGTCACAGAGTCACATGAAGTTAATTTTGAGTTTTTCGAGTGTCCTTTATGCGCTTCTAACTCACTAAGTCCACGCGACACAAACTAGAAACTTCTGTACAAAACAGTTGAAGGACAAAGCCGGATAGCCCGGACAGCCCGCAAAAAAGAGGACATGTCCAGGTAAAAGAGGATATATGGTCACCCTAATATAGCGCTGAACCAGCCCCATTCTTCAACAGAGTTTGGTAAAGTTTAGATTTAATCAATACCAAATTGATCAGCACAACATAGCCAAAAACAGATTCTAGTTTACCACTGAGTCATTTGCTGTATAAAAGAAAGATTCAGCTTTTTAAAATTATCCAGTATGACCTTGCAAAAGCTGAGATATCTTCATTGTAATAACTATAAACCAGGATTTGGACCCAAAAGCTGGACTCAGGCGGCAGATAAAAATTGAGAGAAGGTTTAATCAAACAAGGGTTCGGTTCACAGGAAGGCAGTCACAAAAGGCAAAAAATTCAGTCCAAAAACACTAAGTCAAAAAACAGGGACGCAAACATGAGGGAAGCGCTGGACATTTGACACAAAGGAACAAGACAAACTGGCACAGACGGGAGAGGAGGCTGAGCTCAAATACACACAGAGTGGAGATAACAAGACACAGGTGGACCACATTAGGGCAATCAGGGAGCAGAGCACACAAGGGCGGAAGTCAAGACACCTGAAACAAGAGACACAGGTAAGTTTCAAAATAAAACAGGAAGGAAGGGTAAATGAATAAACTTAACTAAAACAAAGACACAACATTCATAACTGCTGCCTACAGATTTTTAAGGAACATAAATCAAAGAGCTGAAGGCAGAAGTGCACAGTGTTCTTTGTCAATAAGGACATTCAGTCAAATCTGTGAATTTTAAGGTGTGTCTCTGCAGTCAGAGTACTGCAGCATAAAAGTTCACTGTGACAATAAAGTCGGACACACTTTGGCAGCATTCATGCACCTTCATGCAACTGGTGACAAAGACAAAGGTAATAAGCAGCTCTAAAAAATCCCAAACAAAACTTAAGCTTAAAGAAAAACATAACTTTTACACACACACACACAAAAACAGTCCAACCATAAAACAAAACCAAATACTTTGTTGTGATCTGTGTAGTTATGGCAACTCTCTGCTCTCACTGCGAACTACTGTGACTTTGTCCTGACTGGTGGGTTAGGGGAAATTTATGTTTCCTGGACCCCATTAAGAGTGAGGCATGAGGCGGCATGGCTTGTCTTCAGTGTCTCGTGACGCCCCTTCATGGCAGCAATCGCCTGGTGACTCACAGAAAACGTGATTTATTTCAAGAATCAAGTGACACTTTCTGTCTCTCTTTCACAACACTCACATGGGACCAACAGACAAGAAGGATCAGGGGGGCAGCAATGTAACCACATGGAAGAGTCAAGAGATGTAAATTTAAAGAAACAACAGCGGAGGAGTAAGGAGGTCAAATAGTCAGACAGAGAGGCTTCAAATAATAAGTCTTGCATGATAAACAAAGAGACTGCTCAGAGCTTACAACAAAACTTCTGGGCTATTCAAAAAGATTTTTTTTTCCTTAATTTGATTTAATGATGAGAATACAAAGAATACAAGACAACTGGTGGAACAGATGAAGCTGTTGCAGATAGGGCTGAAACGATTCTTCGAGTACCTCGATTACAAAAAATGATTGAGGAATTTTCTCTACCTCGAGTTAGGCTTTCCGCGGTATACCGTATACACCGTCATCGCGGTGAAATAAAGTCACGGTGGCGACACCGTGAGATTGCTGAGCTCACGGTGTCGTAATTTCAATATTATGTAGCACCGCCGGCGCGTAAAGCGCACGTTACGCCTCAACACAAGCGCGACTTGCCATAATAAAGATATCACTTCACGTTCACATTAACATTAGTGGTCAGTCTGGGCTACAGTAAGACAGCAGCACCAAAATATTGAACCGTTTCCTACCTGTGTGATGCTGCGGAGTGCTGGAAAAAACACGATTGTATATTCCATTTGTTCTGGGCAGGCTGCCATGCCCATGATGATGATGCGCTGCCCCCTGTCAATGGTTCAATCCAACAATCAAGCACCCCCAAGGAAAGGTATTTTTGGTATCAAACACACCTAAGGCGACGCCCCGCCATATCCACATGATCCATTCCAGGAAGCGTGCACAAAGCATGGCATGATGATGGCAGACTCCTCCGAACCAGAGGCAGAGATAATATGCTCGAGCCCGGGCCCAGTTGGCCCGCGGCCCCCTCCTTCACCGGTTAGACAAGACACACCACACAGACAGACACACATTTTGCTTAAATATAGCAATGTTTTCTTTTGAGGATGATCCTTGTGTGTTTTGGTTGTCATTTCATAGCCCCTAGTAAAGTTTTTTTTTATATATATATATATATATATATATATATATATATATATATATATATATATCATCACCGTGAAATACCGCGGTGTATGGTACTGTCACCGTCACCGTACCGTACTGCAAAATCTCAAACCGTGGAAAGCCTACCTCGAGTACTTGTTTATAAGTTCAAATCATCACTGTTTCGCACAGATTGTTTTCAAGGTGACACAACGCGCTTACGTCACTGTGGTAGAAGGAGGAGTAAGCGCGGTTTTGGTTTTGCGGAGCGCAAAAAATGAATGATAAGAGAGGCTTTTTTTCTGCAGAGCTCCAGTAGATCATTAGCAATTCTCCTCTGAGTCATGGGCGGAGACAGCGCTGCTCTGCACACTCCTCTTCATGCTAGCTTGCAGCCTAACATTGCTAGATTCATTGTGCAGTTGCGGAAGCAGGTAGCATAGGAGCTATTCAGCTCTTGGACACTAATATCTTTAGGGGCATGATGAAAGTTAATATTATAATTAGCTTTCTTACGAGCATTGCAATCTGCTACCGCACACGCTTGTTTCATGTTCCTTGTTTCTTAAAAAGGAAAACAATCAATTGTTCATTATCAAGTTAACTGTCTTATTTTCTCTATATTAATAATTGCACTTTAATTTAAAAAAAATGTGTTATGCGAGTACTCAATTAATCGATGGAATATTCGGTAGAATACACGATTACTAGAATATTCGATAGCTGCAGCCCTAGTTGCAGACAAACCTGTTCAGAGGATGTTCAAACGGGCACACTACCTCAAGCTGAATGCTCACAGTACATGCTTTTGCTTCAGTTCACTAATCAAGCCCAAGTCTAATGAATCTAAACTTACTGTTGGATGTTTCAACAACAAATTATGGCAAGTTAATCTTTTACTGTATGTAATTTATTGTCCTTTTGAAGTCTTCAAGAGATTTCTTGGTTTTAAACAGTCCTTGTAAAATTGAAGCCTGTACTGTCTTCGTGAAAGTTAAATTGAGGCTCTACACTGTCTTGCATGTCTGATGTCTGATGTGCTGTACCAAAGGACTGGACATACTGTCATTAGTTACAGAAAGCAAAGCAAATTTTAGTCACTAGCTGATTAAGCTCTGATTTATTATTGGGATCTCATAGACAACCATAAAATAGATAAGACAGTTTTATTAACCATCAGTCATTTGGATATAAATAGTGCCAGGGAACTTCGTTAAGATTCATCAGCTTTAAAAACATTTTGAGTATGAGTCATAAATTATTCCCTTGATTTGAATGTGAACTCATATGTGTGTCTTCCTGGCTCAAAAGCTGTCTTTGTCACATCTTTGTTTGACACAGTAACACTGCGCCAGGCTGCTTACAAGGACAGTGAACCATTAACAAGTAAAGTTTACAACATTTCCAGAGAGTGAACTCATCCTACAGTGTTCTCTGACAGCGTTTTTTTAAACTGGTTGTTGGGCTGTAACCGCATTTTCTGTCATCCTAGGAGAGGATAAGTATTTACACATGTTCATATTCATTGTCTCTGAATCAATTAAACAATGATGAGTTCTGGCCTGGACAGCAACACAATGCTGGCATGTTCATGTCAGATCAAATTTGGTCTCCTCTCAGCCTGCTGTCAGATACAGCACTGGAAGCAAATGCAAGCACACTGCCAGAAGAAGCAGATTACAAGTCATGGTGTGAGCACACAAAATTTGCACACTCTTTAGAGCAGCAGCATTTTTAGATCAGCTATGCAAGTCTAAAAAAAAATAATTAAGCACCAGACACAGCTGACACACTGCAGTTCATGATGTACTGACTATGGACGATATGCAAAAATATTTCACAAGCTGAGCTGGCGATCAAAGATACTTTGAACTTATCAAATATGAATACATTTGCGGTAAAGTCACACCAGAAACATACTGGTGCAAATTGTTGGACTAAAACTGGCTGTTTAATAAATTTGTGATAAGCACAAATAAGCACCGTGAGACTCAAATATATAGTCTCATATAGTCAAATATAGAGTCTTTTAAAACCTAGAATCCCACCCCACTGACAGAGAACTCCCCCCAAAAAAAGAAATAAAATAATTACTAGGTATATTTGGTACTTAAATTGTGTATATTCTATATAGCAGTGGCGGCTGCTGGTCTTTCAAGGAGGGGAAGCTCATTTTTCTGGCCTACATCATAATTGTGTTTGTTTATTTGTATGTAACAAAAAAGAGTCACCAAACACAACGGCAGTTGTCTTTAACAAAGACAAAAGTCGCTGAGGATCGGTAAAGTCTCCGGAGCAGTTAAGAACAACGGAATGAATAACTTGGAAAATGCTCTGGTAGATGTTTTATTCTTCAAGATCGCTGATTCGCTTGTTTAGCTGTCAATCAAAAAAGGATTTCGCCTCAGACAGCTCATCCAATCATGGATGTAGAAGCTCGGAGTCCGGGAGAAAGTCGGGACCGCCCTCTCGCCATAGAACTCCAGTGAAGCTGAGCCTCCGATGGGCAGGACAAAGCCCAGCATTTATCCAATGAGCGTCTAGTTTCGCTGCTGGAACAACCCACTTTGAGCTTTCACATTGAAGTCAGCAGAAGCTGGGCGTCCGGCTGTTTAAAGCGCTGAGGCGCTGCGAGGATGAATGAGAACGAAGTTGTGCAGAATCAGCCTCTTATCACACTGTGATAAGAAGCTGATTCTGAACAAAAGATGGAGGCTTTCTAGCGCGTATTTAGTTAATGAAATGTACACACAGCAGTACGTATTTCACCACTTTTTCTTTTTTTGGGGGGGTGACATTTTAAGGGAAGCTGAGCTTCCCTTGCAGTCTTAGAGCAATCGCCACTGCTATATAGTTGTATTTTTCCCTTTTTTCTTTTCTAAATTTTTTCTTAATTATAATATTTAAGTTCGTGATATTTCTGTCTTTATTTTTATAACTGCATTTTTGCACTATCATTGTCTGTGTTGCTGCTGTGGCAAAAAAATTTCCCTCATGGGGGGTCAATAAAGGAATATTCTATTCTCTATATTACTATAAATTCCACTATTCTGTCAGCAAGTATATGTGAGCGCGATTTGTTTAGGTATGCAACAAGTTAAGCTTGTAATCATTGTACTGAAGCTTTGTGAACTGACTAAGAGTTTCTTATTGATTCTTGATCCTTATTCTGTTATTTGTGGCGGGCAAAGATTTAAAATTATAAAAACTCTGCCATTCCTGTTGGAACGATAAGGTGTATTTCCACCCAGTAGTCTGGTTTGGTTCAGTTTGGTAGGGTCTGGCAGGATAAAACCCTGATCTTACTTGCGTTTACACAGCCAACTGTATCCTGGTACTTGACCCAGGAAGTCTGTTGGCTGCATGGTGGCTCAGGAACAGCTTGGTATCATTTTAGCATGTTAACAAATCAGACAATTAATACTGCAACTGCAAGCATGATGCCCTCTGCACACATGCCGAAATTCTAGAGAATATGAGGCGCGCCAATATTTTCCATGAGCTCTGCAAATCTGGGCCAGTATACTCAGAATTATGAAAAGATTAGAGCTGTATTAATTCTGTTTCCACTATAATTATAAGGAATGGACCAATAATTGGCCTTGGCCACCCATGTCCCTCCCACAATAGCATCTGATTGGCTAGACATCACAAGATGGCGTGTCATAACTGTTCTGTAAGTGTAACTGGTTAACTATCAACTCCTGCATATGAGGCAGAATGTTTCAGTTTTAATCAAACATTAGTTCAAGGCATTAAAAAAAAACGTTTGCATCAGAGTTTTTAATATTCCTTATTTTAAATTTTGACAGCCGGTAAGCTGCAGTAACCTGGTGTTATGTCATCAGGACAGATCAACAATTAAAACTACACAGCAACACATTTGAAATGATGAACAGGAAAATATAGGAAAAACACGATGGACTGTAACACAATGAAAACACGTGGTTGTTATGTAAACAGCAGAGGTGTCAAAGGGAGTAAATGTCTGCATATCTAAATGGTGGTGACTCAAAATTGGCAAAGGGCTCTAATCTCGTCACCACAAATCATGTCACTGCACAGTGATGTTCCTTCATTTTCTCCCTGTCCACCTTGCCCTTCAACGTTTAAATGAACAGAACAGAGTTTCTGCTGCACAGGGTCTCTGCGTAAGAAAGAGGGAACAGAGAGGTGCTCAAATTTCATTTGACAAAAATATATATGAAATATTTGTAGATGTCCCTTAATCTCAATAAAAATTTCAATATGAGCTCAACCATATTTTGTAGAGGTGGGTATAATTCTTCGATGTGTCGATGCATCCCAATCCTTCATGTGACGATTCCGCATCGATTAATTAATATTGATGCTTTGAAAAAATATATATAATAATAATTATAACGGCTGTGCTTTGCCACAAGGCCAGAACAAAAAACACATAATCGAAACTTTAACGCGCGCCGCCTGGACTGTTTAGTGAGTGGGACCACAACAAACAGAGCACGTTAGTTTCTTTGCAAGATGACAACAGCTTCAGCAGCCTCCAAAGAGTGGCCGGTTCTCTCGCCACCGGGGTTGACTGCAACGGTGTGGAAGTACTTTGGATTTTATGAGAGAGCAAATGAGATGACTGACAAGACCTACGCGATTTGCAAGATTTGCAAAGCAACAATAAAGTACCTTAGCAACACCACAAACGTGAGGCAGCACCTTGTACGCTTTCATCCTGAAACAGAGAAGGCTTCACCGGTCATGCCCGCCACATAGAGGACCATCTTAGAGACTGTCTCCAAACTTCCCAGTTCAAGTCAAGTAGGTCAAGTGCAAATGTTGGCATTTATATATTTGGGCCTGGCGGAGTGAGTAATGCTGCGTTCAAGGTTACCTTGGAAGTCAGATGTCGGAGCTGAAAATGACGTCACACCCGAGTTACCAGAGTTTCAGTAACCAAGTCAGAAAATAGCAAAATAGAAGGCGGAAACAAAATGGCTACATGAAAGTTATTTTAGCGCTTACCTTGTCCGAATATAAGGCAAGCGTTAAAATAACTTTCATAGATGTAGCCATCTTGTTTCCACCTACAATTTTGCTATTTTCCGACTTTGTAACTAAAAGGCTGAGAACTCAAGTGTGATGTCATTTTTTTTAGCTTAGACTTCTGACTTTCAAGGTAACTCGAACGCAGCATAACTCAGGCGTCTGCCATGGATGTGACGTCACTGGAAGTCCTCTACCAAATATTTTGTGTCTTTGAAAAGCTAAATGTTCAAAAAACCTTGTTATTTACTTCTTGAGTGTAGTTTTAGAGGACCTGAGTTAATTTATAGGCTAATTATTGACATATGTAGCCACAGATGAAGACAAACTCAATCTTGTATGGAAAAAAAACATAAAAAATGGTAATAATCAAAAAACTGTGGCACCAATAATCAAATCGACAATCATTATAACTGAAGCACTTATAATCAAAATCGAATCGAATCGTGAGGTACCTTTGTTGAAACACTCCTAGTGTTTTGTGCCCGAGTGTGATGAGACTCTGTTACAGCTGTTACCGCTACCCTCAGCTAGATCGTTATTGTGTACAGGAGGCCACAATACATCAATTACAGTGCAGCCCTTCAAATTAACACTGTGCTGAAGGAAGTGATTTGTGCTTCCTCTCTCACGCATGAATTGTCTTTGCTTCAATGTCCCACCTAAAATCATGAGCCTCATCAAATCCAGAAATCTTCAAAAACTAGAATCAGATCTAAGTTGGAGCCAATTCTTGATACCCAAGCCTAGGAATGTAGAGACAGGACAGGATGGATATGAATATGTGTCACCTCTTGATAGTCAGCTGTAGTTATTATGTCATGAAGATCAAAAGCAGGTTGTCAAAGAACTGAACATTAAGTGGTGGCACAGGCGAGGACACAGACTCATTAAAGAAACAGTATGCTAGCTGTAAGTTAGTTAAAACGGTCAGTTAATGGGCCATCCATCTTAACAGTCCTCCCTCAACAACTAACTGTTCAATGCCAGCTCTGTCTTTCCTCAATCATGCGCCCTCAAACAAAGTACCATCCTCTCCTGGCATCTGCCATCCATCTCCCTCCTGCTTCCTCCACATCCCGTTGGAGGCGAGCAAAAGAAAAGAAAGGAGTGCATGATGGGGGCCGATGCATTCACTGAGCTGGAAGTACAACTCACGCAGTGTGTGTGACCACCATAGTGGATGTTGCACTGCTGACTCTGTCACATGCCACGGTGCCATACAAGTCCAAATCCCACCCCACTGACAGAGAACTCCCAAGCACAGCAGCCACACAGTAAGCTGATCACAGTACAGCTTAAGTATCAAATCCTCTATGGGACTGTGAGAGACATCATGACAGACCAGTGATGGATAATGAGTGTAAATACAACTCGCAGAGATTCAGAAGATTGTGGATCAGATTGATAAAAAGTTATTTTTAACCTTTTCTGTTTTTTCCCCTTTTCCCTACATAGAGCACCTTTGGTCCCATAAGAACCAAGAGAGACTCATACCAAAGGAAAAACAGGTCATTGGAATAACAGGGACAATGGGTTCAAGTAAGTTCATGTGAACAACCCTCACACCAGTTAATACAACTTGGAAAGTCACAATAGTCTGGGTCATGACTCGTTAAGTTGTCAGCCTTGACGTCTTTCAGAATTGCACAAATAACATTAAAAGAACATTAAAGGAAAATTTGGCAATCTTGGTCTCAAAGGCGATCTTTGAACCTGGGCCAACTATCCGATGTATCCAGACAAATTTTGACCCAAAGTAGAGTATCAGTCACTTTGATGCCAGCTGATTGGTTCCAAAATTGCATTACCTAGTTAATCATGTTCTGCCGCTTTTTGCCCTCTACACATGTTGTTTTCCAGCTAAACAAAAGCCCACAGGAATCCAAGTAGATGATACCAGTCAAACTTCCACAAACAGAAACACGAACAGTTCCAGATACAAAAAGATAACACCATTTGCACGAGTCTGGTACTGCGTATTCAGCCACACTCTGATAAAATATTGCTCGCTTATTTTTCAACCAACTCAAACTTTCAATTCCACAGCAGCTGTTCTCATGGGACATAAGTCAGACCCTTCTCTAGCTGCTTTTGATTTGATATTGTTGAGATTGTAATTAATTTTACTTACTAGAAGTATAATAGGCTGGCATTTATCCTAAGTGACCTTATGCAGGCTGTAATTCATGTATTTTCTTTTTTTTTTCTCTCTCTCTCTCCAATCTAACTTTTGTTTTCTTTTATCTCCAACCTTATTTTAGCTTTGAATGTAACTTTTAATTTGTTAAATGTCTTTTACGCTGTTTTTACTTTTCAAATTGTATTGAATGTTTTGCCTGCTTGTTTCATGTAAAGCACCTTGAATTGCCTTGCTGCTGAAATGTGCTATACAAATAAACTTGACTTGACTGCAGTAGGATTTCCACTGACACTACCATTCATTCACAAACCATTCTTCACATTTAAAAGACAGGGGTGTTGTGTCATGATCACTTTTATCTCATATCATATTTGTAGTTTTTTTGTTGTTGTTGTGGTTTTCTTTGTTCTTTATCCCTGTGACAACTTCCCAAGGCAGCAGTTACCTTAAATCATACAGACTTTCAGGTGGGGCCTATGTTTTATCCTTATTCTTTTATCTTTTCAAAACACAAAGTAGATAAGCCTCACTAAATACTATTTCAATTTTGCAAACACAACCTTGTCTTATTAAATCCATCGAGAGTAGATGAGAAAATACTTCTGTTTGCCTTTGAAAAGACCAGAATCAAATCTCTGCAGAACCTCAAGGCCAGACAGAAGCCAATGTCCTTTCATAATTTAATACCTTCAACAAGTAGCAGCAGGGTGTCCCCTTTTTTCTCACAGTGAATAACATTGCTCTCTTAAGACTGAACAATCCCTTCATGTTTTCTTTTCATTCCTGCAGAGGTACACCGACACCGCTGCAGGATATTTCACATGGACACAGAGCTTTGATCAAATTAAAAAGCAAGTCAGAGAATGTCTGAGTCTGCGTCTCCTTCAAGAAAGGAAAAGGTGACAGAAGATGGAGCTGTGCACACATACTGTACGTTCAGCTGACTTCAGATTAAGTGAGAAGAAAATATAGCAAAGGTCTCTCTCTAAGCTAAAGCAATGAGAGCTGTGATATTCATCTTTTTATATACTGTCATAGAGAAATGTTCTGGTTGTTCATGCAGCTGCAGAAGCAGAGCACCTTCAACTTTTCTCCACTTTTAGATAAACCTGAACACTGTGAAATTATACAGAGACCACTTTGTAAGGTCATCTATTAAATGCACAGATCTGATTCCATAAGCCACAAAAAAATGAACTGATTTTAGGTAAATTATAACCTGATGGTGATGACAAACTAATGGCAGTCAAAGCTATTGTGAAATGATCTATTAGTGTTTTTCCTCCTGTTCTGTGCCAAGTATTTTTCACCATGCTGGAATTTGGGGGCCCTCAGTATAACATGATACTCAAGACCTGGTAACGACAGACATAAATTACATTGAAGCAACAACAAAATCAAAATATTAAAGTCAGTTGCATTAAACAACTGTTTACATAAGCGTGCTCACAACGTCTTACTCTTGAGCACAGTGCAAATAAAGTCTGAAACACAGAGAGATCACAAGCCTAGCAGACCACTACTGGCTGAAGCTGGATTCATTGGTTATTCTCACTGTGATTTCTTTCATAGGGTAGCAGAGAAGCAGCACATGGGCCCTAGGACACACTACAGGCAAGAGTTAGTTGGTCAATCATGACTACAAGCTGACTAGACATGAGCTCTTGTGTCAGCTCCGACCAGCCAAGTCCAGTCCCAGCTGCCTACAAGCCCTGGAGATGACTCATAATGGAGGAGTGAGTGACAGTTCACCTTGTCTGCTACAGGTGACTCCAGAAACCATACTGCAGTGACTTTTATTCACTATACAGGAGGCTTTGCATACAGCTAAACTGAGTGGATGTGCTAGATGTCATCTTACTGATACTTTTGAGACAAATCAAGCTTTATGTACATACAAATGCATGATTGCTGAATGGCAGTATTAACCCTGCCATTTACATCAATAAAGACAGGCAGTGTAGTTATTTGTATATCATATTTGGTATAATTTGAAATCTGCTCTGTTCCTCTGTTTCACTTGGCATCACTCCAAAATTCTGGCTATGTCCCTTAGAAGAGACAACATCACCAACTATTGTATTAAACAGTACCTGTGGTAAAGCTGTGACATGATGTAAGCCTGGGGGTAGGGCTGGGCGATAAAATGATAACGATATATATCGAGAATTAGTTTCACTCAATATCATTATAAAACATGGTCAATATGCTTTTCAATAGTCGGCTTTCTGCAATGTTTTGGTAGACTATACAAATAGCCAATAGCCAAATAGCCGGGAGTTGCTCCCGGTTGCGCTGCACTGAACCAATCATGTGCTGAATTAGAACCAAGTAGCAAACAACTGCGTAGTAGCAGGCTGCAGCTACAGACAAGCGTAGCACTTTAACACGTGAAGCCGACAGCACTGTTGGTGAGAAACAAAGAAAATGAGTGCTACCCCCGGGAGAAATGCAGATGAAGGCTCAACAGATGATGACATTGTTGACGACACTGGCATGAAAACGTCAGTGGTGTGGAGGTATTTTGTTTTTTGAGGTCGTACATGAAGCAGAGTAATTTGTACTGTAAATTATGTCGCGTACATGTTCTCTCTTTCACCACCTGAAGCAGCGCCACGCAGCAGAGCACGCGCAACGCAAAAGGTTACAAACCCTGAGCGGAGCAAGGAGCCCATGGCACCTGTGCAGCCAAAACAAACGACCATTCAGTCCACTTTCTAGAGCAATGCTTTACGACAAAAAGTCCGAGAACAACAAAGACCTCACAGATGCAGTAGCTTACTGTATTGCAAAAGAAATGCTACCAACAAGCACTGTTGAATTTCATTTTTTATATCCTGATATATTTATGTTGATATATTGTATCATGATAAACTTTGTCCCGTATCGCCCAGCCCTACCCGGGGGTGGGGGATGTGAGTTGGATTAATTACTTATTAGAAATCAGTAGACTGCTTAATTTGGAAGAGTCTAGCATTGAAGAGACTCAGTCAAAGGTCTCATAACATGCCTTACTGAAAACATAATATTTCTAGTCCAGAATCAGACATGCAGCCTGGAGTAGGCTATGCTTGCTATTTCCTCGGGGTCATATAGGAGCTCTATGCAAGTCCACCCAGCGCCAGGTCTGGTTCACTATGGGCCACCTGACCATCTTAGTAGGGGTGTGATTTTTGAATCACCAGTTTTACTCTCAGCTGTTACCAGGGTGTATATCTTTGCATAAAAAGCATTGTTGTAGATTCTAGGTCATGCCGAGAGAAAAAAAAAAGGCAAATACCGACGAAATAGATCCGTTTGACGGGGCTCTGAATCTCAATAGTATGTAACCCAGCGGCTACACACGAAGATCAAGTGTAGCACGTTTGTAATGACACCTCTCTGACTCGTTATCTGACTACCAAGGACCTTGAATGACGCTTGAATGTCTTGAATTCACTTGCCCTAATAGTGAACGCGGACTAAGCAAGCAGGTTGTTGTTGCACAAATATGTACAAAGAGCCAAGGCTTAAAATTGGTTCTAATATTTTGGTCGTTATGTCTATGGTGAACATTTTCCTAGAAAAATTAAAAATGCCTTTACAGGTTAACATGCCAACCTCACAGAATGCGTTCAGTGTCTTACCAGAGAAGTATCATTATCAGAATCCCCCCTCAAACTCCAAATATCTCCACACAGATCCTGTCTCCGGTCGGTGCTTGTCTCTGACTCGAACCCTGTCGCTTCGTCCTGCCTCTGTCCCTCTTCGTCCGTCCGCCTTCCCTCCAAACAGCGGTACTGTCATGTGTTCCACGCTGAATTGTCCTTGTAATCTCCTCAAAAGTGGGATGAGAAAAGAGTGTCCTGGTCCCGCCTACCGCTCACACGGCGACTCCAATCAAATTATTATTATTGTGTGGATTCTGTCAGGCAAGTGCGCGCGCGGGGACACGAGAGCTACCCCCACACACTCGGCACGCGCCTTTTCTAATCGTTTGATATCGCCGGTCGGTTAGAGGAGGCCGTGCACGCTGCTGTAATACGGTGAAAATGGAGTTGTCATATCGCACGGGGATGTTGACAGGGTATTTGTGTTCGGGGATATATTACCGGGTCTGTGCGCGCTCTATAATTCGAGACGATGAGACAATGAATGAAGGCGAGGAGACCGCGCACAAACACCAGCCATTTATTTAATTTATTCGACTATTCCCCTTAATTAGTTCCTATAATAGAATTCACACAGGCCTCTGAGGCATATTGATCCAATTACAATTAGGTTTTACTTATTTATTTATTTATTTTTATACGCAATCACGACGTAAACAGCTGCCTGAGCCATGTGCCACAAAGTCCCACTGTTGCTTACGCACTTTTGCGCACGCTCCATTTCTAGGTCATCAGTGGTGGCTGGTTTGGATGTCACATTGCTCCGGGGATCATTTCTTTCCTTTTCCCTCTAGATCATGTTCTCAGGGACAGACGTGAACCTGAAGTCAGACTAAACCAGGTAGGGGAGACCGGGGCGTGTTGTCACACTTTTTACACTCATATATATATCTTAAAATAAATACATTCTGTATATAAACAAAATGTGTACCAGATGAAAGACTCAAGTCTCAGGCAGGGGCAGACTGGGACCATAATTCAGGGCAGGAGTTTGACTCCATCCAGGCCAAGCCAATACACACTGACGCAGAAATGCCGGCACCAGCGAAAAGTTTTGGACATTTGAAGCCAGATTTAGTGAATATAATGCTAATGTGAAGAATTCAACATTGGCTACATAACTGCAAATTTATGAAGTAAAGACAAAATGGTTATAAAACTCTGTATTAGTCATGCCTTTAACTATTTGTTTACTCATTGAAACTAAGAATGTAGCCTACCACGCTGCTGTTGTATTATAATAATATGTTGAAAGCCTGTCAGAAAAAGTCAAAGTTCTGGAGAGAAAACTTGGATTAGCACGCACCACTAGCATCGTAGCCGTCTGGGGGTCAGTCGGCGACGTTATTAAACCCAAAACAATCACATCTTAGAGCGACAGCATGAAAAACACTTACAGACATTGCCTCAGGGGGAGGAGGAGAAAGAAACACGATCAGCTCGGGAGTGGAGCAGACAACGATGCTTGATCAGCGCATCTGCGGCCAATCACCTCAAAGCTCTACTTCCGGTTGCACCAGCTACATTTTGCCACGGCAATGGACATAAATTAATTAAACCATTTTACTCTTTACATTAATCTTAATCCCTTTTAAACATGTGACAACTAACCCCAAAATGACTGAGACATGTTGCCCCAAACTACCATGTCTGCTTATTCTAGCTCTAGCTTAAAGTTAGTTTAAAACAGAACAATGACTGAGGTATGACAGGATGTCTTAATCTATTCTCTAACAAGTCCACATGTATAACTGCTAGGATTTTTATCTGGAAGAAGCTTAATTTGAAATATATGAAGTTTTTTTTTTACTTTGGGTTGTGTGAAATGGTTAATTGGTGCTCATCTTAGACAACAATGTGCTTTTCTCTTCTCAGACAGGACATGACCCCTGACCATATAAAGGAAGAAAACTAGTATTCCACTTTTTAGTTGTGCCCTCTGGTGGCAAAGATAATTGCTATGTGACAACTTACCCATGTGATAACAAGCCCCGGTCTCCCCTACTTTCCTCCCTGTTTATGTTTCCTTTTCATTAAGGGGGGCATCCTTCCTTAGTATTTTTTTCCCCCAAATACACTATTTTGTACCACACATTCCTTCGCTGTCCTCTTAACCACACTTTGCTTTGAAGCTGTTGCAGTAAACCTGACCTTGTGGAAAGCAGAGGACATTTAACCTCTGGGATATAAGCCTAGCATCTGCTCTGAGGTTGAGCCAGTGGGAAACAGCTACCCATAGAGGAAAGGGCCAGAGATGCTGAGAAGGAGGCTGGTTCATCCCGGGGGTCAACAGAGGGGCTGAACAGATGTATAGTTCAAAGACAAATTCTCAGTCACACGAAGGCACACTGGTTTGTCTCCAGAGCTCATCCCCATCATATTCTTACTTAACAGATAACATTTTGATTTGCTTATTTCACTGCTGTCATCCAAAAAGGAGGAAGAGTTGAATATCAACGACATCTAGAAGCAAAGCATTTGCAGATGTGTGAAATCTCACTGATTTCTTCTTTTATTCATGTGTGTGCCAGTCTCTCAACCTGCTTCACCTGTCCTCCAGCCTAAAATGAGGTACATGTGTGGCTCTCAGAGGACGTTCAGACTGCCAAGAGCATAGCAAAGCAATGTGTAACCATAGAAACTGGATAACACAAATGTCTGAAACACAAGTTATAACCACTGTGCAGAGGTGCTAAATGACTATGGGACTACGACAGCATTCAATATATTTTACATGAAGTACTACAAACCACACAGACTGGGTCATTGGGAGCACATTAAATCTATGAACTGTAGTGAAATTGTTAACACTGCAGTTTGAGTTATCTGGTGCAAACAAAAACTCAAGCTAGCAAGTTGCTGAATGCTGAAGTTGAATTGTTTTTGCTGATTCTTTGATAAGAGGTGACTGAATTTAAAATGTTCTTACATTTTTGAAAAATACAAGCTTGAGCACTGTTCCATGAAACTCTCTTTTAGAGTGTCATGGAGTTGAAAAGTGTCCAAACCACATTGCCTATCAACAGGGATCTCTAAATGGTCAGTGCTTGGTCCCCTTCTTTTCTTGATATACATTATTTCACTGAGTGCAATTATCTGATCTCATGGTTTGTCATATCACTGCTATATAAACGATACCCAGATCGAGATTCAGCTGGCATTACATGAACTTGAACCCACTAAGTCTGCCTGGAATCTGGGTGTCTTGACTGATGACCAGCTATACCTTCTTATTCTTGTGAGGTTCATGTCACCTTGATCGGTCAGTCATACTGTTTTGCCTCTTATATCATCAGTAGGATCAGACCTCACTTGGCGGAGCATGGAACACAGCTCCTGATACTGACTCTTGTAATATCATACACTGACTACTGCAACTCCTTACTGGCAGGCCTACCTGCATCCACAGTCAAACCTCTGCAGATGATCCAGAATGCAACAGCCCGTCTGGTGTTTAACCAACTCAAAACAGCACGCCACTCTGTTACTTATTTCTTTCCATTGGTTTCCAGAAGCAGACCAGATCAACTATAAAACCATACTTCTTGCCTTCAAAATTACAACAAAATCATCTCCAGCCTACCTGCAGTCCCTCATGCAGGTCTGTACTTCTTCTCCCCTACTATGGTCTGCCAATGAAAGGCACCTGGTGCTCCCATCACAACAGGGACCTAAGTCACTAGCCAGACTTGTATCTTCTGGAATTAATTACCAAACTCCATTCCACTCCATATACAGTACAGCCCCCCTCTTTCTTTAAGAAACAAGCTAAAGGTTCACGTGTTCAGGAAACACCCATGCACTTAAGCTCAGCTCTTCTCCCCTGTAGTCCCCAGTGGTAGAATGACTGATACAATGGCTTGGATCAAAAGATCCCCCTTCAACTTTTGAGAAACTTTTTGACCCAGCTCTTTGTGACAAACTCAGCACTTGATAGTGTGGCACTTAAGGTGATTGTGTTTCCCTAGTGCTGCATGGCATCCAATGTCTGTTGAGATCTTTGCTTGTATTGTACTTACTCTAAAATATCCATCCCTTTGGACAAAAACATCAACTAAATGACATCGAAACATTTTGCTTTTTAAGTTAGTACCACAATGTTGCCAAGAGCTTTAAACAATCAATTTAGCCTAAGCAGAGGTTGATGGCTAGGCTAAATGGTCAGGCAAACCTTTCCCAATGACTGTGACATTATTTTAATCCATCCCATGAGAGATATGAATGTCTGTTGAAAATTAAAAAAGGCAAGTCTGCAATAATTGTTTTTCTGGTAGCTTATGCTGGATGACTATTTTAAATGCCCATTTTCCATTATGCTGTCAAATAACTTAGTCTTACACTCATTACACGTCATATATCATTTGTGCTTCAATGACAAAAGCTGATCCGTTCAAGGAAATTAAAGTTTCGATGGCTTTTCCTTGAAGATAATCCTCCCTCTTTTTAATCTAACGGGGTAGGAAAGATTATTTCAAACAGGTAGACAAAAAGTACAGACTCAGATTTAACACTTAGCATGAACTTTGCTCTGATATGACAACTTCAACAACAATGCTAATTTATCCATTGTTATTACACTTCACAGACTTGTGAAAAAAATTAATTTGTGTGTGGGGTGTGCATTCATAGAAACATTATTCAGTCATCTTTGAACAAACTTCAATGCACACACTTTTGAACCTGAAGTATTACATCTACAAAGCAGCACAGCCTTCTCAGGAGCTTTGAACGGATTTCTTAAAACAATCGAGGCATGTGATCTCTGGGAGGTCAAGCAAACCTGCAGAATTACATAAGAGTGTATAACACCAAAAACTGTGGCTAATACTTAAGTAGATTTAGCCTTTATGAGGGCAAGCCTAGAAAAAAAAAATTCTTATACAATAAATACTGTTACCATTTTGAGCGCTGTTATCATCCTCACACAAACAATGAAGTCTCCCCTTAAATGCCTTTCGTGAGATAATCTTGAACTATCCGGTTTTTGAATCAGGGTGTTTGGGAAGGGGTTAAAACAGGGTTTGATTTGTGGCCTCCTGAGTGTCCTCTGCAGCCACACAGCTCTTGCAATGTTGTTCATAATTGGGAAAACCAGAAAGAAAAGATCTCATCACAGACCACTAAACCCATTCAGTTCATTTTGCTGAGCCCTGCTGGAAGATGCTGCAATCAAACTCAATTAAGGTCAATCTCCTATTCAACATTTGGGGAGGAGCTGTCCACCTCTGTGATTACACGAAGCATCATGGCCCACTCATGACGGAGAAATAGCTGTGCCATGGAAATGGTGTGGTTATGCAATTACCTGAGAGCTGGCTTCAGTGAGAGGGGGCTTTATGCG